GTCTGAACGAACAACTTATCTCCCACAAAAAGATAAATACAAATATCTTACGGTATGTACTTGTGTTCTAATTGGGGCAAAGTCAAAATGGGCGGTTTATCACTACAAATATTTAGTTAGCTAATATTGTTAGCCAATAATTTTTAATAATAATAAAACTACAATTTTCAAAAGGATCGCAAACAAAAAATAACATTGTTTAAATAATATATACAAATAGGTGGATTAAGTAAAGCCTATATTATTTATACTAAGTTATATTACAATTTCGAGTCATTGCAATTTTCTACTTGGACGTTGTTGTACAATACAGATAATTAGATTTACTAATAAATTGAAAATCTTTGTTAGGTTCAAATAAGACCACAGCTATTTTATTTTTACAAAACACAACGTGTTGACAAATATGTTTTATACAATAACTGATGTTCAAGTGAAACATATTTTTGCTATAACCGTTCATCATGTATAGTACACAGCTGATGATATGTTTTTGTGGTACTTTCAGGCAGAGTTGGGCAAAAAATTTAATTAAACGAGTCAGGTTAAAAATATCATATACCGTACGTATTAGTTGACATGAAAAGAGAATATAAAAACATTATATATATAATAATATTTCAAATTATTTCAAACCCTTACAAAAATAACACACACAGAGAATAATCCCTCTGTTGTCCATCTTTCTCCAAAGGGACGGTCATGTTATTGTTGTTTACTGTCGTTGGGTTGGTAAACATGAACGGAACGAATGAATTTCAATGGGCAAACACACAAGGTAAACTTAATGCGGTCTCTGCGGTGGCTTGCTTGTATGATCGTTACAGCTGTTTTATTACAAGCATAACAACAACAACGACAGACATCTCTTGAATTGACACTGACGTTTGTTTGGGGTTTTATTTTTTTAAAAGCTTTCAATTTTTTTTTTACCACGCCGTGACACGCCATCGCAGTTTGTCCTTAAATAATTTAAAAAAAAAAGAGTTGTGGATGTCATCGTTCAATTTCCAACACGGACACTTCTTTTACTTCAATCAAACGCTTAAGCTGTTAACACGCCGACGATTGATATCAAAGGCAGTGAAAATAATTATTAAAATATTTACACCGGGTTTACTATGGACTGTACTAACGTACCTGCTGTTCCTAAGAATACTCAGATTTTGAAGTCTTTAAAGAACATATTTTTAATTGTTCATACCATTTTTAAGGCGTCGACTGTGGCACAATTTCAAAAATTATTTCAATTTATAAAAATTGCATTTTTTACATTGAAATAATTGATAAGTTAAACAATTTTAAATTGTACCACAGTCGATGCCTTGAAAATGTTATGAAGAATTCAAATGTTTTTTTTCAAATTAATAAATCGAAGGAATCTATTTCTAGGAACAGTAGGTTTCAAGAAGTAGAAACATATGTTTTTGTACCAAGAGATCCTATGAATTATAAGATATAGAAGTTTTAAAAAAAAATCGTTTTCAAAATAGACACTCCTTTCCTATGAAATATTAAAAATAACTTTTTTATATATATTATATTACATGTATCAATATACATTTTCTGTAATGTAGAACACATTACAGCACACAGATAAAAAATAGTATTTTGTTGCAGCTCTTATTTTTAAATGCTAATGACTCAAAAATAACTTATTCAAATCTGACTATCGACCGGTCATTATTTTCTCCATGTCAGTTTTGTTTAAATAACTTAATTGTATTGTGACGTGTTAATTACCATTTGACTTTTAAACATTCTAATTGAATTTTTATTATGTTCAGCAGTTCAATGTAAAATCGAATTGACTGTATATTATACTGTACTATTGCCGAAATCCAGCTATGTATCTTACAATTCTGTATAATAGTATGAAAATAATTGACAAATTTCCACGACAAGTAGGTAATGTTGTAAGCATTTAAGAAACAATACTAAAAAAAATCACCGTATGATTTTTCAATTTACAGAATCGCATAATATAGATTTAAAAGACATGGCCTATTTTATACAACAGATATTATATTAAGTCATCGACCACTATTTTTACTACGGCTATTGTTTTCTAGTTTTCATTTTATATGTTAAACCAAAAACAAACTTGGCACAAATGTTTTATATATATATATATGTTTATTTTAAGTGTTTCGACATAATATTTTACTTTTTTCTCGGTCTTTCGCCTTTTTTACAAAATTTATGAAGAAAAAAAAAATATTGAAAAATGTATTGTTTAATACAAATATTTACTGGTCAACAACTCGTTATATAACGTAAACCCCATCGTATTAGCTAATTACAGAGTTGCAAAGTGTTTTAAACAAACAGTATTTTTTTAAACGTTTTTAAATATTATTTTTATGTGTATATTTTTTCGCAGAATGTAGTAAAATCATAATATTATTATTATCGTAGGCCATAATAAGTCTAAAAAAATATGTAAAAATTAAAAGTATTATTATGTTGGCTACACTGTTACAGCGGGTTATTATCACGTTAGCAATCTCTATCACGTTTTCGAAAATTCAGATTTCTTAGTATAATATTATAATAATGTATAATATAAAACATATAAATTATATAGGTAATATAGGTATTGTAGTGTATACGTTAAATATTTAATACATGTATAGAAATCACCTCAAGTCCTTTCTATACTGTTAGTAGTGTAGTTGATACTAAAAACTAAAAAATGTGCCCAAGGGTTTTCTCTGTAATCTGTAGACAGTGGGAACTAGAACAATTTTCATGTAATTATTGTTTATTTCTAAAAAGTAAATATTTAATTAAATAATCGACTAGAATTAAAAAAATAATCAGCCGGAATTGGTAAGTATTTAGTAAATATCAAAAATCTATTTACAATTTCTACATAATTATATACTATACTAAATTAAATGAAAATTTGTTTAAAACGTTTTAAATAAAAAATAAAACAACGTTTTTAACGTGTTTAAAACATAGTTTTAAAATTATATTCAAAAACAGTTTAAAATATAGTTTTAAAGAAACAAAAAACTTTTTTTTTGCAATTTTGCCTTATTATATATTTTTCAAAACTCTTTAAACGTACTTTTGTGTTAAAATTTGATCAATAGACGGACCATTAATAAAAAAAATATGATTTATTGCAACCGGCAAATAAAGAAACCCAAATGTCTATTTTTTTTTTTTTTTGAAGCCGTTAAGGCCTATTGATTTATTCAGTATTTCCGTTCTTCTTTATGACTTTTCACTTGCGTTGTCATTTTACATTAATGTCAATATTATTATTATTATTATTATATACATATTATATGTTAACCACGCCACGTGTTTGATTATTTTTTCATTGATTTATCACGTGACCTTTTCAACAAAGCGGTTACATTATTGTTAAAAAAAAAAAATTAAGCCGCATTATCTCTTTAACAGACAGAATAAATTAACAAAAAAAAAAAAGTTTTTATTGATGCTATTCATCGTTTAAAAGTATAAGGTTATTCGATTATACGAGTACACAGGAAAGTAACCTAAATTATTTTGGTTTTATTTTACTTTAATGTTATTATACCGTTAAAATGTAAAGTAGGTAAAGTAAAAAAAAAAAAATGACTGAAAGCGGTGAAATGATCATTTCCGCGGCTTGGAAAAGGTCTCTTAAATTATGGTTGCCTTTGTTTGTGAATAATGAAACGCATTTTTTTTTTTTCTACATTGAAAAACGCACATCTCAAAAAATTGAAAGTGATAAAAACAACGTGCACGGTACAATTAAATTTGCTAAGCCGTCGAAAGCTTTTTATCCGATGCCGAAATGGTTTTTTCGAATTCGCCGTCCATAAAGATTAAGTTGAAAAACATTTTACTTGTCAACGTTCTCTTTTGTTTAATTTCACATCACTCTTATGCACTTTCATGATGATTTTGGTTTATGTTTGAAGGGGAAAAAATAAAGTCTCCTAAACACCCAGAAATGTTTTTTTATTTAATTGCGATTTTTCACAGTTGGATGTAATAATAATTATACGAAGCTGTTATTCATAGCCTCTCTAAAATGTATTATTTTTTTATATAAATTAAAAAGCTAGTTTGTATGACTATAATTTCAAAGTGCACTTTAGAAGATATGAATATGTACAATCTAAAAAAAAAAATACAATATTCCGTTATTCGATAATGATCTGTTCATATCTTTTGAAACAGAATGTCGAATTTCCAATCTGTCGTTGAAACAACTAAAGAAAATATCTAAGCTCAAACACATGACCGTTTGGATGTGGATATGGTGTCAAGTGTGTAGTATTCGGGGCTAAAGAAGTTCAGATCCTTAAAAAACTTTAAAAGCTCCCTCAGAATTTTAGTTAAACCTATAAACTTAACTCGGGGGATGTGCCCTATTGGTGGCTGACATTTGTTTAAAAGCCTGGACGAGGTAATGGACGGTTTGAACTTTCCCAGCAACCCCTCTAGTGACTCATGATTGATATTTTTAATCGTTGTTTTTCGTAGCTAGTAATTTGTTTTTTTAATTTACTACTCATTTGATTAGGAAGATTTAATTAATTTTTATTAATCAAGTAGTTTTAGGGGAAACAGAAAAAACATATTTTTTGCAATTACTCGAGTTCAAATAGTAGGTACAGGTAATAACTAATAAGTGCATAATTAAATAAACAAAAATTATTTCTTAAATCACTAATAACTTTCGTTATTCGTTTTGTACCTATACAAAAAAGTACATTTTTTTTAATCGTGTCTAATTTATTGGTACTTAAAAGTTAAAATTTCTATTCGTGGTAAATTTGATTTGTTGTTGTAACTTAACTTGATGTGATGGCTAAAATGTTCAGCCATCATCACGTTAGCTTGCGACTTGAACATAAGACATGTCCGTCTCTGGACATCCGGTTTCCGGTTGTTGGCCACATCCGTAACTGCGGTTATTCGTATGCTATGTATTATATTGTACTGCTCGACTTCAAAATAACAATATTCGGCATTCCGTTATGTTTCAGCCAAGTTTCGGTCACGTGTCCCGACCGGACGGACCCGTCTTGGAAGAATACCGGCTGCGCAGTTTCTCGATCACGGCCAGCGGTGTGTGTAACTTGGGCGACTTTGTACGTTATGCGCCACCCAACAACGTCGTTGCATCCAATCAACGTCTGCCTGTTGCCAAACGAGACAGCTGCCCAGCGTCCGTGTCTGGATCGCCAATACACCAGAACGCCGCCGCCGCCGCCGCCGCACATACAGTGTGCACAGAGTTTTCGCGGTTTCGAAAACCTAGGTAAGCGCTCTGGCACGTTGCCGAAAAAAAAAGCGTTACGCTGTTATCTGATAGAACATAGATATGAGATAAGCGTAACGATAATTGTTGACGGTCAAAAATCAAAAAGGAAACGGGAGATAGGGGGCAAGAGATAAGAGACAGGAGATATAGGGGATAAGAGACGACTGGGGTTGGGTGTAGGAATGGCGATGGGGATGTTAAATTGTTTAAACTATGTGTTGTGTTTACAACGATCAAACTATATGTGAAAAATAAATTCAATAATTCGACTACTCGTATTTCCTATGAATGGTTTTAGGCCAGATATTATGAAAACACTAAAATATCGGCCACAAACTTGATATGTTTTAATATACTAGCCACCTTAGATACTAGCTTGCTACTGCTTGTTAATATACTATTTCATTATCTATAATTCCACCACTACTCTAAATTTATTCGGTACTTCAACGAGACATGAAAATGCTCTTTCGTGGTTGCAGACTCGGCTGAAAAATGCTTTTCTTTACTATTTGCGTTGCCCAGGATTCGCTCAAAGAGCGAGGGCTATGCAATATGTCAGCTGATTAGCTGTCAGCTGTAATATTTGCACAAGTAGCGCCATCTATTGGAATACACTTTTACTAAAATTTCAGATGGTTCGGTCATGTTATGAGAAGACATGAGGCAGAGGCTGTGAGATATGTTACGAAAAAGAATGTAGAGGGAAAGAGAGAAGAAGAAGAAGACCGAAGAAAAGATGGATAAACGGAATAGAGAGTGATACTAGGATAGCTTTATGGAGGTGTAGGACTATCTGTTCAAAAATTGATTTAATTTGTGTAGTAAAAAAATCGACAAAAGCAGCGTAAAGCTACAACGTGGTTTAAATTATAATTTGAGGATTAGCCAGGATACGATTAGGGTTGATCGTCCGTCCAAGATGATTAGTTGTTGCCGTTGTTGACCATAAATCATATAATTAACAATATAATACAAATATTTTCAATTACCCGTTGGTCAACCGGGTCAAATTGTAAATTTCCACTTTTTGTTTTTTTGTTTTTCCCTTATAAAGTATGAAAACAGACTCTTGAAAAATTTGATTATGTGGAAGTCTCGCTCAAGATCTAATCTCAGTCTTATTTTCATACCTTGTCCTAAAACTTCGCTTGGAAAAGAGAAATAAAGAAAAAGTTTCCATCCTTTCAAGAGGAAAATAATTATGATATTTATTTTTCGTTTGTCAACGTTTATCGATAGTACTTTATCTAAATAATATTTCTTACAAATTTTAAATTAACATGACTTATAGCTCGTATTGGTATAAGTTTTAAAATATGTACATTTTTTTGTGTGCTTTTCTCAATTTTAATGGCGAAGGAGTGAACATTTTAAATATTTAGCTCAATAAAGTACCTTTTAGGTACTACTTATTATTATAAATAATATTTATATTTATTGATTTGAGTGTAAGTTATAAAAATAATACATTTAAATGGCATCGGTGGCCAATAAATAACATTAGATTTTGTCGCAAAGGCTCTATTTGATGAGCAAACCGAATATATCAATATTGGGCAAAATATAAGTCCAATACGGTTAATAGTAAAACATTGAAATTTTAATCACTTGATGACCTTTTTGGGCTAATTTTATTAATAAACTGTATTAAATTTAAGCAAAAACTAATAAGTATTATACATCGTTTTCAAAATATCCAATAAGTATTACACTATTACAGTACACCTATTTACCACCAAACCTCAACTAAACATTTGTAAAAAAAAAAAAAAAAAACGTAATTGCTTTGCGGATATAAAAAACGTTGGGCAGAATAAATGTTTAGTTACACAATTGACTATACATTATTAACAGGGTTGGTGAAATGAAAAAAATACAACATAACATAATAATTGTGGTGCAACATTCGAGTTCCGTTTTGAATTTAATTTTCACATCAAATATTATGATGTTTTATGACATTTTAATATTATGCTTTCATACACAACACTTGGAATGGTACTTTTTGTCGATGATGTAAAAACTACAAGCAAGATCGTTGAACCCAGAACTTAAGGAGTTTGCGTCGACGAAAAATACAAACAAGAGTGTCATTGTACTGAAACCAGCTTTGGTACCAAGGCGAAATGTCATTTATTGGGAATTGACTATGTATAGTGCTCAAACTCTGACGGTTATGATAAAATATAATTCTGTAAAAAAAAATATTGGTTTGCATCTTTTGAATTTCCAACATTTTCCTGACAGATTAATTATACATCGCTTGAATTCAATTTACAAGTGGCCCGAGTCGTTTTTGGTAAACTTTAAATTTTTTTTTACAAAAAATACATATTGAATAATTTACATAAAAATACTTCAAATGTGTAAGTTTATTCAGTAGCTACTTAAATAAGCTATTTTATCGCATATACTTCTGTTTGATTATCATTAGCTTAAGTTTTTTTTTAAAAGTGTTTTATTAACAAACCAACTATCATACTTATTTTTGTTTGAAAAATGAACTAACTAAATATATATAAAAAATGTTTCCCTTATTTTTAGCCAACTAAACAATTTTCTGTACACAAGTTTATCTATAAAATAAATGCTTGCGTGGACAAATATAATGCACATATAATGCACATAAAACGCATTTATTAATATTTATGTATTTTTGTTAGGTTTTTTTTTGCCAAGTATAAATTATGAGACAACGTCTAATTGATTTATCGATGCCTATAAAATATATACCATTATATAGACCTTAAAAAAAATCATCTTATATTTTAAGGAACACTATCGCCTCAAACATAATAATTTAGGTCGGTAATTGGAGAAAAAAAATGATTATTTATTACATGTACAGGCGCACATAATATGCCAAACAGTTAATCATATTTGAATTGTTTAACTGTGTTATAAAACTGAGAAGCATTATCATTACCAGTTTTTTTTTTTTGGTTTATAGTATAAACAAGATATTAGATTTTCTTTTTATCGGTTACTCTATAAATTATCATTTACTTGTGGTATGAGAAAAACTAACTAATATATATATATATTATAATATAGTACAAAAAATACACAATGCTCATTTTTACTTTTACACTTGAGGCAACTGAGTGTTTTATTGTCGTGCAAAACTATCTATTTTCTCATTAAGTCCTCCTTGAAAGGTTTATAATATCTAAGACAATTAGAGATAATTACTATTTGGATTAGTATTCAGTGACAATAATTAGTCCAAATAATCTTTTTTTTTTCTTTTAAAATGTTAAAAAAGATTTTATATGGTTTGAGATATCAAATCGTTGTAATTTTATAATAGGTACATTTTTTTTTGTTAAGACATCAAGTTCTAGCATAAAAAAGGTTTTAAATTTATATTCAATTTAAAAAAATAATTACCACGCCAGTCACTAGAATAATGTACATAAATTTTAATATTGTGTTGGAAATGAACAAAAAAAAAATAGTTTAAGAAATATGCTAATGACTACTTTGGATGAGCTCTAATTTTTTTTAGTACACTATAGACTTTGAAAGTATAATTAATAAGACTACGGATAATGTGAAATATTTTGTGTGAAATTTAAGTAGAAAATAATGTATTCTACTTAAAACTAACTAACGATATGATATGCGGGTAAACTTTTAAAGAAATAAAACCCATTATGTTGCAGCACTGCTCTGATTAATAAGTTCAAAGCCAACGATACCGTAGAGTCGTATAAAGTTGCATTACTCGGAGCACCTGGTGTGGGGAAAACCACTATATCTGTTCAGTTCTCCACGTCGGAATACATATGTGTGTACGATACTTCTATAGGTAAGTATATCAGTATGTGGTGAAATAGAAATAACATAATAAAGTAGAGAAATTATTTATTTAGAGTGAAATACTAATTTTCAGTAAAAGTATTCACACACTTTGGAAACTTTAAGGTGTAAAATATATTACCACATTTCAGTACATTATTTTTTCAGAGTTTTCAAAAAACTCTTATTAATTTTTTAAAACCCATTCTATGACCATTAACTATATAGGAATAAAATAACTGATGTACAAATACAATATCATATTATACACTTCCCTGATGTGTCCAATTAGCCTGTAATAGCTATCGCATACTAAAATAATGATTGAACTGTTTCATTTTTAATTACAGACGAAGACTGTGCCTGTAGGACAATCAGAGTAATGATTAATGGCCAAGAGGCTGAGTTGTCTATCATTGACATACCATACAAAGAGATGTCGGTAAGTTCATTTTAGTTAATTAATTCATAATTATACAACGTGGAATATATATCGAACGATTGTCTAAGTACGATAATTATAATTTTTTTTAAATAAAGGAGAAAAAAATTAATATGTTTCACATCACAATATTAATTATCAAAACGGTTCAATATAATTTTTTTTTTTTTGTAAAATTAAAGGAATAATCTCACTGGCACTCGCAAAAAACAAAATTATAATATTATGTTAATTTTTTCTTACCGAATCCATTCAAAGTATTTATTTTTAATTTAAAAATAAACAAATTCAATTTCGTCCTCAATTATGACATTTTCATAAGGTCGCTGTTTTATATGATGAAAATTTAAAAATGGTTTTGTTTACAGCTTTAATTAAGGTACTTAAATATTCAAATTAATTACAAAGATTGCTGATATTCTACAGCGAACCTGAGCATTATTTAAATATTAAAATTATTAATCTTTTTTTTTTTCTAACAAATACCCAAATAATAATTCAAATCAAATGTATTGAAATTAAATTTACAATAATAATTGTAATATTTAAATGATAAAATCAAATAAATTTCCATGTTAAATAACAAGACATAATCTGAAACAGTAAAATTGTTACAAATTATTTATTACTTGAAAAAATAAATACACATTTGTTTTGATACCGTAAATATAAATATAATTAATTTTAAAAAAAATTTTACAACGAATACAGCTCATTATTTCGCAATAATTATTTATTAATTTTTAATAATAATAATACAACCTAACCTGTGTACGTTGAGTGCATTCTCATATATAAATATGAGATGTGTAATTATTATTGAGTACTTATATGATAATATTTACAAGACTTAAGTAGAGTATAATATTTCAATTTGCATATCGGATTTTTCACTTTTAGTTTTATAGAAAATCTGCTTATTATTATTAAACAATAACACTTGAATGTATTTGCATAACAACGGGATTTCCGAAGAAAAAATGACCCACGATAAAAATGCAATCAGTTCCAAGGTCGTGCACTCACATAAATCTTCATGCGGTGTTTAGGCCATTTCGAAAAAATTGTGTTTACCAAGAAACGCACAAATAAATGTACCGTAGACAACCTACTAGATACTTTAAACGAAAATTCGTTAAGACGCCGGTTGAACGCTTCTAAATCAGCATGACCGCCTTGCCTTCGCTGTCAAGTATTTGAATACTAACGTTAAAACGTTTTCTAATTTCCTGTATATTTTAGTTTCTATGGGAAGCTAAATTTAAATTAAGTTTTTCGAGCCATAATGTTGTAATTCTAATAATATCATGCATCCTTTTCCAGATCGAAACTCTGTGCTCGACCTACAACCCAAATGTGTTTATAGTAATGTATTCTATAGTGGACGAAAGGAGTTTCGACATGGCCGAACAAATGTTGCTATTTTTGTGGAAAGGAGAATACATACACACGAGAGGGGTAATACTGGTCGGAAATAAGTCGGATTTGGAGCGGACGAGGAGAATACAAACAAGTGGTAAGTAACAACACTGTTTAAGTCTTGCAGTGTTCACGTGGCCAGGGGTGTTGTAAGTTTTTAAAAAATACTATTGAATGCCATAGTTTGGATAAACGCACAGGGAGAACCGCTTCTTAATCGTAGGAACCCTTTAAGTTGAACTCCTGGACACTTTTTTTTTTTTTTAAATAGCCCATATCCAAAATTTCAGCCCATCCCAATGTTGCTTACAATAATAGAAAATTCATAGTCAATAATTGTTGCTCGAAAGCTGATAATCTAAAACAAATGCATTTAAAATATAATGACTTAAAAAACAACGAGCACAATATGACCAAGAATAAAATTGTTTTAAATATTGTTTATTGATGCAAATTAAAAACTCAAATATTTAATTAAAGCGTTCAAATTATATTTTTGAAAACAAATTCCGAAAATGGTTTAGACAATGGACATTATCGTTGTACTCAGGAGAGTACAATATTTTGAATACGACCAAAGGTATTATCGAAAACGTTCATTACACCTATAGCTGTTGTCTGCCAAGATAAATAAATAATTACCAATAAAGAACAATCGAGAAATTTCCTTCACTCGATTTCTAATAAATAAAATATGCGACGTACATTAAAAAAAAACTAACGAGTATCCACACTACAAGCGGATACATAGGCACATTTATATGTCTTTATGGCCAAGTATAGGACCCGGGAATTTTTTAATACTTTTCTTATCTCTAATCTCTTATCCATTATCTCTAATACATTATCTCTATTTTTAAATATTATCTCTAATCTAGTATTTCTAATATCTTATCGTTAATCCAACATCTCTAATCTATTATATCTAATCCATTATCTCTATTTTAATCTCTAATACATTATCACTATTTTTATCTCTAATCTCTTTTCACTAATCTATTACCTCTAATCCGTCATCTCTATTTTTATCTATTATCTCTAATTCCTTATCTATATTTTTATCCCTAATATCTTATCTCTATTTTTATCTCTTATCTCTTATCTCAAATCTCCCCTCCCCTTTCTCCGCCGCCGCCTAGTGTGACATCCAGCGATAAAACACATACATGTTAATACTTATTCCTGTAACGAATTTGTTCTGCTTAGCGCCGCCAAATTTGTAAACAACTACTAGTAATACAATTTTTTATTGTTAAATTTTTATCATTTTCGTTTTCTGTTAGTCGGTCGAAACTTGGCATACAGTTGGAACTGTAAATTTATCGAAACGTCAGGCGGTATTGATCACAACGTGGACAAATTGCTGGTCGGCATTTTGGCACAAATCAAACTGAACCCGATCAGGGAGAGGATGTATAACAGCAAGAGAAAAAAATACAGCGTCACCAGGCTGTACAAGAACTTTTTGTCTGCCCTGAGGGGCGTCAAGTCCAGTGAGAATTTATTTAGTATTTAATATTCGTTTTTTTTCTCGAAAATAGCTGATAAATATTTTATTTTTTATCATCGCGCGTTTGTAATGTTATTTTTGGGACGACCAATTATTATTATTCAATTATTGTGTTACTTTTCGACGAGTACAAAAACATATTTTGAGTTTTATAATATTTATTATCTAAATACATACATATTAATATATTATATACATATTGAAAAAACTATTGTGCATATCCTGAAATCGAAATAAAAAAAAACAATTTTTGAAAATTATTTTTATTTATGAAAACGGTTTTTAATGTTTTTTTTTTTTTCACAACCCTTAGCGCATTGTCTACTAAAATACACCACAGGCCACGCGACAGTGATTGAAAGAAAAATATCTTTGCATATGCAAGGTGAATTACTGCTACCCTGGATGTGGTACTATAATACTTTTAAAGTATTCTAATGATATCATTTTCTCCTTCATTCGTTTTGCGGTCGTGAAATTTGAGAAATACACCTCAGAAAAGAATAATACAACTTACTAAAACCGTCGTCTCTGTGACACAATGAAGTTTGATCGAATGTAAAGTACATCTATATAAGTTTAAGGATTGACATTGATACAGTCATACAGAATTAATGGGGAGGGGGCGTTAATGCAATTTGTTTGAGCTTTAATCCAGTGACACGGTAAGTATAAAAAAAGATGGCTAAGTAGCAAAAACACAGAACATCAACACATGAGAACCGGGTAAGTTTCAGTGTTTGTGAATAACTGGATATAATTAATCATACATAAGATACAAGTAGGTTGTGTGAAGTAACAAGCGAATATGTACAACGCCTTTGAAACTCTGAGATAGTTGCATCAATAACCGACCCGTTAATGAGGTGCTGTATAAACGACAATGATAATTAGGCGAAAAGTCGAACCACCGGAATTTAAGCCTGATAAACTATTGATAACACATGATATTATTTTTTTTTCTGCTACAACTCATACCATATACAAATGGGGTGGGGACGACCACGTATCACTCTTCCATCAAACATCTCCATGTATTTAATTACAACATCGACCAGTTTCTTCTTTAGTGTACATCTGCTTCTGTGTGTTCTCTAAACTAATATCTCTAGTCTGATTAAACCTGTAACGCCCAAACTACTTTTTAATTTACCTTTTTCTATTTCCACGCAACCACATTTTCTTTTATAACCACACAACCTTGACCAGCCCTGTATTAACTAATTAAATGAGGTGTAAAAAAAAAGTACCTACACAAAAGACCTTATAAGGCTGTCGTTCAAACATTTCTGTTTTTTTTTTTTACCTACCCAAACTGACACTCGCTGCTAACAAACTATTTTTTGTTCTATAACATCACACAAACAAATAGCTGTTTTTGATAGTTTCATTATAACCATCCAACAACTTTGAAAACGCCGTTCGTATGACAGTCAACTTCTGACCTTGGAGTTATTTTTAAAGAAATACCTCATATAATAGTGCAGGGGGCAACATATGTTCTAAAGCCTACGGGTATAAAATCTCCTAATCTGGGCTTGCCCTTAAGTCTTGATTGAATTCTGGATCAATAACGATTTCAGCTTAAGTACCTCTACATAATACAATAGTATATAGGTATATACAAATGTAGAGTTATTTTCACGCCCTTGGGATAACGACATAAAGTTAGGGTCGTAAAAAAATATCGCTTTTATTTGCATAGTATAATAGTATGTAAACTTATTATTATTTTTTTTTATAATATACGACGTATTTATTCAAGTCGTTCGATAGCTTTTGCTAAAAAAAAAAAATATTTATAAATTTAAAAAAAAATAACTATCACATTACTACGTGATACCACAAAACGGAACCGTTTTTCTTTAAATTTTATACACCAAACAATTTATCCACTTTTTATTATAAAAATGTGTAAAATAAAGTTGCAAAAATATTTGTAAGGAAACGGCTCAAAAAATGCATTCCATCAAAATTCAGTTATTAATTTTTATTGTTATTATTAAAACAATTAATGTTTCTGTAACTAATAGCCGTCGATGTCAAAGTTATTAAAAGTAAGTTTTTTTTAACCTTTAACTATAAGACGTTAATTTGTTAGAAAATTGAATAAAGTATAAAAACAAGGTAAACATTTAAAAAATATTTAGTTTAAATATGGCTGTACAATTAAATTTGAAGGGACAATTTTAAATGGAATATAAATTAAATATTTTTTGCAACTCGGTATAAGATGTATTACTTGTAATAGATCTCATGTAAATATACATATGTATTTTTAAGTTTTACATGTTCAGATGTGTAATTACAATATTATTCTTGCCAATTTTGGGGTATACGAAATAAAATAAAAAATAAACAATGATAATACAAGAAATATGGTCAAATAATAAAATGCACCTTCAGTTCGAAAAACGGGAAAGAATGTTATAAGATAGTTTGGCAATGTTAAAATAAAATATTCAAATGAAAAAGTAAATCAAAAGACAAATGGGTCGATATTATATGGATAAAAATGTGAGATAAATGCCCGACCTAATGCCGGAAAAAAACATTACTAAAAAGAAAAAATGAAAAGAAAAGAAAAATAAGAAAAAGTTTATTAGAATCAAAAATTATTACTAGAGCAAATAACTTACTATATCAATAAACAAATCATACACACATCTTTAAAATACAAAATTGTTATGTACGTTATAGACGTACAAATTAATACTATACTAAAATTAAACTGTCTTAATTATGTTTGCTTACTATTACCATAAAAAAATTATTTCTTCTACATTTTTATTATATCAAAAATCGTTCGTCAATCAAAGTCTTTTTAGCCAAATTCGTTTTTCCGAGTTGTGTTCTTATAACACTTATTATCTATAAAAAAAAAACATTTTTAGACGACAATTTACCTTAAATCAAATTTATAAATACAACCAATAGTAAATACAGAATTGAATTATTGTCTGTTACATTTAAAACAATTAATGGAACAGTTGGGAGTAAGACTAGAAATGTTATAATAGTTTATGATAAATTTATTGTAACTTTTAGTTTAAATGTACTAAACTGACATATTTTTAGGATCATAAAATAAGCCCACCGGAATTTTTAAGAAATAGCGATAAGACGGAATAACTGATAAGAATAATTAATGATAAGAGAAATTACCTGATAAGAGATGTGATAGTTATAAAAAATGGTCATCGATAAGGAAAAATAAAAGTAAGTCCGCTGATAAGAAATATTATAGTGAATGGTGATTGACAGCTGGGAATCGACGATATAGAAGGTAGTAATTATTATTATAATATAAGCAAACTAGAATAAAGAAAGGATACGAGGAATTTCAAAATCAATAGATGTGGTGTGTCGAATTAAAAACTTCATGTCTTTTAATTTAACTCGCTGAGTTCGAATGAAAGTCGAAAATGATACTTCACCTAATGTTTTTTGCACATACCTTAACCACAAATGCCGTCAAGATGCCGGCTAGTATAATGTCTCCGGTGACGACGAAGAAAAACGACAACATCATTACATCGAATATGACCAGAGTGCACTCGTTTCCGTAGAATATAACTTTGTCGAACGAATGGCCGTCATCTATATATTTCACAAAGACAAATTTAAAAGAGACCGTAATTATTTATTTATAGATAGGTGGTCTCTAGAAATAACTTTGCCCTGACCTATGAAAAACACTCCTTTGTCCGAAGGATCCGAGTATTCGATTCCCAAAAGTTTCTCGACGAAGGTCTTTTCCCGGATTTCGTAATCCAAATCTTTTAACGCCTTAAAAAAAAAAAAAATAATCAAATCCAATATCTGCGCTGTGGCAATTCGTCAAATTCGCTGCAGCAACCCCAAAGTGGACCGGAATTGAATCTAAAGTACACTTTACTTACATGATCCAAAAACGCAGCGAGAAATTTGTTCATATTGTTGTAGGCCTGTCCGATTCGCACCATGTCAGTCTTGTCCACTCTTTTGATTCTAAACGAAGAACCGGATATTTGCTTGGATTGGATCTGTTAAAAAACAACCTATAGTGAAAACAGAGAATTTTGACCGGAGGACGCACTTGCACCAATACTTACACCGTTCAAGGGAGCCATTACTCTGCGGTAGTAAGTCCTCAGCGACGAAGGTATGGTCATCTCGAACGTTTGCTTCTCGGTGCCGGGCACTAAGCCCCTGTGTCTGACCATGTTGTCTTCTTCTTTTTGTAGTTGTCCAATAAGGCTCTCCATGTCCGTGTCGGAAAACCCGTGGGCCGACCTTTGTAAAGGAAAATCGTTTAAAATGAATATGTCTTATAGTCGCTCTCGTCGCACAAAGGGAAAGGAAGGAGACGCCGGAGAGAAGGAAGCGGTTGGGAGGTGATGGGCTAAATTAGCTTGTTGTGCAGAGCATGGTCCAGTGTCTTTCCTTCAAGGGAAATGGATTGTACTTTGATGTTTTTTAGTGAATGTCCATCGGTGTATAAGCTCTTATATACAGTTCATTTTACCTGCCGTGTATGTAGTAGCCGAAATATTCTGAAGACAGTATGAACACACTGACGTTGGCCAAAGAACAGACGTCCACAAACTGTTGAATACAATTCTTTATGTACCGTTCGTAAATGCCCACCGTCACCAACCACTATAACAATGTTAAGTACACACCAACAAATAAATAACATGTTATGTATTTTCAAAAGGCAAAATATAACACCAATATTTTTTTCCAAGAAAATATGGTTACCCTCCATGCCTGAACAACCTTCTACCCTCCTCTCGTTTTAAATAAAATCATCAGTAAAGTCCTCGTATTTAATTGACGAACTCATGTCATCAAATTAACGCCCAGAAAGGGAAGGCCAAATGTGGACAACATTGTAAGTTGAGATGAGGAATAATTGTTGTCAGGCATCTGACATCAAACCCACTGATTCAGTGAACAACCCGCACTTAGATTGTCGGTATGTGCCGTACAAGTAATTCAACAAAGTCCAAATTCATTGAGTCAAGTACTATGAAATATATGTATTACACGCTAAAATTGAACCAAATTTCAATTACAAAAGAACTTACAATATAAAACATCAACTGAAATTTTATCTGATCAATTTAGGTATTAGGGACTTAGTTGAATAAGGCCCACGCTTTTATTTTCAGAATTTAGAATTATTTTAACGGTTTCTGCAAAGTTCAGCGTGACATTAATGGTAAACATAAAAAATTGGTAAATTGTAAAAGACAATGGTTTTATTTTCAATGTTGACTATCATCCCAACCGAACACAAATAATTAGATGATACCAATATTTACAAAAAAAAAAAAAAATACTCGAATAACAAATCCCTAATAGACTTGCTGAGCTCGAAAATTCTTTGAAATATTTATAAACACAATATCTAACATTGTAAATTCATTGGAATTTATAATCAATGGGCATATAATTCTAGAAAGAAGAATGCAAATAGTTCAAACCGCACTAGCGTCATACCTAACCCATCACCAAATGCATGTTTTACAGTTCACGGATGTGCTTTGGGTAGTTAATGTGGATTTTAATTATTCCCACTGTCAATAAACAAATATACGAGTCATGTTGTTCACTTATCTTTAAGAAACTTGCACTCAGACAGTCTTTGAGTAAGCTAAATAAAAATATTTTATTCAAATCAACCCTCTGAATACTAATTTTTTTTTTTTTTTATATAACAATGTTTGCAACGCGTTGCTATGTTTTTCAGTTAAGAGAGGGATATTATGGTGATTTTCAAATTTAGGTATTTGATATCATATAGAAAATCTAATAATTAATCAATGCCTAGCTACGATATTGGTACAATATATTCATCACGATAATTAAAACAATTAATTTTTTTAAATGTCGGTTTCAAAGCGCATCAATTTGTCATTAAATCAAATAGTACCATTCTATAGTTTGTAAAACGATAATATATTATGATTTATTTGAAAATAACAGAGACCTCTAAAACAATAAAAAAAAATTTTTCAGTGTAGGCACTTTAAGGGCGTAGCAATTTTATACCGTTTTCGATTATGAGATGAAAATGGAATTTTATTAATCTACTATTATTATTCTATATTCAGTTTGAGCAGTAGTAATGTAATACCCATACCGTTTTTACGGTCACGACACGCTGAAATATAAATCATTACCAGGTAAATGGTAAATCGATCCTTGAATTGGGTCTCATATATTTTACAAGATTGGCAAAACCAAATTGGCTCTCTCCAATTCGACCCTTTATCGTTTTACGGGAGACGTTTCCACTGATGAATAAGTAACAAAACGGATCCAGTTGTTATGCTTGAACCGAAGAATGCATTTGCTTCAAAGTTGTACTACAAAAAATGTTGCACTTTTCTATAAGTATATTATATACTTAATTAATAAAGACAAATTATTACAATTGATTAAATTGTATTTATATTTTACTTTTAGTAGAAACGCAAGCATTCAAATGACAGATTTGAGGGAGCTACAAGTAAGTAAAAGTACACCACAAAATAACCTACTAATAGTTTCTGCTAATAGGAAATATTAATTATGTATACTACTGTGAAAACACTGTGTTTGTAATATTTTTTTTGTTTTTTAAAAAAAAAAAATTGTCATAGTATACAATATATCATATTATCAAAAGTACACAACCCTCAATTTAATTTTCAGATTCCGAGTTAATAAAAAATTGAAATAAAGAATAAGTTTTCAACCCTTTCGAAAGAAATGTTTAATAATACTTTTATGGGGTTTGACTTTTCACAAGATATCATAAATAAACAATATTAATATCGATAAAAAATAAAATTGGTAGGTACACAAAATAAATTTGGAGCAATTTTTAATAAAAGTCAACAGGTTTTGGTGAGCCAAAATTTCTGAAAAAACCTTCTTGCAAACTGATGTCACTTGGCAAGAATTTAAAAAAAAATCAAAAGTTAAATTCACGCTTTTTTGGAAATATCTAAATTTCGTATGACATATTCGTTTTTAAGAATATCTTGCAGTATATATATATTGTAGAAACAATTTTTTTTTTTGCTTATAATACTATTTTTAGAGAAATACAGACAGCCCGTGGAGTATGATTTTCTTTTATAGAGTGTAATTTATTTCAAATAAACCCTCTATAGAAAAAAAAAATCGTTATTGCGCACAAAAATAGTAAAACGATTAAAACATATTATATCGTTTTAAAACCAATACCATTTCAACCACATTGACTCTACAAAACAAAAAAAACATACTTAACATACCGTGTACATTACAACGCATACAACTCTTATCCTTGACTTCTGTGAATTATAAGCGTTTAAAAGATTATAATTATTTATATCTAGTTTATTTTAATTTCAAGACTGTGAAAACATTGTTAGTTACTGCTATACATATGTTATGTATTATTGCAGACTTTAAGAAGTCAATTGGATAGAACATGTTTTTTTTTTTTTTTTTTAAAAAGAACGTCGTCTACCTAACTCTAAATTGATACTTGAGAGTTTTTAAAACTTTTTTTTACATACCTGCACCGTGTAAACGGTACTGAAAATCGCAACGAGCATTGCCAGGGCCAACAACTGGCTAATCGGTCTGTACGGTGTACGAACCAAATGGACGTCTGGTTCGGCTGTAGCCCAATTTTCAAATCCGTATATCTAGAATAGTGTGCGGGGCAAAATGTTTAGAAAAATATTATACTGTAATTATACTTGTGCGATACTGGTGAACGACAGAAACAAAGTAAAACTCGTTATTTATCCACGCCCGTACTTTGAAAAGAAGCACGGTGAGCAAAAGTTGCACGGGTAAACTGATTTTTCTTTTTGTTTGTATTTCAGCCCACTCGTTGGCTACAAAGTAACTTCGCCATATGCTAACGGTTTGTTTTTGAGTAGTGGCGGTCGCGCCATTTGGTTTTTGGTTAGGCACTATGCGCGGTTTTTCCCAGTCGACTAGAAATATATCAACGCTGGTCTGCTTCCAAATCAGTCTAAGTAGTTCGACTGTCTGAAAATCGTGTATTCGCCTTATAAGTGTTTAGAGGTACAAATGTACAATACATGGTTCAACGTGTGGTGTCAACAATTATTAGTCGACTAACTTGCAATCTTATAATAATAACATTTTACTTACCAACAATATCATTTTATAATTACAAATTTTAAAAAAATCCTAAAATGTTTGCTCCACATATTATACATCTCATAGTTCACTTTCAACCGAACCATCGAACACACATTTAAATAGTTTTGGTCAATAAGTATTTAAGTGTTTTGCATTTGTTTTTTTTTTTTTTATGTGAAATTGATAATTTTTTTTTTATTCCTAGTGCTTTTTTTTATTTATACAGGACATGCATTATTGTACAATAAAAATAATGTATTATGTATTTTGTTTTTGACACTATTTATCTTAAAATTTAGTTATTTACATTTATTTTATATTATTTACACACATATGAATATAATTACCTATTGTTATTATATAGTTAATTATTTATTATTTATATATTTATTATATGTGTAACAGTTTTTATTTTTAAAAAAAATAGTGCATTTTCCACGTGTATTACTAAGTGAAATATTTTTTGTTGATAAATAATTTTTAACAAAAACTTAAATACATGTTAAACAGAAGTATTGAAATTACTATTCTTGAATTTTATATTACAAAATTAAAATACTTAAATTACTTACAACAGTGCTGATAATTCTGCAATAATATTCATAAATTATTAATTATAGGTAGATATGAATAGTCAATTATGTATGTTCAAAAATCACTGTTTTCGTTATAGTGGACAGGCGTCTAAAGTGAACTTTTCTTTGAACAATTTTTCATGATTGATGTTTGAAATATCTTCTGTTTCTTCTAACGTCAAAACTATATTGTATCCTAATATTTGTACAATGTGTAGGCTTCATAGATTTTATAACAAGCAGATTCCCACTGTCTAGAAGGGGATTCTACCACCCACCCATTTAAAAACCAAGACGAGGGTACCTCTGCTGACAGCGTCAAATCGGATCCGTTTCATCACAGATTAGCGATGCTTATCTGTATCGGTAGTTATCATAACCGCACACTCTTTAAAATCAATCAAACTCCTACAATTCAATTTTACTATCTGGTACTCAGTGTATTAAAATAATATTCGTTTATCACGACTTAAAATTTATGTTTTTAAGTTGAAGTATTTCAGCTTTGTGATGCAAATTATATGAGAACTACGAACGGCGCTCAGAGCTACCATAACTAGCCGAGTTCATTCAACTCAGGCATCCTTTTTTTCGCTCGTCCAAAATATTTTGTGACGCAATTTTTCACCTAATATGTTTTTATTTCAAATTTACCTAAAAATGTGTGCGGTTTTGATCTATACTTTAACCTTGTTTACAAATTAAAAAATGCTTAAATGGATTTAAGCGACAAGTATGCAATAATGAACCACGACCATCTGTAAACTTTTGCTAAAAGTCAATGGTAGGAGCCTTTTTTTTTTTTATGTGCATCTTAGAATAACCGCGAGGGATCTGTCCAACGGTAGGAGCCTATTGGGTATTATTTGCTGCTTCGATTTGCCAAAAATGTGCACTCATAACACCGCCATATACAACAAAACTAACCTAACCTAGCCTACCGACGATTTGAATACAACATTATAAAGCCGGACGCGTTACCTTCAGTAAAAATGCCAACACTATATATCTGTCGACGATGGACTCGAGGTCTTGAGACGGTAGCAGTGTGTATACGACGCTTTGGGCTTTGTAGAACAGTAACGTGTACAGAGCCAACAAGGCGCAGACGGCGAATATCATGTTGGCGAAATGAGAACAACAAGTGATCATGAACTGTCCGACGGTCCACAGGTCGATCGCCATCCGTCCGCACCGTTTGGACTCGCTCCACGTGTGTATGCAACTCCAGATGAACACGCACCCGCTGAGAATGGCCAAACTCATCTGGACAAAATACAAAACGCTATTATACTCTGTCTCGCGGGAGAACGGTACTGCGCGGAAACCAAAACGCGTATCCGCGCAGGTGCATGCGAGAGTGTAATGCGTTTTGGTGTCTGCACGCACCGTTCTCTCGGCGAACAGAGTATAATTAATAAATGTAGGAGGGAAGCCAGTTTGCGGGGTTTTGACAACTGCGCGGTAGCCAATCAAAAGTGGCCAACGAGTCAGTAGCCAATCAAAAGTGGCCAACGAGTCAGTAGCCAATCAAAAGTGGCCAACGAGTCAGTAGCCAATCAAAAGCGGCCAACGAGTCAGTAGCCAATCAAAAGCGGCCAACTCGTTGCACCTCTACCCCTCGCCTTTGTAACACCCACCGCGTTTACAAACGGCTGTCACACACCGTCTCTTCTTTCCTATTTTTGGTCGTGTGGTGAAAGGTGGTTGCTCGCACTCTGGTACACACACAATTTGCAATCTGCTTAACATCTCATTACCTTAACGGCACCAACAAGTATCTGGCGTATTTATGCTACGTTAGAGTCAAACTATTGTCTGTTGTTGTCAAATGTATAATGCTATCAGTCAAATCGTTTTGTAGAGAAAACGGCGAATGTTCTATAAACGTTGATAGCATACATTACACTGCTAGGATGTACCCTTTGTCTCTGTATTGTCACATTGTCAATCCAAGTGTACTTGATAGTATTCATAAAATAAAATGTTTGTATAATACGAGAACAAGTAAAGAATATTTAGACTAAATATAAGTTTGTCGACTAGGTTAAATTTATTTTTTTTTCTATCAAAACCCTGTCGAAAGTAAGATGTATTTACACACAACCCTTGTGAGTACTGTCGCGGCTCATTATTTTTTTTTATATCCCCAAAGCCTCCCAGCCAAAAAAAAAAAAACCACATAAGTCACATAGGGCTTGTCTTACGTCGACATAGTGGAGAGCATCGTTTTCCATGTAAAACTCGACGGTGAACGTCACGGGCAAAGGCACGTCCAGCGATATATTTTCATTAGTCGCCTGACCGTATTCCAAAACCATGAAAGGCGGTAAGATATTGCCTTCGTTTTCGACTTCGCGCTGAGCTTGGATCCTACAAATCCGACAAAGGATGTCGTCGATAATAATTATTTATATATACATTTATTTTTCCACCGCCACGTCTTCTCGTCGTTCCCACGCGATTTCACCTGTCACTTACACGAGTTTGGCAAACTTCAAATATTGAACGACGGCCGGAAAGCCCTGGGCCTTGACGGCGGGTACACCGCTAAACTTGTCCACCAGAAACATGCGTCTAGTCAGCAACCACTGGGAAATGTCTTTGCCCTAAACATTTTCGTGAAAGGAATAATAATATGTTTTTATTTAAATGTATTTTGTTACAACCGTGAAATTGCAAACAACACACACAGTATGACCAACAGCAAACAGATTTCAACCTCAATTATTTTGACAACGTTAAAAATTATTATCTTTTTTTGTTAATTTCCAGAGATCTACCATTTAAGTTTCAAAATTAATAGAGCTTTTAAAAATACTAAAATAAGATCAATACTCAGTCATTTCAAAAAATAACATAAATAAAACCTGGGTAAAAAAATTAAAAGCTCAGGGTCAATTCCTAAATATAACCCACTCAACTTATTAGTATACTTAATTTATACTGTTGTTATTAAACAAATAATATGTTTGTATGATTTTGAAACATTTTTCTTAAATAAATTAAAACCAATGATTATACCCAGTTCTGTCATCAGACCTGGCAATTCGTTTCTCATTTAAATAAAATATATAATGGCACATAAAATAAATTATTCTAATCGTTTTGGCAACAAAAAAAATGTTGTTAAAAACATTTTATCAGAGTACCTTCCGCATAATTAATTTTCACAAAAAATGTTCGTGAGTTATAAATAATATGAAGTATAATATATTACATTAATATATAATCTTTTTTTAGCATTTTCGAATAGTTGAAAACCCAAAAATGTGTTTCTCTAGAACACTCACATAATAATAATATTAAGGTTGTACAGTACACTTGTAACAACACGAGGGGAAGACCCTGTCGCTTATCTAAACCTTTGACAAATAATAAAAAATTGTGAAATGACCATCAAAATAATTATCAGCCACTCTGTCCGCCAATATAATACAGTTTTATTTTACACATAATGTTTTTTAGCTTAATTTGAATTTTATTTTGTAGTTTGTACCTATACAGAATGACTGATTAAGTCAACTTTTTTGATCGAAAAGAGTTCTGTTATTTCAAAACAATTTTAATTTTGTCCTACTCTAGCGTTAGAGAATGTATGTATAAATTTAAATGTATGTTACATCAAACTACATTATGTATTTTAACATAAGCCACTCACGGTGTTTGGATATGTTGTTCCTACTTTGATGTTTTTCACCAACAATGGCACCGAGTACAACATTTTCTTGTTGCCTTCTTCGTACTCCAGGTATAAGTCGTAAAAAATTGGCTCCGGAGTAGCTAAACTAATGAGCTGTTTTGCAGGTATGTCACACGTGCGAAAATACCGAGCTCCAAAACGAAAAGCAGAGTCAATCCCTTGCCACAGTCCTGGACACAACTGAAACTCAGACGGAGCCAATTCGGAAACGCTGTGGAGCGATCCGTTCAAGTAATACCTCGACGCAACCAATTTTAAATGACTATTCTGAAATTTAAATATTTCTGATCAGGTGTGCAAGAGAATGGTGGAATTTAAGTAGATGTACGGTGCAGAACAAAGTGTGGTTGGGGTGGAAGAAGGGCAACGGAGGTGCTGTGTGACAGAAAAGTGCACACATTCAGAGTGAAATTGTTAAAAAAAAAGGTAATATGATCAGAAATTATCAACGGAAGTGGACGTTGAGCAATGAAAAAGAGAGAAGAAAAGAAAATATAAGTGGCTAACATGTGAATTTTCAGGTGGATTGACTAGGTAAAAAATAATAAGGTACGAGTATGTACTTTTGTCTTAACTTTTATGTAAGAGAAAGTTTGGGAGTTGCGCCAGAAAATGAGAGAAAACTTATTAAAATGGTTTGAACATCTTTAACAAAAGAGAGGAAACTGATATAGTAAAACGAGTTGAATTGATCACAGTAAAAATATTTAAAGGTACATGTAGGCCGAATAAGAATTGAGCAGATGTGATAAAAAGTGACGTGGAGGTGTGTAGGGTGAATAATGAAAAGGCGATAGATAGGATATTTATGTAGAAAGTAGATTTGCCTGGTGGACTCCACGTATCTATGGGATAAGGTGAAGAAAAAATATATGGAGGGCCACAGCAAAAGTGAACAAAGTCCATCGCAGCTGATTTCCAGCAATTGGCTCCTAAATTATTGATCCTAAGGACTTGGTACACTGTGGCACTGAGCCCTTAATATATTGGTGTAGCGGCAAAATGAGGAACCCAAGACTCTTGCTATACAAGCAAGAAATATAAAAATCTGTAAGCACATCAGCTATACGTCAAGGATTGAGACTAAATTATTTGAAGTTGTAAAAGGGGATTCTGATAGTCGGCCCTTTCCCAATCCCCTTTAGGGATATAGACAGGACGTTAGGAAAATTGACTGGATCTCAAGTCGGTGCAATGCCTTGTTCCCAGAGATACAAAGACCGTCTCTATCGGAATTAAAACTAAAAGTACATACGCGTCTATCGGGTTTTATGCTGTATCTGGATCCGATTTTTTTCTTATTCAACACAACGAAAGCGTCTCCTTCGCCATAATAGATCCAAGGCAAAGGCAGACGGTCGACGTCCAACGTGGTCGGAATCCGCCTGTAATCCTTGAAAACTTTACAAGCACTCACTTTTCTCTCGTCTCTGTACATTTGTATTGCGCACAAATTGCCCAGAGCTTCGCACGAAACGCTGTGCCTGACCTGTGAACGAATCGATTGAAGAGCAAACTTAACATTAGACGTGTACAACAATATTGGGACCGTTCGACGGTCACAGGAACCGGTTGCACGCGGGGACTTGTATTACACAGGGTGTTCCAAAAAGAATGGTGGGGTTTCAAACGGCTGCGGGCTGTGAAATATTGGACCTACAGCGCTCTGGCGGGGCTTGAACGAAAGCGGGGGTTGTCGAGTTTCGAATGACCGCCACTAGACGTTTCGCAGTCGTAACTGAATTACGCTTTTTCGAACTCGATCACTTCTCGTGTGAGGACGCCATCTTAACAAACTGAACAATGAAGGCTGGCCACACAAACGGGAACGCGGAGAGACAATCTAGTGGCAATCGCTGTAGGTCCAATACTTCACAACCCACAGCCGTTCGAAACCCCACCGTTCTTTTTGAGACACCCCGTATAGCTAATTAGCTATACAGGGTGACACAGGGTTACAGATTGACGATTTACATTCAAACATCTGTGCAGAAGAGCCCGCAAATTGGTTTTCAAATACTTGGATTCCACGGTCTCGTCGACTAGATCGTAATCGACCAAATGAGTGTCACGTTCGTCCGGCCATTGACTTAAGTTCGATTTGAGCACACACACGGTGCCGTCCAACAGTGGCTCGTGTGACACTGACGGGCAAGAGCAATTAGCCAACAAACAAGGTATACATTTCGTTCGGTCTTGCGAAGGGGTTGTGCCAGCTGTGCAACGAACACACGACCTCGTACCCAGCGACGTGCCGTTCACATCAGTTTCCACTAAAAAAAAAACAGCGCACATAAAACTATTGGAAATTACAATAGTATATAACCTGTAAAATAACTGCATGATCATGTTATCGTGAACCACTCAATATCTCATAGGGTTTAATGAGAAATTACATTTTTTACATCCAGACAAAAGTTTACAATAGAGCCGCACAATTGACGAGGTATGTTTGCCCGGTACAGTGTAAGTACCCGGCACCGATAATGCTTGTATTTAATGAAAAAAAATATATATAATCTCTCCTTCGACATTGCACCGCGTCTGCTATATGATCAGCTGCGATTTTCTTAGCAATCATCTGGCATTAGCCGAATCTTCTCAATAATAATAACTCTTATCGGTTGTACAGGAATTATTGTTTATTTCCCTTTTAACCACCCCGTCCATCTACCAATTATACACACTCGTCACTATACCATCCCTACCTCTTTATGTCGTAAAAGCTTAGTACATTATTCTCAAAACCTAATGAAATGTATGTGCTACCATTTAAGTTTCAAAAGTCGCCATCAAAAAAACTAAGTTGAGAGGGGTGTAAAAACAAAAACAAATTGTGAAGAACTGAGACCACATTGTATGGAAAAAAAATCGTATTAAGCCCTTTGAGATCATTCTGTATCATTTTGTTTGGCATTTTTTTCGACCACTTTGACAGTGCTAATATTTTGTTATTTTCAAATCGATTTCTTTGTGAAATTACAAAAAAAAAAACTACACATTTTTGTCACGAAATTAGCTTAATAAAATAAGTAACAGTTTTTGAATTTATCAAAGATAATTTTAGGAAATATAGTTTGATTTGTGGAATTTTTATTTAATTATAGTACATATAAATAATAACAATAAAATAAGATAGCTATAAGAAAAATAGCATAAGTATGAAAATCGTGTAGGTAATAACTAATATTATTTTGACATGTACTATAATAACGCCAACGCAGCAATAAGTGCAAATCTAGTTGTTCAAACAATAACATAATGTCTGGCTGTATATGCGTTGTAAATACTAAATACCTATCAAATTAGTGCAATGGCCTTAGCAGCCGCTTTGCTTGATAAAAAGAAAACTAATTCTGTTTTAAAATAAACCTATTTAAATTTTATTTTATTTTATTTAGAAGCTAAACGTAACTTAAGTAAAATTAAAAAAAAAAACACCAGTAAAAAACACTAGTATAAAAAAACACATTTAAAAAAAAAGAATGAAAACTTATCGATTAGGTCATAAGATGGATAATAGATTTGTTTTATAGCTAATAAACTCTGTTAGTTATTATTGTTAGTTTTTTTTTTTAGAGATTTTAGAAACGATTTCATTTCATGTAGAAACTTGTAAAAAGAGGTTAGAGATTATAGATGGAAAATGAGCAAGGCAACCAGCAAGGCCGGCAAGTACCTACACAGAAAAGTTTCTAAACATCTTTAATTTAGTCAAGAAGTTAAGAAACTATTGTAGACACGAGAGAGACCCAGCATAAATTATAATCTAGATTTATACCGAGATAAGCAACACTGTAGACCATAGATTGTGGTCTGTGGAGGGATCCGAGGTAGAACCAAAGAAAAACCACTAAGGAGAAGCATTTAGGAGAAAGGCAATTGATTTACATGTCTACATGAACGGCAACAGTGTGTAAACTTATTAGGGAGGAACATAATTTGAAAAATAACACCATCGGCTGTCGAGTAAAGGTTTCCAAAACGTGAACAAAACACCTCCAAAATAGGTTCGAAACCGGTAAAAAGGCTACAAAAAAATGTCAGGTTAGGTTGTGTATTGAAATTAGGTTGCACTATATTCTTAGAGACAAGCGACTTTTGTTTTATCCATTTTAAACCACTTTAGGTGGTGTACCCGTAAACAGTATTCCACTGAGCCTAAAAAAAAAGGAGGGGGGACAACCCTAGGTCACATGTTATACAAATAAATCTCAACATCGACAAGGTCTTGCTTTTACAAATCGTTTACTATTCTATACAAATTGTATCCACTTAAGAATATATCTAGTAGTACTTGCACGATAACCTACATTCGATATCTTTTGATCCACATGCGTTATTTGTTATTTTCAAACACCGTGAGTGATCCTTTGAAAGTGTAGTATTTGTCGGACAACGTTCACATAATGTGTTTTTCACAGTCTTGCTGCTATTGTCGCAAACACATGTCTTTCCTTGGCTCGAGAAAAAATGTAATATTACATTGAAAACAATAATGTCATGTTTTTTAAAAAAAAATGTCTTACTTACGGTCAACCGGTGAAATTTTTCCATCACCACACGACTTACAAGACATTACGTTAGGACTGAAATATTCCCGGTCGGTACAATTCTCTGGTGTCTCGTATGTAAGAATTTCTCCGTTTTGTACACTCAATATTACCGTACAACCAAAGAGGATAATAATCGTATGAAAAAAATACAGTCCCATATTTTGAATATATTATAGGTGGTTTATTAATAATCTACAAATAAATTAATGGAACATCGTTTAATTACAATGAGAAAAAAAATCATTTTTAGTTACTTATAATGGTCAAGCGGTTTTGTTGTGATTCTGTTGCCGTGACAACATAACACAAACAATAACATTGAAATTTGAAATCATTTTTACTGATAACAAAAAAAAAAAATCTCTAATATTTTAGACAACTTATTTAATTATATCACACATCTACAACATTTAAAATTAAAAAAGAGAGTGAGAGAGATACATGTACTCGTTATATACATATACAAAAATGAATACTCAAAACAAAAGTGCAAAAAAATACATAAAGATATCCATTAGGATAAAGCAGACGTGATTACAGTTTACAGTGTAGATGTTTTTTATTTTTAAATAATCATTATTATATGAATACAATTATTGGGTTTCTGAATTTGAGTCTTTGTCAACGTGTTCCTTCTTGTATTTCAACAAGAATGCGGCCAAATAACCTAGAGGATCCGGAGGTCTGCAAATATAATCAAAACAAATCAATATAATATTAATAAAAATATTTTTAAAAAAATATCAGTTAATTTTCAAATAATTCAACTACATGGATTATTTTTTTAAGCCAATGACGAATGTCTTTTAACTGCTCAACTGATTTCTTAATAAGTACAATCTCCAAATACTTCGCAAATAGTCAAAAACATTATAAAAGGCCTTAATTTTATTTTTATCAATAAAGGATCGGTCAAAACAGAAAGCGGACTGTCCGCGCGGACAGGGTCCGTCCAACTAGTCCGCCAGTCCGCTGCGGACTGGGATAGTCAAACAGAATGCGGACAAGTTTGAGCGAACCAGTGTGAAAACTGCCACAACCAAGAGTGTACTGCTGGTTGTTTTTATATTTTTTACTTTTTTATCTCACGTTTTCTGTTTTCATTTTCTTTTGCAAAATGTCTAGATTTTTCTGCTTGCCTTGAGTTAAGCAAGACGAAAAAAAAGAAAATGGGTACATGAACTAAATCAAAAAAGAATCGAATTTGGGGAGTTTCACCGACTATGCTGTATTCTCAACGTTCAAACTAGAACTGAACTAAATTTAATTCAATAATTTAAGAAGACATATTTTTATGAATTGTTTTAAGCCAGATATTAAACACTAAAATATTAGCCAGAAACTTGATGTTTTAATATACTAGCCACCTTAGATACGAGTTTGTTACTGCTTGTTAATATACTATATCATTATCTACCATTATCTATAATTCCACCACTACTTTAAATTTATTTGGTACTTCAACGAGACATGAAAATGCTCTTTCGTGGTTGCAGACTCGGCTGAAAAATTGTATTAAATTTTACATTTTTGTGAAGTGTTGATACCAGTCTTTTGTCGAATCTGTCCATTTTTCTGTTTTTTTTATAATCTGGATGCTACATATCATACAAATAAACGCATTCTTGAACTAGATCAATCAATCGTTCCGTTTTATCGGTCATTTTCAGTGCACAATTTTAAAATGAAAAAAATGTTAAAATTAAGTACAATATGTTGTCATCAATATTGTTTGTATATTTTATGTTCGATAATTATATAAAAATAATAATAATATTTTAGAAGTGCTGATACGTGTGGAAAATTCAGTGTTTAACCAGAATGATGCATTTAAATGGAGTACAGAGTCCGCGGCGGCCGGCGACCTGTCCACGCGGACAGTCCGCTTTCTGTTTGACCGATCCTTAAGTATTCAATATTTATTTATAATAATCTCTTAAAAGTAATCATCATAATATATTGACGGTTTCAAGCCAAAATGACGTAAGAAATATTAAAGCATTTTCACAAGAGAAGCAATAACAAAAATTCTAATACTTATTCATTTGTCGCTTGAACACATTGTAATCCTTTACCCTAAATTCTATACAGCATTTTCAAAAACAAATTTACCAACACCATAACAACTTATGCATATTTATACTAATATGCCATTTTAATTGGCGTACACGCCTATATTTGTTATCTTACGAGTATTTATTAAATTTTTAACCTAAAATTGTGATAAGATACAGAATAGTCAAAAACAAAGAAAAAAGACACTCAGTTGAAATCACAAAAAAAAACTATAGCTTTAGTCGGTCATTCGATTTTGAAAGAACAAAGATGAATTTTTTCTATACTTGTCCCTACCAAACTATCTTCTAGATGTAATTGCTATGAACAGAATATCGAACCAGCGATTAAAAATATAAAGTTGGAAAACGCATCATAATACCTCGGCGACTTAGCATCAATGCTAATGATAATAATATATTTGTTGTTTATTTTTACCTTTCCTTGACCAACTCTTTCATTCCGACCAACAAAGCCGGTACAACAGTTTGATCCAAATACTGGCGCATTGGTGCTACGTGCTTTGAATCTTTTTTGGTTTTTTTAGCGTTGACGTCTTTCTGTAAACGTAATACATAAAGGTAGATATTATATGCCATACAAATATGCAGTATAGTTGTCGGCTCTTGTAGAGCGTAAGAGATCGACGCACTTGAGATTCCATGAGGCTGGATTCGGATGACACATCCGACGGATGTACCAGCGGCGGTGTGGTCGGCACTTGACCGTTTGTCGCTTCTACTAGAACAAAAATAATTTGTTATTCATCGATTGGAACATCGGCATTCGAAAGCTAGTTGAACTCACCCGACGACGACATTTTAAGTACAAATTTTTTTTTACTTTGCAATTAAGAAAAAAACAAATCACTGACCGAATACATACAACTTGGCACTTGCAATTATATCAGCACAACACTACAAACAACAACGATTCAAATTATCGGCAAGCGCAAAATAATAATAATATAGATGTCACATAAATTCAATCCGAAAATTTCGACGATTTGTTGATAGTAGAAACCATTGTTGCCAAGTAGACGTCGAGCTCAGCTGCCGATTGTTATCACTTTTCGCCATAGCGGATATTGCTTACATATTGTTATCAGCTGTTATCTTTGCAAATTGTGTACTATCACGGAACAGAATTATGCGACACCGTCATAAATATTGTTATTATTATACATACGCAATTTTCCAATATTATTTATTTACCATGATGATTAATCTATAAAAAAAAAATTTGCTTCGTAAATTAGGTACGATACTTACATTATATTTTACAAATTATAACTCGTACAAAAATCAGACGATTTGCTTCTCATAATAGAGGTGTGAAACATAACTTTCAACACAACTGTAATGTAGGTATAATAGTTTTGGTTCAATTCTCCGGTTGTATATCGATAATATTGTACTGACATATGTTTTAAATCGTCTGGTTTTGTTTTTAACATCACTTTGAAAAAAACACAATAAATACGCATGTCTTGTTACTTAGTGTAAGCGTAAAACTCGGAACGCCCCAAAATGGATACACTAGTTTACAAGGAAATAAACGTTGGTGAATTATATTTTTCACTAAAATGCAAAAGCGATGCTATTATTTTCTTGTCAGTAGTACCTGAACACCAATTGCCATCGCCAGAAGATAATTTGGCATATGAAGTAATTAGAAATTGATATAATATAAATATAAATCGGAAGTGGCTTGTGCCTATGTGCAATGTTATTGTCAGTTGTATGTACAATATACATATACAATTGGTGACAGAGTATAGTTTTCACACTCCTTTGTTGAATGACTACAACTCGCAAGCCACTACCCATGTATATTAGACCTCTTCTTAGGTAAGGTAAAATCAAAGTTATTCCTAATTACTTAAAAACTAATTTTGGTTTCTTCATCAACCATAATTATTAAGCCCTATAAATTCAATTTTATTTTGTCATGATTTAAAAATTGTAAAATTCGTGCCAATCAAAACATTTTACCAATAGTACATTGTAATATTGTTAAAAGTAGACAGTTTTTAAAAACTTTTATAGTTGAGTTGTAGTTTAACATCAATGTTTAATTTCAGATCAATATTGGCTGTAAAGACAACACTGAAACAACAATAAAACTAAAAGACTCGTCTTATGTTACGGTTAATACTCCAAATATTCTGAACGAACTGGAAACAAAACACTTTTGGATAAAATGGGGTGCAGGATTTATATCTGTTGGTAAAAGCTCTGAAAAAGACCCATTCATTAAATGTCCCTATAAGAACATAAAACATATTTATTGTTTGGGCTTTCAATCGCTCTTCGATGCTGAATGGACGATTCTCAAACCTCCCGACTATAGGACAAAAATTAAATGTTTGTAATGAAAGCACTTAAGATAAGATGATAAATTTTATTTAACTCTAATTTTTTCTTGTTTTTAATAATTTCAGCGATAACATCTGGTCCGTGTAAAGATGGATTATTGCAAAATGTAGAGATGAACTTTGGTGTGATTCACTTGAATGTTTTCGGACCAAAGTTTACTATAAAATTTTGCGCCTGTTTGAATAATACTACATTAAAAGAACTTTATGAGGTAGTTGATTGTATAGTATAATTTTTTTAAATTATTTTTTTTTCATAAGCTTAAATTGTTTTTCTTAAAACGTTCCCATTTTATTAACGTGGTTTCAGGTGGAAATAAGTTCGTTTTCGTCGTGCATTATAAGAAACCAAACGATCAACGACCCTGAAAATTATGTGGTAGAATATTTTTCTCCGGAGATTAAACAAAAAATATGTGGTATGATGAAATCTCAAGAATTGGTTGGTTTTTGGTTTTGTTGGTTCGACAAATGTTTATCAATGGGTATAGAAGACAGTATTAACAAGCCTTTGTTGACAAGTAAAATTTCACCAACAGACTTTCATTTGAATCATATTGGGAAAATGTCAAAATGGTCTAAAAGTGGGTTTTCAGAAGGTAAATTGAAATATTTTTAAGATAATATTTATATTTTGAATTGAGTATTAACAATTAATTTACCTACCTATATATTTTCAGTATTTTCTACAAAATGGCATGGAGTCAGATACCCAACTGATGGAGTTCCTCATTTGTCAATCAAAGAAGTACATTAACTTTACAACTAAATAATGCATAAAACAGAGTAAATTTTCATAACCTTAAATTAGATACTCTAAAGGGTAGAACAATTCTTCTTGATTTAATTTTTCCTGTATCATTTGTTTTTTACTCTGTTATCAAGTAGTAAAATTAAACAAATATGTCCATTTTTATTTCCTTTCTATTAAAGTCTAAACATCGTAACAAAAACTGTCCAATAAGATAAAAACATGTTGTCATAATGATAATATTCTTCACCTATATAATAATTAAAACACATAAACAAATTGTTATCAATAAAATGTCTCATTTTGAACATTTTTACCGGTAGTCTTAATTTTAAATCACACATGATCTCCTCTGAAAATCATCAAACTCTGTAGTCGGTGATACACACTGAGTATATAATTAATGCATTATTAATTAAACTAAAACGTTTTTTGGGGTTTTTTTTAGAGCCGCCAAAGGGAATCGGAAATTGAACAATTTCGTTTCAACTTTGAAAGACCCAGTTGGGTTGGAATTGACAAGATGGACCTAAAACATTATGTTTGTTCAGCGACTTTTGGACTTGTAGTCAATTTTTCCGGCGATACGATAGAGCAGTTGACTACATTACAAAACGATCACTGTGACCAAGTACTAAACGTGATCGCTAAAAACTACGATAAACCGAGATACACGCTGGGCCTTACCCTGATCCATTATTACGTCAAATCCGCCAAGCTTTTAAGTCTTTTATTGAGAATATATTGCGACGAAGGTGTAGTGTGTTTTATTGACTTAGCATCGGCCACATTCTATAAAGAATTCCAAACATACATCAATCACGTAATGTTGTTAAGAGCCAGAAATCCTCGGCAAATTAGTCAGGCAGACAGCATACATTATCCACCCAATGGTATTTTTTTGGATACTACAGCTTTGGTTTGTTGTGATTTTTCCAACGTAGATTTTTTTAGTTCAAGCGCCTTACCCAATTTGAATAATCCTAAATCACGTGAAGACGCATTTTTTTCTGTTCAAAAACACACTGTAAGCCCTCGGTTCTTTCGAACATGGTTTCCGGAAATCGATAATACGACTCCCGACTTATCGCTTGTATCTTACAAAAGATACATAGAAGGCCTGGTCACAAATTTCATACTGCTCGGGGGTAAAAAAAATGATACATCACACTTAGCCGCTTTGGTAGACACGTACATTTTACCTTATAAGGCGGAACTTCTTTTGCAGCTCGATGCGGTGAAAAAGTGCAAAGTATTTGAAAATTATAATATTACATATTTGTCTTGTTTAAAATACGTTATACCCAAAACCCACGTTCTTACAAACCCATATATGAATGCTCAGGTGATACTTATTCGTATGAGCTACGCCAGACTGTACGTCAGTTATTTTTATAACTTTCCTAAATTTCCCGACCGATTCGTTGCGCTCGCATCCGATGTGATGGCGTTCCTCTTGAGTGAAATCAAAAGCCTGTCGAACAGTCTAAACCTTCAAGTCCTTTGTACCGTCAAAGGACTCGACGTTAAGTGTGATCATCCTGTTAAAAAAAATGTCTTCTTCAATGTAATGCTGAATTTCACAATGAGATTAGCCGAAATAACAGGAGAACCTCTTTTTGTGTACTATCATTACTTCAATGAACTCTTGTCTAAATTTTTGTTGGTCGTCGACGAAGTGACTTCCAGATTGAACACCGTCAAATCGTTAAGACTAGTAGAGTTTTGTGCCGATTGGGTGGTCGAAAAAATAAACGATATTGTAACGAAATACAACGATGCAAAACTTTTAGTGACAGAAGTGTGTGGTGATTTCGATGAAACCGAGTTCAATCAAACGTTTAGTTCTACCTATAACCTTAAGGGCTGTTCCCATGGCTCGATGATAGACAACGTATTCGATACGACCATATCTAATCCTACGTCGTTAATAGAAGATTACAAGACCGGTAGCGTGTATTCGACACATAGAATTTTTCAAGGCCTCGAACCAAACTCCAGCGCTTCTTTCATGTATAAAGCGCCGTTTAAATCGGGCATTCACGTGTACAGAGGGGTGGCGTCGAAGAAATTCCCATCGATAGACTTTTCTAATCATTCTGTGTTTAAGAGATACGATAGTGAAAACATGGTGTGTTTATGGTCCAAAAATGGCATTTGCGATTACCCGTTGATTTTGTTTAAGTATGAAAAAATGGGAATTTACGAATACGGATTAGCTATGTTCATCAAAACGATAGTCGATCATTCAACCACATGATTTGGTTTTGTATTGGAAGTTTTTAAATATGATTCATACTGTATAGAGCCCTAGATATCTGGCTACGATAGTTTTTATTTGCTGTTGTTGAGTTAATAAAAACATTATCTAATGAACTGTAAAGAAATACTTCTCAACTTTTTAGTAAGATGTTTTTTAAAAAAAATTCGGAGTAATATAGAAAAAACTTCGTTTAATATTATTTTTGTGATAATTATCTGATGTGCTAACTTTAGTTTTAGAAAATTATATGTTATTATAAGCTTTGTGTATTGTTTTTAAATACAATAATTGTTACCTTTATAGCTTATTAATTTATACTTTAATTGTAAAGTTATTTTATTATTAATGTTACAAAAATAAGAATGGTATATTTTTCAACTCTATTATAATAACACCATCGGTGTGGTAAAGTATCTATTCAAATACTTTTTAAGCATTTCAATAATGTATTTTATAGGTATTTATATTTCTCAAACTATGTTTATTTATTTAGTTTATTGATGTATAATATTTAGTTGTAAGTCATCCAGCGGCAACTACTATCCAAGTGTATTTTAAAATATTATGATACATGTTATAGTTACAAATATGTTTGAATAATAATTTTTACATCACAGCATATATAATAAAATATAATATATTATATGATATTGTTTAAATCGAATAATTGTTCACCAAACTTATCCATTATCGAATGTTAACAATTTTCCCAAATTTGTTTGTACAGGAAAATATGTTGTCAACGGTAAACGTTTTACCAATGAATGGTATACGAAAATGTCTTATGAAAAAGTTTTAAAAATGCAGCAAAAATTTAATAATTTAAATCCATTTCCACTTACTTGTTTTTATTTTTCTGTAATAGTATTCATTTAATATGTTTAATCGGTTCATTGTTAAAATTATGACAAGCTTCTTACCATCAAGAAATTTCTTACTAAAAAACTAGTACTGTCTTGAGTAGCGAAATAGTTGATTAGAACTTAATTTTTTTTTTCTTACTCATTTGGAACTTGGTATACAAAAATCTATACTCTGATATCTAATTAAAATAATAAACTGATACACTGAAATACTAATAATTAACTGTGTTCTTAGGTAATTAATTATACATTGAGCATGTCTGTGTATTTTCGTTTAGTTCATTTACTCAACAGGAATTAGTTGGATTTAAAGCCATTTGACTAAGTGGTTTTATGCAGCAGGTGAAAGTATTTAGTTAGTTGACAAATGAACAGATATAATATTTTTTGTATAATTTTATTGAGCCATTTTGTAATGCAATAATATACTTTATAATTCAACGTTACGGACTAGATGTGACACAGGTAGCGGTACAATAATATAATATTAAAATAGTTAAACAATTTTAAAATCAGATCTATACCTATTCAGGTAGACAACATGCTGTATAGTATTTGGTTCATATAGTAGACCAGTAGGTACCTAAGAATAATTTAAATCTATTTTCGTTGGTCACTATTAACATAATATTAAAACAAATAAATAAATTGAAATAAATAACGGGTGCGAATAATTTAAAAAGCGATGGCTACACGTTATTGTAATTGTGACTAGAATTTTGACAATTGAAAATAAATATTAACTTTTTTTTTAATAAGCATTACAATTGTTCTTCGATTTTGATCAGCTCTTTTATTCCATCGTTCATTTCCTTGACAGCTTGGTATTCCGTCAGTCCCATTCTCCTCTTGTTTGAAATGTCATAAACTCCACCTTCGGCGTCCGTGTGTTCGCCTCTTGTTCCTCTTACCTAAAATTAGATAAGACATGAGTTATTTTCTTAAAATATTTTTTGTCAATTGGTACACGCATCTGCCTATTTCCAGTTATAATACTGAAAAGCTGTTTTTAAAACGCATTAAAAATTTAACAATTTGTAAGTCTCTTATTGTGTCATATAATATTTTGATCACAAATGATTTATTTAAAATTATCAGTTAGCGCTTAAAATGGAAATGTGTTATGTGTGTAATTATTTTGTAGTATTAAAATGTATGTTATATAATATTTAAAACTAAACTCTTTTTAATTGCGTTATTTTTGACAATTTGTAGTTAAAATAAAAAATATGGGAAATCTGTATCTATGATTATTCCTATTATTTTAATTTAAGATACAAATTGAGTGTTTTCAACTAATACATTTTACAAGGGGTTACTCTCCATTTTTTCTTTCTAGTAAGTTTATTTCCCCGCAATTATTATTTATAACCCATACAAATGTCAAGTCCCAATAAGTTTTTTTCATTATAATTTCTGTATTGCACTTTGAGATATTTAAAAACTACTAGTTGGTATTAATATATATTTTACCCCGAATTGAAACAATTATATATTTTTTTATATTTTCGGGATTTAAATCACATTACCTACTAATTGTTTTTTTACATTAAATTTATAATAAATTATTCTATTATTATCAATCGTTTTATTTCTAAATATTTGTTTACAAATTACACAACACATAATTCGTTTATAATTTTTTTGTTTTTACTGTCAAATAAATTAAGTCTTTTTGACCAAAACGAATTTTGGTCAAAAAGACAAATATCATTTGAATTAAAAAATTATATGAAAAAAATGTATTTTTTCGAAACAAAAATGATGCATTGCAACACTGCTACAGATAAAAAAACCATTTCCTGTAGTTTTTTTTTTGTCTAATTTGGCTCCATTCTATTGTACATATATATCTCTCATTATTTAAACATATCAAATGTGTTTAGACCAAATTATATTTTTTGTATAACGAACCACTTTTGTAATTGCCTTACCAAAAAATAATAATTATTATTTTATAGGTGTTATGATAATAATAATAATAATATATAGCTCTCATAATACCTAATATTATATACCATACTCGGTGCTTTTTTTTTTTTTGTTTACCTGCAAATTATACTTGGCGGCAACTTCTTCCAGTTTGGCTTTGTCGGCGGCCAATTTGGGCAATTGTATGTGAACCGAAGCCCGGATGGTCGTTCCCAAGTTGGTCGGACAGAATGTCAAAAAGCCCAAGCGGTCGTGGTGAGAAAACGGAAGTCTTTTCTCAACGTCGTTCACGGCGGTCACCAGCCTCTTGTAAACCTAATAACATTATTGTTTGGGTGTAATCATAGTTCACACAATACACCTAATGTGCCCGTGCTGCTTAAACTGTAAGTAAGTTACCTCGCCCAAGTTTCCTCCCATCTGCATAGAGATCAGCCTCAAGTGGTCTTCTTCGTTGCACCACACGAGGAAGGTTTTGTCTTGGTTATGGAATATGCCTCGGCCGGTCGGCCAGAATCGAGATGCGTTTGCTGCCTATACCAAATAATATAAGATAATAATAAACATTTTTTTTTTTTTTAGATCCAACAAAAGCGATTCGAGCGTAAGCGCATACTTGCAAAAACCTGTCTCCTTCTTTGAACAGGAAATGGTCGTCAATTAATTTCTGTTGCACTTCCTTGGACATGCCAGTCAACGGATAAAAATCTCCTTTCAAGCCACCGGCAAGTCCTTTCAGCGTTGACGAGACTTTCTCTTCCATCTCTTTGTACTGCGTTTCCGTCAGAAGAGGGTTGAACGGGTAACCAACCAACGAACGACCGCATCGCACTCGTGTGGAAATCACATATTTGTTCTGTCGGTAAGACAACATGGGTTTCAGCGGTATATACATTATACACATGTATGGGTCATTTCAAGAGGTGGATTTGTGTCCATGCATAAGTCAATCGTTATTTTTGACATATGAACTATGAAGGGCACAGAGGAAGAAGGGTAGTAGTCCGTGTATGAACATTTTAGAGTATAGAAAAAACAAAGTTCTCTCCCTTTTCCCAAATCGTCTATTAATAAAGTATTGAGATCAACAAAAATGTGACGATCAGAATCATTATAATGCTTCAATAGCAAGTTAAAAAAAATACAATTAATAGCCTTGGCTTGTCCAGGGTCATGGGTCGCTTGAAACAAACAGCTATGAAAATCACATTTTAGATGTTATCCAGCGCCGGGTGCCTAATTTCCATGTCGAGATTTTAATGTGATTGCATAAAAGTTAATCACTCACTTCTGGGTCCAAGTCGCCAAGCGTGTTCACGTCTCCCCAGTCTTTGGCCGGATGTTTGTCGGTGGGTTTGAAACCTTTGTGGTAATCTTCAATAATTGGGTCGAATATCGGTGCGAACACTGTGTAAGCTTCGGCGTCTGGCGCATAGATACCGACTCCAGAGTCATGATTTTCAAAACCTTTCAAGTACAACAGTCAAATAGTTTAGTCATGAAAATCACTTAAAGACAATAGGCCAGGATTGGGAAGTCCACACCCTTAAAACCCTTGATACGTGGATTTATAAACGACCAATAGGAGAGAGGCTGTATTACAGCTTGGGCCGGGCTAAGTAAAAAAAATTGTGTCTTTGCTAAATCTGATGTCACTTTTATAATCAGTTAAAAGCAATTAAATTACAATGAAAATTAATTCGTGTGGTGATGTTATTTTTCAACGTAGAACAACGTTTCATTTTTTTATTTCGCCATAACTGTTAGTAATAATTAATATTAGTATGACGGTTTGAATGTAGACTAATCCAACATACAAAGATAAGGGCGAGGCTACACCCGATTAGCCCACCATATAAAATAAAATACAATATTAGCATTATTATTTATTAACAGCAGGTATAACCTTTTCGATTAAAATGTTGCAAATACATATTTTTTCAAAATTACTATTTTTATATAACTTATATAGAGGGGTGTCTCTCGTTATTCATACATTGCTGTTTATATTCTGATCGCTTTAAATTACTAATAGATCATATTATCCTATACACTAAAAAACATTGCACTAAATTGTATTATGTTTAAAGAACTATTTGGTTTGGAAGTACAGACCGTTCAAAACCTTTCCAAGCTTGAACCGAGCGAATGGCAATCGTTCGTATTACTTTTTTTAACACTTGAGTATCGTTAAATTAACTTGTCGCATGTGGGTGTACACAAACACCAGCTGATATTGTTATAAAGACAATTTTAAAAAAGGTATAAAGGTACAAAGATGTTATACGACTCTAGTTTAGTCTATTCCGTGTATATAGAACACTTAAACGAGATTTCTTGGCAATAATATGAACGGTTACTCTGACACGTTTTCCCAGAACGTTTGCTTAACACTAAACACACTTACTTATACTTGCACTTGGACTATATTGATCATTTACCGTAAAACTTCATAAATTGATTACTATAAATTATTTCATTTTTTTTTTATTCAAAAATTATTTTTAAAAAAACTTGTTTTTCCGGAAATAACCAAATTTCCACGATAATTCCATAAATTGTTGATCCTTAACTCCCTTCTTATCTTTATTTCTTTTATTTGGAATAAAAATAAATAAAATAATATACTTATTAAAAAAAATTAACAGTATTTTATATGCAATAAAAACAATTAAAAAAAAATAACAGTGTATAATTACTTCTATTACTGTATCAAAATTATACTGTCAGATCTATCAAATGACAATTTTTTTATTAATAGCGTCTTGCTCGCATTAACCTCTAATGTTTTTAATTCTTGGATTTTATGGTGACTATACACAATTTAATACTTGTCTAAGAAGCAAACTTTTATTTTATTTTAAATATACGTCTCTAAGTTATAGTTTTTTTTTTGTCATTCGTACAAAAATCAACCAACTCTTCTCAAGCACTATATATGAAAAAAAATTATCAACTTTTTATCTTTCCTCGTGCAATGAAACAACAAATTAGCATAATTATGGAAAATTAATCCTATTATTAAACTTTAGTTTTGTATTTTAAAGTAGAATGCACACTCCGGTTGTAGGCCAGTACATTTGCTATGGTTTACTTTTAGCTTCAAAGCAAAGCTAAGAAAGCCGAAACGTATTGGTTTTACAATGATGTTTTTCTTTTGTGTCTGATGTATCACTCGGGACCCTAAGATTGTTCAGCCCCCAAAAGAAGGGGGATGGAGTTGTTCTGTTTTTTTTATTTTCCAGACACCGTTTGAGGACTCGAGAGTTGAAAATTAGACCAAAGGTGTGTTTTAAAAACTAATTTGATCGTGGAAACACCAAATAAACCATTAGAAAGTGAATTTGATAACAGTATTTCAAGTGTAGACATTTTTATTTTATTTAGTTTATGGTCGCTGTTTGACTGTATGCTGATGCGAATGTCGGTGATGGATTGACTTGGAGATTTAAAACTTGCCTTGATTCGAATTCTGCTAACTTCTTACAGTTTGGGGTTTATCAAACCTCAGGGTTAAGGGTTTTATTCAGTTACTTCTACCCTCGTCCATAAGAAGTGCACTAGTCGTGTAAAATAAAATTCAAATATAAAATTAGGTCACCGTAATGGGCGAAGGGGTGTGCACCGTTGGTGTCGTTTAAAGTTAACATTGTGGGCGGATGCTGTGCAGCACAGGATCTGGATATTGATCCTCCGGGAACCGGGACGACCTATCTCATACATACCCAGTGACCTACATTTCGGTCGGTCTGCCCTGGCAAAACAAATACTTACATTCGTAGTTATACCTACCCATATATATACATATTATTATATTATGTCCTATGTACACCCCCAAAGTGTGCCAATGCTCTACATTGCTGCTGCTGCTGCTGCTGCTGCCCCGCTGACAATGGTGGGACCGTGGCAGCGTGTGTACGATTTATTAACAAGCGTTCATTAATCACACGGGGCGAACGGTATATTATTTTTGGAATTTTTTCCTTTGGTTTATTCTTTCGAGATAGGGGCGTTGCCAAAACCACGTCTATACTCCGCACATGATTGACAGCGAGTGGCCTAAATATAAACGACTAACTTGAAAACAAAAAAAAAACCAAATACCTACCTGCCGGAGTGCACGGCGGCACACTTAGGGTGACCAAGTGTAAAAAAAAAAAATAATTAAAAATTCACACAAACCTTGGTTTAAAAAAATTGGCTTAACAATATATGAAAACCTAACCGTTTTTTTTAGTTTCGTTTTCGCAAAATCAATTCCAATCTATTTCTGCGATTAAAAAATCAATTATGGCATTTTTTAATAATCCAGCAAAACGAATCACGTTAACCTTAATAGGTTTTGAAATAAGAATTTGATAATAATCAAGCAGACCATTATTCATAGCTTGTATTTTTCTATTCGACAAAATCTCGGTTTGTTATACTTTTGAAACCTCCTTTTCCAATTTCCGTACGCAATCAAAATAATGTCATAAGAGTTTTAGTTAGTATTATTACTTAAGTTTGGCACCTAATTGGTAAAATCTATAAACACTTACGTTTATTTATTATAAGAGTTCTTGAGGTTTACTTAACATTTGACGACCAAAACAATAGATTGGAAAAATTATACCTATACACACCGTTCAAATAACACACGAGTAAATAGGTTCTGTTTTCTAATCCATATCAATCGCCACAAACGTTAAGTCTGTACGTGTAAAACGTATTGTGTGTTACTTACAAGTAAAAATATGATTTTTTTAATTATGTTTTTTGGGGGGCGATTTAGAAATAATAACTTAACTCTAAAAGATGCAATAATCTATAATAAGGTGCGTGATGGTTGTTCTAGGTCTACGAATTCGTTTTTTAATTAAAAAAAAATAATAGAAATTTAAAAACAATTAGCACTTTCTCGAGAAAAAAAATAGACTCAAACGTATTAAAAATAGTAATTAAGAACATTATATTATCAATATATTTACAGCTTTTATATATTTGTATTAAACTTGGGCTTGAACTAAATCTTAAACTATTAAAATAGTACTTAAAATGTTTTTTAAATGCAATAGAAAATGTTTATTAACTCATCGGTAGCTGGACAAAATATTAATTTGAAATGATGACTTTTTGTTTAATTTTCTGGTGTCATCAAATTTTGCATAGACAAGATACAGTGTTGTCTTTTCCCTTTTTTCGCCCTTTGAAGAGAGGTTATTATTTATTAAATATGCCAATGTTGAAGCATAGAAAATATATGTACACATTTTGTAGCTTGTTTTTTTAAGGGGGATTAAAAAAAGGGCAATTTTTTGGTTAAAAATTGCACCATATTGTATTTTCCAACCCAAATCCCATAACCAATATCCCAAAAACAAAAATGTGTAAACTAAAAAAATGATAGCGCTAATAAAAGACGAATAAACTTACCAGACTGAACACAATCCAAGAGGGTCGAACCGAAGCTGGTCTTTTTGTTCTTTAACTCTTCGAACACTTCTTTGGTGAGATACTTCTTCAACAATGATTTGCTATCGGACGACGCGAGCGAGCTCCATCCAGATTGCAATTTTGCCGCTACGTTTGGGTCCATTTTGCACTTTTTGTAAGTTTCGAAATTCCGGCAAAAAGTCAACCTAAAATCCAATAATTTTTTTTTTTTTAATTTAGTTGTTGGTTATTTTTTTATTAGAAAACTACTCTCGCTCACTTTGTCGGGCGGCGAAATATCGAACGAATTGCAAGTGATTTTTAATGTATATTACTAAAAAAACGTCATTGATATTATTTGGTGTAGTAAAGTTTTCGTTGATTGTAAGGAAAAAAATGTGTTTAAAAAATTTAGGCTTTTCTATACGTTATAATTTTCACACATTTCGACACGACAAGTTAGATATAATAACGTTGTACTTGTAAATTAAATCTAAGCCGTTCTTAAATAAAATAAAAAACTATACAAATGTCATAATAATTACAACACGTTTTTTCGATACAGAAATTTTCATAATTTTCCAAAAATCGAAAACAAACATTTTTTAGTCTAATTGGATAGGTACTATTAAACGGTATGATACACTACGACATATGAACAGACCGTGTACTTACTTAGGTTTTTTTCTCAAAAATAACGTGTACACTTAAGGCGACAACAAAATCAAGTTGACCGTTCAGGCCAAGTGTACCGTAAGCGTTATTTGTCGGTATTGGTGAGCTTTATCGGCGCTTGCAGTCCTACACAACCGCCACCGTCCTTACCCTCATCAGCTCGGCGGGCTCCGTCATGCGCCATGCTGCGCTTTAATATTATTTTCCTCTCATAAGTTTTGTCCTGGTAAAAATTTGGACCGTGTATACACCGTGCCTTATGAGATATTTTAGTATCGGTAAAACAATTTCTTTCGTGTAAAACGTCTCGTTAAAACGTCAAATAAATCCCATCCCCCTCACTCGTCCATGATGTTTCAATGCCTACCCTAAAATTTAAATAAATTTAGTTCAGATTCATAACAGCTTTAGTATGTATGGTTTTAAAATAAATGATTATAGTAAAAAAAAAAGGAATGCCTGCTGTGTGAATTACTTGTATAATAGTATTATATGAATCGGAGTAGTAATAAAATATTAAATGTTTGTTGTTAATTAAAAATATTTTCAGTTATTCTTTATTTACCTATTTAGGGTATGTAATAAAATATAACAATTAATGCCTAATATTAGAAGGGGGGGGGCATTGCCACCACTTGTCAATATCGAGTTTAAACTTTGCCCCCCCCCCCAAAAAAAAATGTTGGCCTCATCCTAGCCCACATAATGCAAAAGTTCTGGTTAGGTTAAGTTACTCTCAGGTTTCATAAAGTGATTAGATTTTAAGTTTTTTTTCTTTTTTTTTTAAATGTTTACAGTCTGCGTCGATTTCCGATTTTATTCTATTAAACACAATTAAAAAACAAAATAAACACTAAAATTTAACAACAAGAACAGTGTATTATTTTATTCAATCTTTATTATCCATCATGTAAGCACGTTCACCGGGTGATTAAAACGTTAAGCCTATTATTAAATGTATGCCATTTAATGGTATCTGATGATTTAGTCCATACTTGTAAAACGGAATAAATATGGTCATTGGTCTTTGATCATAAAATTACACATAAACCGCGTAGACATTAGGTTTCTTTTAGGGAAGCCAAACTATGTTAACATTTCGTTAACAATGCGCAAATTCAATGTGTTTGCACAGGAAAAACAGTAAAAATTTAAATTAAGTTAAAAGAAAACCCGACTGTAAAAAAGAACTCTAAAAGTAAAAGAGTTGGTTAATGCGCGCTTTATATAATATTATGTTGGAATATTGAAATTTAATGTTTTTTTTGCATTTGCGAACATATACTTGATTCCTAGATAATTAAACCTAGCCAAGAACACGGTCGTTTATCGTTTTCAATACAATCATACGTATATAATCAATTGCCCAATTGCACAATTCAATTAGACACATACATAAGCACTCTAAGCAATTGTTTATTTACACGTGTGTACTAAGTTGTTATAGCAAAAGATCCTAAAGGTTTATTATTGTAGATAATATTTTGGTAAAATATACCTTAATTTTCCATGTCTAAAAGATTGAATTATTTAAATAGATTATAACAAAAAACAAAGTAAATCTAAACTTTAACAATATCGCAGAGCACAAAGCACGCATGGTGGAGTTCAATTGGAATTAATATTGAGTCGTTTTCTTCAACCCTGATTTAATTTTTGGTTACAATTTCTCGTATTGATACTTATTTTCCCTGCTAAGTCCATTCCCTAAATCCATTGTTACCTCACATGCCTAATACAGATGCACCTAAATTTTCATTAGCTATTCCATTTCATGATCTTGGCAAATTTGACCTCGAACAAGATGCTTTGGACTAATTTTACACTTTGCCTTAGGAAATCTTTAGACACTTTTCTTTAAGCTCTCATAGCAATTAAAAATGCGTTAAACTCGACTATTCTATTATTTATTGAAGCGAAGCTATTATTATTATAAAGAGTAGTCTGTTCCAAAAATATGGTTTAAATTAGGTAATTAATAAATTGGGTTTCAATCGACAAATCAAAAATGAATAATTATCATTGGCCACAGCGGTGATATCAATAACAGCTATGGTTCCTTGTTTGGTAATTGCTGTGGCCATTGCACAAGGTCTTTTTCCCATAGTTGCATTAACTGTCCAAAAGTGAACTTTTCCAATTGTCGGGCAGTATAATTGGTATGTCCGCTCAAAACGTTTGGCTTGTAATTGATTTTAGTGCGTTGTCCCATTTCTTGGATTTCAGATTCCAAACAATTTAAACGGCACCAGTTTTTGAGTTTCTCCTGCTCAAGATCATTGTTAAGTTTGATCAACTGAAAAAAAAAATTAAGACTGGTCCAGCAGTTCAAGGGGATTGTTATTTGCCTGATGTTATTACGTTGCTAACGACTTCTCGGTCGCCGAGAAACAATCTTTCCAAATCCGTTTGCACCGACATGACAGTTAGGTTTGTTTCGTCGATGACCTTTAGATAGAAATGTTTAAGTTTTTTATTAACATCTCGCTAATCGAATCCAAACAAACAGTGTTGTTTGTTGTCAACTCACCGAATTCAAATTGCCCACTGCCGACCTGATTGCCGACCGCATCTTACTATTGGTGTTTAATATTGAATTTATTCTTTTTTTATTTTCCGCAAACTTGTCTTGGATTTCATAATACAGGCTCCTGTACGGTTTGTTTTCCTAAACACAATATTGTTCTAGTCATTGTTTCCACGCTTTGATAGAACCAAATGGCCAACCAATGGCATATTTTGTTGCATTTTCGGAATAAAGATGTAGATGAAGGTGTTATTGCAAATTAAATGAAATGTATTTAAACATACTCCGACTACATTAACAATTAGTCAAACTGATAATATGTGGTATTACAAGAAACTTGAAGAGTTAAGGTAGGATTCGTCAAGTCCTACTAAAACTCTTTGGTTGTTTTCCAACTATATTTTCTTCTATGTAGTGGTAATACAGAATACTACTCATTAACTGATGTGTTAAAAAATAATCAAAACTTTTAAATACCGATTTCGACGTAGTTGTCACGGAATCGAAACCTATGGAACTATCGCAACTGAGTTCTAAAGAATTTAACGGTTCATTTTTCAATCCTTCAGACAAAAATTAATAAAATAAATGTAATGATTAACGTTACGGAATAATTATAAAAAAAAAACAATTAATGTTGCTTGATTACAAACATACGGGATATCGTAGACTTGTTTTTCGTGTACTCAGATTCTAGAGAATGGATGTTTTCTTTCAACTTGTCAATCATCTTTGTTTCTTTTTCCTTCTTCGAAACGTACGATTTCAACAACTCATATTCTTCATTTATTTCATGCATTTCTAAAACAAACAAATATAATAACATGAATATATTTCATTCCAAAGCACAATACATTTACACTTATTTTCATGTGAAAAAGAAATCCGAGAACATTATATTGAATCTTCTGGTGTAAGCTGCACACTTTTTCTCGCCAAATCTTCATTTATATACTTCCCCAAAATCATCCTTATCTCACCTTCTGAAGTTCTGATATTTCTAAGGCGACTGCCAAACGACTTTTGCTATTGCTCGACTTTTGTCATATACTATAAGAAGCTATTCAGACCATTCCTCTTATGACTTCTGGCCTCGTCCCTCTATCTCCGTTCTCACTCTGATATTTCTCATTTGATCCTTTTTAAGGTCTCAAACTCTGACTCTACCCACGTCTATTTGTGCCATTATTCATTTTCTACTGAACACTCATTGCACATTTTTTTTTATACTTTGTGTTGTATCCAATTTTATATCTTACTATTGTTATCATTGTTTGAGTAACACATATTTTTGTTACAAATTATTTTAACTGTTGTTTCAATATAATACTTCTATGGCTCAAAAGGGTTGAAAATTTCTGCTACCTTTAACGGCGCTGTCCAATTCTGATAACAGATCTTTAGCCTCATTATTAGCTTTTTCATCGAGTTTGGTGATTTCTTCCAACTCGATTTTCATGTCCTTGTACATTCCTATCAAATACTTTTTTTGGTCGTTCATATTATGTCATATGGATACTTGTTGTCATGTATAATTAGTATGAACTTCTTACATATTCGATATTGACTAAATAAACAAACGCGCGGATGAGGTTTCTAAGACAAAAAACAATAAATATTATAAATAAAAAAAAATTGATTAGTACTCTTATTTTGTATGGTACTGCTGTGACTCTTAGGACACTCAATTAGGATTAAAAAATATTGATTAGGACCGACGAATGAACTATATTTTTAAATATATTAATTTTTTGGCCAACCTTAGATATTGTTGGTCTCGCTTTTGATGCCAACTACTGTTTTAAATAAGCCCTCTGCAACGACTTATGTGCCTCTTTGGCAAAAAACATCAAACAATAAAACGACCATACAAATAAAAAAAAAGAAGACTATAAAAACGAGAGGCTGACATATTCGCAAATTAACAAACAAAATATCATAATATACAATAAGCATTCGAATTGTTTGTAATACACTAAGCAGATCAGGCCAATAACTATTCGAATATTAATACCATTTCATTGAATCGAAACGCTTACAAGTGTTATCAACTACTATACACTACTTTTTTTGTTTTGTTATTTTCAAAATTAGCACCCCCAAAAATGCAAACGCCAATCCTTGATTTATAGGCATATATTTTTAACAACGTACATAGTACATACTCTGTTCATATTGTTTATTTTATAATACTTTTTATCTAATGGTTTCAAGATAAGAATTAGGTATGTTTAGTCAGGTACACGTGGTTTTAGCACTTCCTAATGTAAGCTTGATATGATATTATGCAAGTACCTAGGTACGACGATCAAGGTCGAAATAAGAATAAGGTCCACAAGAAAAAAAAAATACAAAGAAATTAAGATGTTTTGGACTACTTATTGTAACACTAGCCAAAAAAAAAAAAAAGGTGCAAAAATGCACAGTGCTAGTTGTGACAGGCTATGTGCGTGGGTCGACCCAGGTGTATAAATTGGAAAACGAACACATACTTTGGACTTTTGACAATTATTTATATATAAATATAATAAACGGCAGTTAAGTATATGACAGCTCGTCAAGGAGAAGGTATTATGTGTCGAGCAAAAGAAGCAAACGGTGAAAACAAGACATGTCTAAAAATATGTTTTTATAGGTTTTTTTTTACAGGTTAACTAGTTGGCCGTTGTTGCCGCAGTGACGTAAGCCTTGTCTTATTTTTCTAGTTAATACCTTCACAATATTAAATTTGAATATAGTTTTTTTACACTAATCATTAGACTTTACCTTGTTGCTTGCATTCGGCGAACAAACATTTTATAAAAAAAAAAAAAAAAATAGGAAACCAAAGCCCTGCTGGTTTAGGTTGTAGGTCAGCACTATAATTAGGAAATTAAATGTAGGCATGTGAATAAAAGTGTTTAAAAAGTATTATTCAATATGAGTCAATTTTCAAGTGTTTGTCCATTTTTAATTTAAGAGACTATCAGAAAGTTTTAGGCGTTTAACAATGAAAAAAGGTTCATTAATCGCCTGTTTGTATAATTAGTTTTAAACATCGAACAAAAACTCATTCGAAGATATTGTTGTAAAATATGTACAGACATCTTAAAAGTATTTAAATGTTTTCTTTTTGGGGAAAAAAATGATTCCCATAATATATTATAATAAATAAATAATGTCGTGTGGACTTATTGACCGGGATTATAGCTAACTTGGTCCTCACCGGTCGGCCTATTGGTGTGGTTTGCCGCTAAAAACCCGGGTGTGGTCACCCATCCGGGATCAAGCGGTACCGGTCGCAGCTTAACCTCAGGCGCCTTGCGGCAGCTGCGGTATCCACTGCGCCACACCGTACCCGTACGGTTTATAATAATAAATGTATTATGATTTGTGCCGATAGAGGCTAATATTGAGCATTAAATTCAACATTTTACATAATAAAATATTCTTTGTATAAAAAAAAAAAAATAACAACGTAAATAAACAGAGCAGTACTTTAACGATTTTTTATTAATGAATGCGATTAACATTTCGACATAAGTGCGGTTAAAAAGATTTTATTTGGCTCAAATATTCTTTTCTACATTCCATATGATCGGCAGGTCTGTTGTGTGGCGTCCATACGGGTTCGCCGACAAATAGTCGTTTAGCTCGAATAAAATTCTATAAAAAAAAATAATAAAAACAATAATTTAATACCTAACCAAAACGCATTATCGTTAAATTCATAAGACTTAGTCGTCTTTACGTTTGTATCCAAAGTGAAACGGTGATAGATTCCTTTGGGAATAATCAATAAATCGCCAGGTTCGACTTTAATACGAATCCAACTGTCATTGACATCTCTAACATCAAAATAACCCGAGCCTTCTAAGACCAATCTTATTTCTTCGTCAGTGTGGAGATGTTCTTCGAAAAACATTTTTAACTGAAATATAATTTTTTTTAAATGCCATTAACATATACATGTTATTTCGAATAAAACCATATTTTGTTATTTAGATTTAGGTAAGCATACTTTATTTTCATAATCTTGTAGACATTCTTTGGAACACGTAATTTCATCCTCGTAAGAGTATCCTCTATTTTTTTTAAGCTCATTCAAAAGCTCATCGTTCGACGGATTCAACTGATCCACCTGAAACAGCAACAATCGTTTGAAAATCAATTAACTTGCTGCTAATTAAATTTAACTTTGAATTATAATAATTTTGTGATTTATTACTTTATAGTGTTCCACTCGAGTGAGCTTGTACAAAGTGCCTAGTTCGACAAATTCCGGCGGTTGCTTGTGATGTTCTTCACGTTGATCACCGCTCCAGTTTTCGGCCATAAACCAAGCTAGGACCATTTTGTAGGTTTTTTAAATAATATACAATATTAATTATTAATATTAATTAATATTCTCTTCGATAGCATAAAATCTAAATACAAAAAAATGACCAGATAACAAACAACAATGAAAAGTAAACGACTTTAATTATTGGCCAACGTTGGCATTACCTATATATTATACTTACTAATCGAGAGACACCTTAGATGAGTACAAAACAAAAAAATAATATAAGAATATTGAATAGTCAATAATAGATTAATGTTAATCTGTATAATTAATAAATAAACAGCCCCCACTTGTAGTGCTCTTACGTGCTCTTACAAAACGATAATAATATGCACTAACTAAAATATATTAATAAAATATGTCGGTATTTATTTATTTGTGAATGTAATTATGTATACAGTGCACAATAATGACGCAAAAAATATTAATACGTATATTGGGTATTAATTATTCGTTTCCACTTGAGTTTTGCAGTTAGATTTATCAGTTTATCATTGAGCAAAAATTAGAAAACTGATAATAATTTTTAACAGTGATCGAAATACTATGAAATTTTAATAAGGTGTACCCATCAATAATTATTGAACGGTTTTGGTGAACTTGAATTTTAATCATAAGTAAAACTTGATTACTATACAATTAACGTTTTTGATTTGAAAGATGCCAAGTTGGAACTTTTGTCGTTTAAATAACTTTAGGCCCTTACGTCATTTTATTATAAGTTTCTCAAATTTGAAATAATAAACGTATTATAATATTTATTATATATATTTCTGCAATGTTGATGGTATTTTGATAAGACCAAAAAAGTGATAACAGAATACAGATAACAACAAAGAATTTTAAAAACTTGATTTTTAAAAATTTTGATTTTCACAGTTAAATAATAATTGTATTGAAAACCGATACATTTCTTTAATCATAATCGTTTAAATTATATATACCGTTTGATCTTTTTGTAGTAGCCTATTAAAAAAATTAATTTTAACACAACACAAAAGATTGGCTTTAATTATTATTTTTTTTTTTAACTCCTAATTGTAATATATAATATACACAACAATGTCTTTCGACGAAGGAGTGCAAGCGACCAATAACGATGCCACTAAATGCAAGTACTCGGCTGTAAAAATGGGATACTGGCACGACGATTACATACAACATTTCGTCACCGGTTTCGAACGTAAAACACCAGAAATAAACAGAGGATATTACGCACGCACCAAAGGCGTAGCCATGTTCATGGACAAATTTCTTAAGGTAGCATAACGTTACAAAGAGTACCGATCTTATAAAAATTCTGCTTTGGTTAAACCCGAATATTATGTCCTTAGAAAACAGGATCAAACTGTCAAATTATCAACCTGGGTGCGGGTTTCGATACATTATATTGGCGGCTGAAAGACAGCGAAGTGAAAGTGAACAATTATGTAGAAGTCGATTTTTCTTCCGTTACGTCCAAAAAATGTTTCTTGATCAAAAGAAGTAATTCTCTATTGCAATCCATCAGCTCACAAGGTAATTTTAAGAACAATAACCTTATGGAAACTATTGACACGATTAACCTTTTTTCAAAATGCGTTGTTTGCATTTTCTAGAGGGTGAAGTTCAAATGGTCGGATCAGATCTTCACGGGTCCGATTATCACATAATAGGCACAGACCTTAGAAACTTGGCTGAACTTGAAAACAAATTATCCCAGAGCGGTATTAATTTTGAAATCCCAACTATGTTCCTAGCCGAATGTGTGCTCGTATACATGAGACCCGAAAGTTCTTCATTGCTGTTACAATGGATTGCTAACAAGTTCAACGATGTATTTTTCGTCAACTACGAGCAGGTTTAGTTTTAACTACTTTCAATAGAAATTGTTTGGAAAGAAAGCCTTAAAAATAGAAACGACCTCTGAAACACATTATAAAAATGCAATTTGTTTTTTGTCTTATGTAAACGTTTTTTCTCATGACGAAAAAAAATATTGTCATATAGTTAAACAACAGTTTTGAAACATTAACTCAATCGGATAAGAATTTTTTAGAAAGTTTAAAATACAATTTAGATAGAAAGATATTTTTATCGAATATATAACAATTTAAGATATTTTTTTATTATCAATGATATTTTGTTACCATTTGATTATAACATTTGCAAGTATAAATTTACTTGTTTTTTTGATTATTCTCAATAAAAAAAAAGTGTATAGGATCGAGTTAGTTTATTTTGGAATTGAACGCCAATGCTAAGTAGTTAATATTAAGAGAGTTAAAATATATCTGTATTTTTCAGATGAACATGGGAGATAATTTTGGTCGAATAATGTTGGATAATTTACGAAACAGAGGATGTGAATTGGCCGGGGTCGATACTTGTTTAAGTTCCCAAACCCAAATGGACAGGTATAAACCTAAGAAGTTTTCATTTGTTGCTTGTGAAATGTTTAATAGAAAATTGATCGTATCGTGTATAGGTTTGTGCGAGTCGGATGGGACAGCGCTCGTTGTTGGAACATGAACAACATATACGAACATTTACCCGAAGCCGATAGATATCGCGTGGAACGACTCGAAATGCTCGACGAGTTGGAAATATTACAACAGCTACTTCAACATTATTGTATAACGATAGCTTGGAAAGGTGGTACGATGGCAGACGTCGATCACTTATAGCAGCTACAGCGACAGGTTATGAACGACATCGTACATAACCTGCACATCGGATGTTAACTTTTTTTAGTGCAGTACATCGGTTCATTGAAATCATAGCCAAATAAAAGCTGAACTCAAGTTGTTTACCTAAAAAAATTTGTTTACGTTCGAAGATTAATTAAAAATTGGAAACGGAATTATTGGATCCCAAAGACCATAGCTCTTATATTTTTGTTATTTAATTTATTTTCAAAAAAAACTCAGCACAGTAAAAAATGAAACAAACAACATCTTTGTTTAAAAAATATTTTATACAAATCGTAGTTTACTCTAAAGATTTATTCATTTCGAAATTACCTTAAACAAATATCATAATATACAAACATAATTTAATACAAAAGAGTATTTATATATAACAAAAATTATAAGTAAATATGTTAAACAACATTTGAAATGTTCAAAAAATATATACTTTAGAGAGTATAATAGGTAAAAATTGTGTAAAACTTTACATAGTTAAGTACCAAAAATTATTGTTTTTTGTAAATCCGCGTCAACTATATTTTAGTTTTAATCTTGTTGAACTACTGTTTCATTTTAAGCGTAGTTTGTGCAAACAGTCATTAAATTTAATAACAATAATAATATGTAACTCACAAAATTACATTATTGCCATAAAAAAAATTTTAAAAAAATATTGGTACAATATTTTTAAATGTGTAATGTTTTCTAGTTATTTATAGACTGAATAAATCTTTAAATTTTTAGCTACTAATTATTTATTTTCTATTAGTGTATACAATAAAATTATTATTTTTGTAAATAAATTGTATTTTCATTGTACTATTATTTTATTTTAAATTTAAAAGTGAGACGTCACAAAATTATTATTAGCAAGACGTAAATCCAAAAAGACAGACAGTTTCAGTTCAGACAATATCACATTCAGTACATAATTTATACATATATATATATATATTGTTTCCAAGTTGGAGAGTTATTATTTTTTAACTCTTAATTTATGAAACGAAATTAGTTTTTCATCATAAAAAGAGCTAATTTGAATTGAATAAATAAATAAAATTACTAATATATTAGCTACTCTTGAGAACATCATAGGGCTTAATCTATTTTGTTTGTAGCGTACGAGAAGTTTCAACTACCAATGTATATTATAAAATAACACTGCTTCTCCCTCTCCCCAAAAAGTTTACTTAATTTGGAACACAATAAACAGCCAAAAAAAAACTCCTCTAAAATACATAAAATATATATTGGGAATTCTTTCTATTGCCTTAGCATCTTTTTAAATTGATTTAATAATAAATATTTGTTATAATAAAAAACGTATCATCATGCGAGCAACTTTATTATGACTTTTTTATAATATACATAAATTTCCAGATTTTAAACTATATTCAAATTGATTCTATTATTGTTTGTACCTAACAGTATCTTTATAATATTGCTAATTGAATTAAATCATACAAAATTGAAGAAAAAAAAACATTTTTTTTTTTTTTAAATACTGTACAACATAAAAACCCAATATATTTTATACCATAGAGTACAATATTGTCATTGGTATAAAACAAAAAAAAAAATTCTATTTTACATTTATTATTTACAGTTATTACACATAGTATAATACATTGGCAAATTTTATTATTTTTGCAAGTATTACTAAATCAAATATTTGTTTAAAACTTAAAATAAATTAAGGTACTAGATTACAAAAAAAAAAAAAAATTCCAATTTAAATTCATCTTTGATATTACTTCCGTGATATAAGATATATCGTAATAATACAAAAAAGATTATTTCCTAATTGGTTTTTTTTTTTTTTTTTAATACTGAAAACGTTAGAATAAAGTTATCAATTTGGTCAAACAATATAAGTTATTTATTGGGCACATTGATACTATTCTAGATAAAAAATGAGATCTGAAAATTGCATCTACTTAACTATATAAGTAGTATTATTAAAATGATTGTTCTCAAATAACCGTTTCAGAATTGACCGAAACGTTACTTCGATACGCAGGAGGTGGCTGTTCTGACGGAGCGAAAAAAGTCGAATGAGTAGGCACTTGCCTGGGTCGTCCGCGAGCTCCATGAAAATTTGAATAAGTCGAACGAGCCGATGTTGGCCTTTCTGACTCTGTGTCCAACGCTGGATTAACAATACCCCTGTTGACGTTCCTTAATTGTACCCGGCATTCGGGATACAAAGGATGGGTGGAATCATTCGATGTTGACGAATCGTTCAAACCATTATCTAATAATAAATATAAAATCAAAATGTTATTGTGTAAATTACAAAGAATGTGTACCACATAAATGTATAAATAAATTTAAAAAAAAACAATTACTAGAATACTGTTGTTGTATAAGTCTAGAAACCGGATTCTTATGTCTGCGGCTAGAGTAATTTGAACTCGACTGTCGTCTAAGGTATGGCGGCGGAGCTTGATGAGGAGGAGGAAGTGTTCCTCGTGACGTTACACTTCTTCGTTTTACCCTTCTAGGGGTCATGGGTTTGTTGTGAGAATTTTGAGCATCTAAATCCCCTTCTAAACACCACAACAAATCGAGTGTAATTATCACAAAAACGTTAATTGCTTTAAATGCAAAAATTTACCATCGCTTTCGGTATTGGTACTGATCACGTCAATTTCGTCTCCCCTCCGTGAGCTATATTCAATCGAGTAAATTGGCGTAATAGTGCTTTGCTGTTTGCTCTTATAGTAAATTCCTAAAAAAAAAAAAATACTTTTAACCATAAACCGATTTTAAAATAAATTTATAAAATAACTATCTACTATGTCAACAACATGTTATAGTAAATATTTCAACATGATTCTGTTTTCTCAAATAAATTTAGGTAATATTCATAGACGTACCATCGTCTCTGGTCTTCGAACAGCAACTAACATATAAACTGCACAAAATACCACAAATCTAAAAAAAAAATTAATGGCATATAATTTAGTGAATAAAAAAAAAAAAAAAAATAGAAATGAAATAAATAACTAACAGCTAAAAGAATTTGTAAGGACGCTTGAAGAGTTTCAACTTTTTGATAGTCCACAACACATCCAGTGATCAAATCTGGCCGAATAGGTTTGATGGCGTCTTCTTCGATACCGGTATGATTAGGATAAAAAAATATTTTACAGCCGGGGCCATTAGACTCCCACCAGCTGACGCTTTCTGCACCGAGACTCATCACATCGTAACTCTAAACAACATACAATTTTTATCGTGACTATACTCTGCTCACAAAATAGAGTTTTATTTTGCGTCCACACAACTTAATGAATACTCACGGCAATCTTGAAATCCAAGTAATACATCACTACGAATACGTTCCAAATACACCAAACGATACTCCATGCTGAATACTGTAATGTTACAAAATTTTTATTAGATATTTTGTTTTACTGAATATAAAAAAAAAAACGTACCGATAAGAGATATAAAACGTCCGATTGTATAACACCGAAAATGCCAAATATGATGAACAAAAGCTCAAAGAAATTAGCTAAAACCGATCCCCACATAAAACCGAGGAAATCAAATGCTTGTCGTGCTCCAACTGAAACCTGTAGAAAAATGTTTAGTTTGTAACAGAGAATACAGCGATCAGTGGATTATTCGAGAATAAGGGCACGTAACATTAGTTTAGATTAATGAATATGCAACGCTTAGGACGGGTACGTACCATTTGAAACATGAATATCGTGAGCAGCAAATATTTGCAAAATTCCATGACATCGCTGTGAATTACCCGGTTTATGAGTAATTACTACTGTTAACAGTCGATTCTCCACGTCCGTTCTTCTTCGCCAACATCTCCGTAGAAAAAAATTACCTAATATTATTATTGTACTATAATAATATACCAAGTAAGACTGTTGTCAATAATATTAACACAACAAAACGCGGAACCGTCACATTTTATTTACTAAAAAAATTAATAATCTATATACAGAAGATTTATGGAACAACAACATAAAAAAAAGCCGTTTTGAAATTATTCTGTGTTTCTACTTTAAAAACAAGAAAAAAATGAACAGACGATACAACTCTGAATTATTCTAAAATGTCAACAACAGTGAACAACAATAATATATTATATTATTATTGAGTCACACTATCTTTATTGTTGTATAATAGGTATTACAACTGATTAACCCCCAATGCATGCGGTTGAGAACAGGTGCAATATACGCTTAAATTACAATTTTTCCCACTCTACACAGCAGCAGCTAGATGTGTTCGTCTGCACTTGTTTTGTTTGTATTGTAATGTTTACACACTTCACCTGCTGCTGTCGTGCGTGGAGATACCTGTTAGAGCGCGGCACAGTGCTGCCATCTTTGGTCGACGAAATTCCTTTCAAAACCCATGGACCACGATAGAGAATTTAATATCTTCATAAGATTTGTATCTTCTCTACATCGTGCACAGACGTCCTAAATAATTTAGGGATTAGGCTACCAGCTAATAAGTGAATGGACCGCGCGTAGAGAAAAAGAAAAAGAGGCCGTACCAAGCTGTAGACGAAGCTGTGGGAAGAAAATACCAAAGACGTTGTAGACGGTGCTAGACTCCTTGGAATTATATTATCACAGATATTACATTTTTTAATTTTAAAATCGTCTTCATCAGTTAGGTATTTGATAATTATTATTTAAATTACAAATATAGTATTAAAAATATTATTTATTATTTACATAAAAAATATACATTTTTTTTTAATCAACTACTGGCCGTCATTAAATATTATTTAACGAAATACAGTGAAACTGGTTTTTATATCATAGTACATTATTATAATATATGATAACGCAGTTTTTACATGTAAAACGAGTAACACTGCAAATTGGTATGAACTATGAAAAAGTACTAGTTTAGAAACATTGAAATAATAACACATTTTTTTAATATTAGAACATATTTTGTATAAAATAATATTATTATAAAAGTAATATAAATTGGTATAAAAAGTTAATGAAAAATGTAGATCATAATATACAGGTGTCCCTCAAAGATAAGACAAATGAAGTAACTTGTTCTAGTGAATATTTTTAAGATTTTGTTTTTAAATTAATGCGCTATAAGCGCCACGTTTTATTTTGCACTTAACTGTTTTACTTTTTTTAAATTATACTTTTATTTTTTTTGTTACATTAATATGATTAAATTTAAGATTTTCTTTAGAATAATTTGCTGAACATTTTGACCGGTCCATAACCAATTATCCAAATCTGGTTATCGACCAGTCAAGTGGAATAAAAAAATCTTAAAAATATTCACTAAAACAAAAGTTATTTAATTTGTCTTATCTTTGTGGGACACCTGTATACTAAAAACCCTACGGAACGCAAAATTGAACAATTAATAATTAAACCCTATATGATATATCGAGTGGATCACTTTAATAAAACACACCGTGTCTATTACTTTAAACAATTATTGAATTTTGAATGTAATATAAAAAACTGTACGTGATCTACTAGAAGACATTTGGCATGTGTTATAAAGCAAACAGTACTGTGAGTTTTGCCGTTTACGTTGCATTTAATATAATCCAAAATCATAGTTTTCTAAATGAACTACACCTATAGTACGTTTTCGTTTTCGAATTGTACATTTTTAAATCCAAACCGTTCGCCTACTACAATATGTGTACACATTTATTGTTTTCCATTTTAAGTGTGCTTGTCGTTGCCAATGTACAATACGGAACGAGGGTACGGGCCATGCCACAGCCTTGGCTGAAGCCGCTGACACCAAATCAGCTAGAACTGCTGAAAGGCGTTAAACACATGTTTTTCAATTATTCAGTCGGTAGGTGGGTTACTCGTGGTTTTGCCAATCGTATACGACGGTACAGTTCTTGTTATACTGGTTGACCGGTAGCCACTCTCCCAAATCGGCAAACCATTTGAAATCAGTCATTATAACCGTATGTGACTTTGTACTTAATAGGGTAAATATAATAAAAAATATATAAAGTATAGTTAAGAATAATTGTATTATTATAATATTTAACTTTTATAATAATTTACACATATTGTTTTTACATAGTTTGTTCAAAATTTGAATTTAATGGTTGTTCAGATTTTTGCTGTACATCAGTATGAATAGAAATTACATGTCGACCAGGAATCATTACGAGGCCCAGCAATCGAGATTCTCCAGTTTCTAAATCTATATGTAAATAAAAACAATTTAGTTAAGGTATTAAATATTCCTGGAATTTTGACTAGCAAGTTTCAAATTAATTTTATGATTAAAAACAGATACCTTTTTCATTAAAATATTCATAGCAAGAACTTAATATAATATTAGCGTCTTTATCAGTACACACAAATGTTCCAATCAAAATCCGTCCATCTGTCAAATGAATTTTCATTTGTTGATTCAACCAACCCATAAGTTTTCTTCTACCTTCAGTAGTATATTCCTGTAATTTCATTGTAAGGAAAGCATTAAACATCTCAATAACACTTAGTTTAACGACAGCTAGCTGTCTAAATTAATTTGTTATAATATGTTAACATACCGTAAAGCCGCACAACGATGACTCATGAAGATTTTGATTTCCAGTTTCCATTTTAAAAGTATTGTTTACAGTTTTATCTTTATCTAAAAGAAAAAAACGTCAATATTAAAGTGTTAAATGCCAAGAAGAAGAAGTGTTATTTCAATTTAATTCATCAGTAATTATGAATTACCTAGTTGACGACGACCATATCAAAAAAAAATGTAAACTATTATATTAAAATAAATACATGAGTATTACTTAACAGATTAATACTAATAAATATATTATACATCTCATTTTAATTCAATACATTTGACTCTTTTATAATATGATTTGCCAATTGCCATTTGCAAATGATCTTTTGCTTATCACGGTTGTAATGTTATCTGTTGTTTACATTATGTTATCAGTTTTCATTAAAAAAAAAATGATTTAGATATTTCTTCCAATTTGTAGTTGTCCAAATTTTATTAACAATTTTTTTTTATGTAAGTATGAATAAATAGGTACTTATTATACAAATATGTTTTCATGAATTTTACCAAAAATAATTGAATTGTTCCAAAGTTAAAATTGTGCACACGCATTTTAAAATAATTGAGAAATCGGTTTTAAAACTAAACGTCGGTTGGCCTACAGCTCTCACAAATGTCGTCCTTGGCTTATCACATAACAAAATTGATAACGATAACAAGCCGCATTGTTATCTATGTTTTTCGGCATTTGTATTTTTCAGATGAATTATTATTGTTTAAATTATCTACCTACCCTTACCGAAAACCATGTTAGAACTTTAGAAGTTTCATCGTTGATCGTTCATTAATTGATCCGTGTATACTTCACTGAAAGTCGAGTTTTAGTAATTATTTTATGTAAATTAATAGTCTAACCAGCTTCAGTCTTCATCGACAATTAGTATATTCTGAACGGGTTAAAGTAATATACAAATTTAATATAGTAGGTAAAATTATTTATCATGTTTGTGTGCAAGACTAACACCATGAGAATCGCATCAATTTTAAAGGTAATTCAAATATAATTGTATAAAAGTTTAATTATTCGAAAAAAAATATAAATAAAACATAAATTAGTATCCTATCTTGTTATAAAACAGTTTATCCACAACATATTAAATTTAATACACCAAATATGAGGTAAATACCACTTTTTCGACAAATTTAGTAAATACATTAAAATACATTTTTGATGGAAAAAATAAAAATTGTCCACTATTTGTAAAACTATATAATATAATTTTTAGACTTTAATAATACCTTGTTCTATTAGTTAGTAGATTACTCAATCTAGTGTAAAATTATTTAACAGTTGCATTTTTAATTTTGGTATAATTGAGTCTTTGAAATGATTAATGTGGTATTTTCCTGGCTTTAACTATCTTAAGAACTAAATTATTTCTACCTTTGATTCAGTAATCATCATAAAGTAATCAACACAAATATCTTGACGGGCTCGAATGACCGATTGAACTAGCATTGGTGCAACTAGATGGAAGTTCAGACCTATTAAACACTGAAAGCTCCTCAGAATTTTAGTAATAATTATAAACCTTACTTGGGGTCTGTGCCTGATTGTTTTCTGACATTTTTTTAGAGCCTAAACAAGTTTAGAAGGATTTGAACTTCCCTAGCCCCCCCCCTCCCTTTGTTTGTGCTAATGTGAACTAGTAAACCATACATTAAAATTTCGAAAGAGATAATTCTCTTCTTTTACACATGTGCTATGATTTTATACATTTTTAAGTGTCTTATATTTTCGGTTTCAGAATCAAAGAATAACACCAAATCCTATCCAGGCAACATTTAATTTAGCTAGATTTAAAAGTTCCAATCCGTTTAACACTGGTATTTTATTTGTGCCACAACAAGAGGTATGAACCATAATAATTAAAATGATGAGTCAAATAATAGTTATTTGTATAAATTATTTATTGCAAGCGATTGCTTGAAACACTGGACTTATTTTGTGTGTTGACTTTTAATTAAGTTAACATGAATGATGTTGAAAAAAATATCAAAACAAAATTTAAGAAAAAATGAACGTTATAAAAAGAAATTACAATGTTTTTTTTTTAATACCATTATTATGAATTTTAATGTTAAAAATAATTTTATTTCAGGCATGGATAGTTGAACGAATGGGTAAATTTTGCCGAATTTTAGAGCCTGGTTTAAATTTTTTGATTCCAGTATTAGATCGTATAGGTTACGTACAGAGTCTGAAAGAATTGGCAATCGATATTCCTAAGCAAAGTGCTGTCACTATGGGTTCGTACAATATACTTGATAATATACTTGTTAAATTATAAGTAATTATATGATTTTATTTTTCGTTATAGACAATGTAACACTAAACATAGACGGTGTTTTATACCTGAGAGTCAAAGATCCGTACTTGGCGAGTTATGGCGTTGAAGATCCAGAGTTTGCTATTACACAGTTAGCTCAAACCACTATGAGGTGAAATAAAATAAAATTCAATCAAAATGTTTTACTTAAAATTAATATAATCAAAGTATGTAATATGCATTTTTTTTAAATTTACAAACAGGTCAGAGTTAGGAAAAATATCATTAGATAAAGTTTTTAGGGAAAGAGAAAATCTAAATTACGCAATTGTCGAAAGTCTTAACAAGGCGAGTGCGTCGTGGGGATTGGTGTGTTTCCGATATGAAATCCGTAAGTATAGGTTTATAAAATGGTGTTTCAGCGTAGTGCTAATCTATATGTCGTATACTGAACAGTCGTGTAATTTATGTAGGTGATATAAAACTTCCTAACAGAGTACAAGAAGCCATGCAAATGCAAGTTGAGGCGGAACGAAAAAAACGTGCCGCCATATTAGACTCGGAAGGTATAAGAGAAGCCGATATCAATGTTGCTGAGGGAAAAAGGCAATCTACAATTTTGGCTTCAGGTGAGAACTCCAATAAAAAAAAAAATTTGGACATCGAGCTTGCAATACTATTTGATATCTTTTTTTTTTAGAGGCTGATCAACAGGAACAGATCAACCGAGCTCAAGGAGAAGCGAATGCATTGTTAGCTGTAGCCGAAGCTAAGGCCAAAGGGATTCGACTTGTTGCCGACGCTCTAAAACAATCAGTTTAGTACTGTTGTAACACCGTGTGAGTTTGTAATTTTCTAATAATGTATACTTTATTAGGACGGATACAACGCCGCGTCTTTGAAGTTAGCAGAATCTTATGTAGAGGCTTTTGGAAAATTGGCCAAGTCCACAAATACTGTTATTATTCCAAGTAACACTTCTGATGTTCCATCAATGGTTACGCAGGTAATTAAAAAAATATATATATATATATATATATTTTTTTTTTTTGTTATTTTTCTACTTGTTTATAACTTTTTTTTTTTTGCAGGCATTATCTATTTACAAGTCATTAACTAGTGAGTCAGATAAGTCGATGAAATCGTGTAAAGAAGATAAATAAAGTATATTTTACAAAATAAAATGAATTTATAATTAATTTTTTGTTATATTAAAAAAAAAAAAGTTCAATGGTTTTAAAACTTGTTTTGCAATATTACAAGTTGTTTTTTGTGTCATTCTTATAATTAAAATTCTTGAAACACGTTTGTAAATGTTTATGAGTTATTTCCTATAAATGCTTAAAGTTTTATTTTGTTTGGTTATTAATAATCTTTATTTTTATGGACTTCAAGCCAATAAGGTACAAAAAACGTATTACAATTTTGTGTACTTTTTCTTTATTTGTTGCTAAAAACCTAAAAGAAAATAAAAAAACAGTGCCTTTGGAAATAATTAATTGGTTTGAAGATTTGAAATTTATTTAGACATAATTTAACTGTATCTATAAAAATTATATATTATAAAAAAACAAAAAAAAACAATTATTTAGGTTTATAAATTATGAAGTTATTGAACCTAACCTTTTAAGCTGTATAAAACAACAGTAAAGCTTGCCTTAATTTTAAAAAATTAAGAAAAATAATGATTAAAATTGAAAAGTCAATAGCATGACAAATGATTTAATAAATAGCCACCTTTTTTTTGTCTTGAAAACATGAAGACAGTTCGGCTAACGGCTTACATAAATTATCCACTTTCAATTCAAAAGCAAATGCATTAATATATTTAAGATTTAGATTTTATTGTGATGCTGGTAACACTGGTTCAAATTATAAACTCTATGGCACACGTTTTATACCACGTTAATTTTATTTACAAGTTTCACTGATAACAGTGATAAGGAATATGAAGTTAAAAAAAAAAAAATGTAAGATGTTGACATTGAAACGCTAAATTAAATTAATTATTATTTTAAAATGTGTTAAAAAAAATAGTAAATGTTCAATATTTTATTCATATTAGCTTAGGAATAACAAAACTTTTAGTTCAACATGGTCACGATACGTTTTTATGTATAGGCAAACAAAAAAGTTCAAGGACTGAAGTAAGTCATAGCGAGCAATAATCATAATACTTTCCTACTAACATTGTTAACTATTTAGAATGGCAACAATCGCTGAACTGCAACAAGAAATTAACCGCTTGACGCGGGATTTAGACCAAGCACACACAGAAAAAGTTCAGTCTGCCACATACGGTCTGAGTTTGCTCGAAGAGAAACAATCTTTAACAAAGCGATATGAAGAGCTAGAAAATTTATATGAAAATGCCAGACAGGAATTGGAAATTACTCAAGAAGTAAGTTGTTCAATTTAAATACTTCTATTCAATTACGATTGACAGCTATTTTGTTAAAACTTACATACGCTTTTCAAGAACTTTAAAAATATAATTGCATTAAGTAAGTTTTCAAATAGTAATTGTGTATGAATTCTAATGGAATATTTAGGCCTTAACCAAGTTTCAAACGTCTCACAAAGTAACAACTAAGTCTGGTATAGAACAAGAGGAATCGCTGTTATACGAAACTGCAGCTTTAGAGTCGTCGCTGAATACAACAATTATCGAGCTGGAAAATGATTCTAAATTGGTAATGAACAACAAAAGTGCTGACATCATTCAACTTTTTTTAAATTAATTTTTTACTACTCTTATGGAAATATTTTAGCTGAGGCAAGAACTAGATCGTGTGCGTGTGGAACGGGACAGAGCAATCCAAGATAATAACGATTTGATCAGGCAGAGCAACGAGTCAAATCATGAATGTAAGCAACTCCGCGCAGAGTTGCGTGAAGTCAAATCTCGCGAGACTCATTTACTATCAGATTACTCAGAGTTGGAAGAAGAAAATATCACTTTACAAAAACAAATTGCTCATTTAAAATCGTCACAAGTGAGTTTATATAAGATCTAAAAAAAAAAAGGTTTAAACGTAAAACAACTTTGCTCAGATGCATCACAATCTATTGGTATATTATAATTAAGTTTACTAACAACGATGGGCACTTTAGGTAGAATTCGAAGGAGCTAAACACGAGATTCGTAGACTTCAAGAAAACGTTGAATTGCTATATTTACAAGTGGACGAGTTAGCCAAGTTGAAGAAAATTGCAGAAAAGCAAATGGAAGAAGCTTTGCAATCGTTACAGGTAAAATTGTTTTTTATCTATGCGTTGTCGTTATTAGCTATTAATAGTTTAATTAAATATTTATTATATGTTTTTTTAGGGCGAACGTGAAGCTAAATATGCATTAAAAAAAGAATTAGATCAGCGCATCAATAACGAATCTGTTTATAATCTCAGCAATTTGGCTTTCAGCATAAGAGGTATTAACCATAAAAATATTATTTCTTTAACTGTGACTTAAAAGCAGTGGCGAAAAGTGTATTAAAATACTTTAGAAAATAGGATTCAACTTTCCAAAGCCAATTTGTTAATAACAATATATTTATAAATTTATTTATATAACAATATAAATGTTTAACTAATATTAAAAATAAAAGTTATTAAATTGAATTAAAAATAATGACATAGCATATAATACTGTGGTTGATATGAACATTATTAATAATTTAAAGAATTTTAGTCATGGCTTAAAAATTTCATGATATTTTTTAAGAAAAAGTAATTTTATAAAAAAAAAACTTATGGTTTGAATTAAAAAAAAAAAATATTTCTAAAAATATAATATGATACTTGGACTTTGTTTAATTTCTCAGCTATAAAAATACTGTTTAAAACCTGCTAAAATGAATTATTTTTATAGAATTTTTCAGGCAAATTAATTTTACAATTAAAAAATGTAATAAAAAGAACCCAATTTTTATCATTTTCAATCAATAGAAACAATATTAAACTCATCCAATTTAATTAAAAACTAAACAAATAGACAAAAATGTTGTTGACATAAATCATTATTGATTATAAATTTGATAAGCCACCTGCATCAGACTATAATGACTATAAAAACTAATCTGCTGCCAAGAAAACTTGAAAAATAACCCCTATTTAATTTGTCAGGAATGGGCGGTGATCAGAACATTGGCAGCGACGACGAAGAAGATTTACCTACTTTGCAAAAATTAGAAAACGACATAGGCTCGACAATGAATCTCCCCGAAAGCGGCAAACATGATTTGTTCAGTGAAATTCATCTAAACGAATTAAAGAAGTTGGAAAAACAGTTGGAACAAGTGGAAAACGAAAAGACCATGTTGACTCAAAACCTCAAAGAGTCTCAATTATCGTCTGACAAGTGTAAATCGGATTTGGAAAACTTAGCTGTTCGTATTTATAAATTGGGTGCACACATCAGAGCTTTAGAACACCTTGGAAATCAAACCAACCGTAAAGTGTTAGATAATAAAGTATGTCATGTTAGTTTTTTTTAATAATTTCTTTTTACTCATCTACAAAATTGTTGATATCGACAGTCTGAAGACGGCAAACCAAATCACAATTTAGAAGATTATCAACAATGGTTCGATTTGGCGTCTAAAGAAATCGAACAACTCCACGGAGAGATTGAAGTTCTAGAAAGCCAATTGAACACATCAGAGGAAACGTTATCACTTAAAGACGAACTAATAACATTGAAAAACAAGGTAATTTATTTTAGTAAATAGAGTGTAATGTTTTTTTAATTATTTTGTTCTTTTTTTTTTTAGTTGATAGACAAAGAACAAAAAACAATGGAATTAGAATCTAACGTTCGTTTGCTAGGTGAATTAGCCACCGACGCTAGCGCTTCCCTTGACAATGCTCAAAATGACCTTGTAGTCATAACTGATGAACTGGCTCAGCTTGTCCATCATGTATCCATATTTAATGGAAAGTCTATACCGACACCTTCTGGTATATATATAAATTACATTATACCAAAGTCTGATTTGTTTGATTGAAAAATATCGTAACTACATTATAAAATTAATATTCCGCAGTGATAATGAAAGCGACCAAAGACACAGAAGAAAACGATCCACGTCTTGATATTCTTCGAGCGCGTTTGAAGTCTGATGTATTTATCAAAGAATTAGAAAGTCTGACTGAAGCTACATTTGTGGCAAAGAGTTTAAGAAACGTTTTAGAACAAATAAAATTACTCAAAGAATCTGTGAATAGTACCATCGATAACGCCAAGTCGGTTAATCGCGAAAACAATGATGGTAAATCGTTTTTGGAAATAATAAAAATAATTACAGTTAGTATAAGTTTGTGTTCATTATTCTTTAATAGGCCAAAGAAATTTGATGATTGATAACAACGATGAGGTATCCGACCTTCGAGAACAAGTTATGAAATTGCAATCGCTGTTGGCCACAAAGCGAGAACAAATATCGTCGTTGAGAATGGTGTTGAAAACCAACAAAAACACTGCCGAAGTCGCATTGAACAATTTGAAATCGAAATACGACAATGAAAAAATGGTCGTAACGGAAACCATGACTAAATTACGCAATGAACTGCGCGTGCTCAAAGAAGACGCTGCAACATTTTCGAGTAATTTTTTTTATGAAAATTATTTAAATATTTTCTAAAACACATTAATAAAATATTTCCTCTAGGTTTGCGAGCCATGTTTGCAGCACGTTGTGAAGAACAAGTAACACACATGGACGATCTTCAGCGACAGTTGGCGGCTGCCGAGGAAGAGAAAAAAACTCTTAATCAGCTTTTGCGTCTGTCCGTCCAGCAAAAGTTGATGGTCACACAGCGGCTAGAAGAAATAGAAATGGATCGAGAAATGAAGAACGTCCGTAGATCGATGGGCACTCCCAATAATTCGACTCCGTCAAAAACTTCAAAAAGGTATAATCAGCCTCAGCGACGAGATTGGTGAACGTTCAGTTAAGTTTATACAAAAAAAAAAAAAAAAATGTAACATTCACCGGCATGATTTGTGATAGATCATCCTCCTCATGGCGAGATTAATTTTAAGGGATATAAACCGTCCTTGGTAACATTTTTGTTTAAGAAAGAATCCTTGACATTACATTATTGAGTCCCACGAACCGCGTTTTTCAATATCCGTCCTGTTTATGAAACTCCGGTTCCAAATTGTGCATTAAACTGCCGTCCTAACTTTTCTTTTAGTAAACTGTTTCATTTTTATTAATATTTACTACAATATTATTGTTTGAGTTATTATAAAAACGTTATCGTTTTACCGTGTTTTCTTATTTTTTTTTTCTTTGTCGGTTATACATTTTATTTTATTAACAATTTTCGTTAAATAAAAATTTGTACCCGACATTCATATCACTTGAGCTCTTGAAAATCTTGTACACGAGTAATACTGAAATTATCTGGTACCCGTGTATAATGTTACGGGTATAATCCTGTAAAAATCAAGAGCCCTACATAATTTACCTAATGTTGAAATAAGTAACGTATACCGTATTACGGGTAATTTAAAATATATTATTGTGAATTTAGAAAAGTCTTAGGGGCGCCAAATTACACTATTGTTCCTTGAAAGCTCAATAAAAATTTAACCAGGTGCCATACTCGTCTTCTGTCCATTAAAGAAACCAATTTTTAATTGATTGATTAATTTTAAATTGATATATAATAATATTGTGTTTTATATTCCATTAAATAGCATTTCCATTTTTTGGCAGCCAATTTCTTATGTGCAATATATTTAAACGTTTCGTATTTTATTTCGTTGACACATTAGTTATAAGCATGTTCAATGATCTTTATTATTATTGTTTTTAAAATTCTATTAATTAACACATTTTTATTTGTTTCGTTTGTCATTATTAATTTTTAATGTTATTCATTTGTATTCGTACTATAAAACAAATCTGGACATATTATCTCGATATGATATTATGTATTCCATAATAGCGGTGGTATTTTAATGAATATGTCCATACTGTTCTTACCCCCACGAAGACCATATAATATCAATTAGGGTTTGTTAAAACTGTGGTGTGTAGATGTTAAGATCTAAGTTTTAACGGTTCAGGGACAATCTACTCATGTAATTATTGAACAGTTTATATCAACTTATTATTATTATTATTATTATTGTATTATTCATTGGTGTTTTGTTTATAACTTTTTAATATATCATTATAAATATAATATATATATATATATAACAAAAAAACAAATTCCGTAAAAATTAATGACATCTTACATTGTGTAAATAATTTAATAAGAGTCGTGGACCTTAATTTAAATTTATTTTATACTATTTTTTCACATAAAAATACAAACATTATTATTAATACTGTCCTCTGATCAATTGTAAAAAAAAAAAAAAAATGTCCAAACAATAAAAATATGTATTATTGTCATATTACTAAGGTATTGGTGATCATTATTATTATTATATAAATACCTTTTAATTCTTTCATCCCTATATTGTATTACCTAATATTATCTTATTATTATTTTTTATTGTTAGTTACTTATAAATATTAATGTGATACCCAGACCCAGTGTTTTATAACATGCTGTTTGTAAAGATTGGATATCTATGGCCACTAATATTCCTAAACATAATAATAAGTCATTTATAATGTTTATTATTGTTCGCAATGGAATATCAATTAATATTGTGTATTAAATATATTATTATCGAAACTGATGTACTTAAGCCATTTGTGTTTTTTATTATATATATATATTATTTTTCTAATAATTTCTCATGTAAAGAATGTCGACTTATCAGCTGTTGAGATGGAATTTAAAACTTATTAACGTAATATGTTAAAAGCTAGTACTCGATACAAGTGGAACGTAGGCGACAGCAATAACTTACGGACAAACAAATCATGAACGTGACGTGACTCGATGACTTAGTTATTAATAAAATTAAATTGTTCTGATCAATGTACTCGTGTATTGATATAAAACAAACGTTACGTTTTACTGGATTCTATATATTATACTGATTTTACGTATATTTATTTTCGTGGTCTTGCCGTTGTTCTGATTCTTCGGCGTCGCATTCATCGAAATTGTGTGTGTTCAAAAAATCAGATATTTTCTTTCCTATTTCGACCATCTAAAACACAAATCTGGCGTTAACAGAAGATACACTTTGGCTTTCACGTTTTTAATATCATTCCTTATGTGCATAGTTTTTTGTTTACCCACACCACAAGCAAACGATATAATACTTTTTTAATACATTTTTCAATGTTTAACTCTGAAGCGATACAAGAGTCCGAGTGCTTACGTCTTTGTCGATAGTGTTGCAAGTGAGACACGCTTTTTGGAACTCGTGGAAATGTACTTTGGCTTGTTCATATCTCTCTTGTTTTATAGCCAAAACAGTCAAGTTGATCAACGCCTCGGGATTGTCTGGATTCAACTCGATAGATCTGCGGTAAGCTCTGTCGGCGTTCGCGGTGTCGTTCATGTTGTTTAAGGCCACTAACATATTAATGTGATTCGAGTTTCAACGACAAATAAAAACTGCACAATTTCCATGTCCTAATGCAAAATGTACACTCACGTCCGATCAACACGAACGTGCTGGCGTTGGTGGCGTTTAGTTTGGCCGAATTGGTCAGGAAAATAAACGCAGACACGTATTGCCTTGTGTGGATGTGGACCAAGCCCAAATTGTATAAGGCCATCCAATTGAACGGGTGCAAATACACGGACCGCTTAAGACAACTAATGGCCTGCGTTGAAACAAAGTAATGGTTACACTTTTACATAATAGATATATACATATCACTTATATGTTTTTTCCCCTTAAACATCATATTATAGTCACTTATGGGCAAGGCTTGACACTTGAAGCATTTGCTTATTATTATTTTATTTTTTTTTTTTGGCTTACTTCAACGTGTTAAAATGCTTATAACGAAGTTTTTATTACTTATTTCGTACGTGTTTTTAGCCACACTTATTGACTTATGACACCGACAGTCTCTCTTACCGCCACGTATTTCTGTTTGCCAAAAAAACACATGCCAATGTTGTTCCAAATTTCTGAACTTTCCGACAAATCAGTTACGGCCTTTGTGTACTTGGACAGCGCTTCGTCGTATCCACAGTGTCTCTGTGTAATAACGGTACAAGGTGTAAAATTAAATTTGTGTAATTTTTTTTTAGCAAAGTTAGAGACATTTTTTAAACATTGTATGGACGCAAGCCCGTGTGCGAAATATTTTTTTTATATGTAGATTAAAAAAAACAAAATTATTTTTAAAATTTTTCGAAATATTTTTTATTTTTCTTGGTTTTAGAAAATTCAAGTAGGTATGGTAATTGAAATTTAAAAAAATGTACAGCTTTAAGAACTTGTTGAGAAAATAAAACAAAATGCTACGCACTAATAGCGAGAAGATAGATATTTGTACTACCTTAAATATAAGATAAATATAATACAGGTAACAGGTAGATTGGATTTCATACCCATGCTGGCAATGGGTATAACCGTTTAATTTTCAATTTTCTCTCAAACTATAAGAGAGGATAGAGTAGTTGATTTTAAGATTATTAAGAGATTGTCAAGAAGATACAAAATATGAATTAAAAATAAATTATTTAAGTTATTTACAGTTAAAAAAAATTGTCAATCCTAGCTACATTTCTCTTTAGCCACGGAGATCTCTGAAACCGGTGAACGGATTTTCTTATTTGGGGTCTTATTATAATCACTTTGGCACGTAGAAGAGCTTCAGAACATTATCTGGTATAGTTCATTCGCTACAGAGCTTTAAAGTTGTATACCATAAGAGCACATGTTCCCCTTTCAATTTAAATACTTTTCCAATTAATTGCTTAATAATAAAATATTGTTCCCAGCTGTAGAACTGTTATAGGCTATAGCTAATGCATTAATTGGTCTATTTTCATGGCTGGGACTATAACATAATACCAACACATACATTGCCTAAATTGTGATTATTATTGAAACTAATTTAATACACTTTAGATTCGCATCGTAGCCGGTTTCCCCTTTAATTTGGTAAATAATTAGGTACCTACCTAAGTAGAACTTACCTGCATTTCGGCTGCTAACGTCAAAAGAGCTTTGGGATTTTCTGGGTGTTGGCATAAGGAATTGCCAAGTACGTTGAAAGCTTGATCGTACTCTCGCAACTTCATGTACAACAATCCTAAGTCTACTGACAGAGTCGTGTTGAACGGAAATATTCTTTAAATACAAAAAATATAAATATATATACATATAAAAATGTACATAAAATATATATAGAATTTTAATAAAATATAAACATACACTTCACATTAATTATATTGGGCAAACTAGTTTATAAATTAAATTACATGTTACATTAGGGTGGTTCAAAGAAACCTTAACTTATTATTTCTTGTTCTTCTCTTGATGATATATTATTTGGATAAAAAGATAATTTTTGATATTTTTTTTTTAGATTTTTAAACTCATTTCTAGACGTGGTTCGGGTCGATTTTACATCAAAAGTAAAGTGTGTTTTATTGTGCAATAAAAAATGCTTAAAAAAAATCTTTTATATGAAAATTATCAGCATAAAAAAAAAAATCAATGTTGATACTCACTTGATAAAAATAATACGAAATCGCTAATGCTATGGACCGCAATTATTGAACATTTAGTTACAACAACTAATTACTTTACACTATTAATGGGTAAAAGTTGATGGGTCAATATAATTTAAAAGGAAGACTTAAAAAGTGATAGTAAATTCCAATGCAGAGACCTTAAAACATATGAATCCATTTTCTACTTACAATTTTTTTACAAAAAATCACCCCTCAAACCCGTTTAAATGAGAGGCAGATTTTAAATTTGGTACCAAATTTGAGTTTAACAGCTTCAACTACCCAATAAACTTAGAAATTAACTTATTTTGAAGTCTCTCGAACCAAGATTTGGAAGTTATTAATTCTGATCACTTTTCCTTTGACGACTGGCTTATACTATGACTAAATATTTACCACAAAAAAAAAAATTGTACCATACAAAAAAACAGTGTTAAGAAAAAATATTCAAATAATTGTCTATCAAAACAAAGTGATGAACAAAAAAATTGTCATTTACTATTTTAATAAATAATAATAATAATTTAATACTATTTAACTGAAATTATTTGTTATTTATTATTCGTCGACGCGATTTCTCTTTTATTTAGAAATATTTGATTTATTATCCGTTTGAATGTCTAAATAATAATTGATACAACTTGTAAATTATCTAAGGAAAAAGTGCTAAAACAAACGAATACTATAAAATATTTTCGTTTGTTAATAAATAAAAACACCATTTAATATTATGTATGAAACTTATTTTAAACAACTTTTTGGCCAACTCTGCGTGAAAAGGAAAACAAATCCTTTTTTCTCAACTATGCAGGATGATCATTCTATCATGAACCACTCAATATCTAATAGGGTTTAATAAGAAATAAAAATGATTCTTTCATATTGTATTTATACAATGCGATCTTAATTTTTCACAACTTTTATTTGTTTTTAACCTCCTCCCAACTTGGTTTTTTTGATAGCCACGTTTGAAACTTAAACGAAAACGCATTTACATATTTCATTAGTTACTTTATAAATTGTACTGTAATACTGTTATACTGTAATGTACTAAAAATGCTGACTGGTTGATAACCAGTTTTGAACAACTATTTTTAAAGTTATAATAATTATAAGAGTTTAAAAGTTAGTTTATGTTACCATATTTAAGTTTCAAAAGTTGATACATACAAATTTATGGAAAATTTAGATCACATTATACAAAAACAATTCAGCTATTAATTAAACCCGATGAGATATCGAGTGGTTCTTGATTAAATAATGATCACCGCTTGTATTTTATTGTAAATGGAAATCGCTCGCCACTCGAGATGACAATATTCGTTTGTAGATTTTTAATTTTAAATAATATTTCAAAAAATCCAATCCGATCACTAACTTTGTCGCAGACACGAGTGTGTCGATGGCGTTGTGGATGTTGTTCTCCATGGCAAATATCGTGGCCAACCGTTGGTAAGCCTGTTGATTGCGGCTGAGCTGGATTGTGCGTTGGAAATACTCTTTGGATCTGTCCCATTCGCCCAAGTTCGAATAACATATGCCTAAAACGTGTAAGATACTTACGTCTTAATCCCTATATAAAAAGTAGTGTAGTATTTTTAGGTATGTAATCTAAAAAGCTAATGATAAAACCAACTTTCGGTTGAAATTGAAGGAGTCAGCGGATAAAGTTGAGTGATATTTATGAAATTGTTCAAGAACGCTACTTTTGTAACTAAATAATAAAAAAAAAATCTATGAAACTTTTTTGATATTCAATATTTTCTATGAAATAACTTAGCAAAGTAAATAAAACGAAAAATATCGGTCTAGGTATCTCTATAATACTATACTGTAACTACTAACTGGTAACACTATAACACTTTTATTCATGCAATAAAATGCATTTTCCAAAAAGAAGTCAGTAAACACCTTTAATATCCACTCATCCCTTCAATTATATATTATGTTTAATTTTAAGCAATTATAAGTATATATTATCCGCAAATGCCTACCAAGATTGTAATAAACTTTAGTATCGGGCTCCTTGCACATTTTATCAGCTTTCAAATACATTTTCTGCGCTTCGCTATTCTTTCCCAACAGTAAACTGCGAAAGCCAAATAATTCAGTTAAATTCAAACACTTTTAAAAAAATGAATAGTGGGTTTCTTTAAGAAGTTTGATTGCAGATTTTTTAGAAAATCTGATTATATGTTTTAGACTCTAGATTTACCTTCAGTCTAATTTTCACACATATTTAGCCCTATGACTACACTTAAAAAAAAAAAGTTTCCACCCCTTCTGGGGTAAAGGGTTTTTTGAAATTTTTACGGTTTGTCAACGTATCAAGACTATAATGCAGTCAATTTAGATACTTGTACACTTTTAAAATTTTATTTTTATAAATATTGTTGAAATTGAAAAACGACCGCAGTTATGTAATTTGTTCAACAAAAATGGTTATGAAAACTTAAATTTATAAATAATCGCACTACAAACATACTAAATTTTGAAAACCCATGTTTTTATATAGTTCTTTAAAAAGAAAAAACTATGTGAATTTTAACTCTTTTTATTCTCAAAGAGAAAGAAAACAAGTTTTTTTGTCATAAATATTAGCTACAAGTGACGGGAAAGTTATGAATAGTTAGAAAGAAATGAATTGATTTTCGACCTTTGTGAATTATCATTTATCAATTGGTTTCGAATACTTACCAAAAACTTAACCACATTTAAAATTTAACTACTAAAATTTTAAAAAACTACACATACGATGAATTATTATTACTAATGAATATCATAATTTTTCTTACTTCAGAACTTTGATAGTGTTCCGTTTTGGCCTTTTAACCTTAATTAATTCATTAATAAAAAAAACCGGAAACATAATTTAATAACCGAACTTCATTAAAAAAGTGAGAATTTTATACAATGTAAAAATATATTTCCTATCTTTTGCCTCTTGACGAATTGTAGTCCTTTACTTAAGTTGCCCTTAACGTAAAATCATGGCAAATAGTTTTCTTGTACATAAAATAGGGTTTTTATTAAAAAAAAAAAAAATAATAATAATAACGTACCACGAACGAGCCATTTGCTTCACTCCTTCGACGCACAACGGGTCCAGGTTATTATACCTTTCGAAACACCAATAAGAATTTTTGATCTTACCTTCTTCCCTGTAAATCAATCCCTGGAACACGTTTGTCGTAATGAGTACTCGGTTAAGGCTAACGGTCGTCCATACGTAATGGGAGATCGGCATTTAAAAACGTTTAAGCGAGTCTTTGCAAATAACCAACCAGAAACTGTCCGTTTAAGATAGCTCAATCCCAATTTCTCAACTGTGCGCATCGTAAACGATAAAGACGTTATAAGCGTTTATACAACATTTTGTAGTTACCAATATGTAAAAAGCAAATTCATTGTTGTCTTTGGAATCGCGTAGTTCTTGTTCGATCAACAGCTTGCATAATTCCAAGTCTCGTTGTACGTATCTGTTGTAAATAACCCAATCGGATTGTCCTTGTACATTGAAAACTTGCATTACCGTGTCTACACAAACGAATTCAACTAAACTTTTGCCGTCAAAAAATATGCCTAAGCATAATATATTTTGCTCGACACACATTACCTGCATTACTATTATTGGACAGTCCATTAGCTATGTTACTGGACATATTAGCGGACTGCTTATTCATCAAATAGTAATAATAATAATAATAATAATAAAACAATTTTTTTTTTAAAATAATATAATAATCAACTATTTACGTTTTTTATAATTATATAATAACACGCACAAACACAGCAGTATTCTCTTTGTAAAGCATATTATATTATGTTTGGTTATTTATAATATGTGTTGCTAGGCAACAAATATTATAAAACATATATATATATACATGTGTATATATTTCATTTCATACAAAATAAATCAACAATCAATTTTCAAAAAAAAAATCTATATTTTTACGACTTAATTATAAATATATATATTTATACGTTATATTAAATCGTATTTATACATATACATATATATATATTATAATTATTCGTTAGTACAATCATAATATTGAAAACTAACAGCTATAAAAAAAAAATATATTATGGTACAATGTTTTAATGTTAGCGTTGGTGATTTTTGAAGTAATAACTATATTTTTCTATTTAAATAAAAAAATTAAACATTATTTAGTTTTATTACAAAAAAAAAAAAAATAATAATAAAATAAAAGAACTTAATTTGTCAAATAACACGGAGGAGTATTATTAAAGGATCACAATATAAAGAGCAACAAAATATGATTACATTAAAATAATATGTCGCATAAATTATGTGAAGAGATCATAATAATTAACGCAAATAATATTTATGCACAGAAATATAAAAAAAAATTTGCATGTGGCAATAAGGTGTAAGTGTTGGCATTAATAACACATGACCTTCAACACATGTTATTTATTTTTAATGAAAAAAAATGAGTCCTGAGGGAAAAAAAAATTCAAACAAAGAAATTAAAGACTATTTTCAAAGTACACAGAATTTGAAGTTTTTTTTTTAATGTATTATTTATCTTCGAAATAACATTAATATAGATATATTATATATATATATAAAAAACTATATAGTTACTATCGAATATTAAAAAGTGAATTTTAAATGTTTTTTTTTTCTTTAAGCAAAGATCGACGTTATTAGTCAAAAATGAATGCTAATTCACACTGCGTTAGGCTGTATAGATATAAATGTATATTTTTTAAAATTTCTATATGGAATAAAATACTACTTACACTCTTATACAGAAAAAAGTAATCGTCATATTATTATTATTTTTGTACAGAAATCTTTTGTCGGTGATATGGCTGCTTAAAGTACTTTTGCCATAGTTATTGTGTTTGAGATTGGCGGCCAATTATGTTCGATCCTATATGGGGGGGAAAAAAACAAATTGCATACAATTACATTTTCGTCTACAACCTTGTCAACTATTATAAATTTACGTCACCTGCAAAATGGTGGCAGTGAAACACGCACAATATACGAAGGTCATTTGAGCAGTTCATCGATGTTGGTGAAGGCGCACGCTCCCATGCTGGACGCCGCCATCAGTTTGACTAGCTCGTACGCGTGGCCAACAGTCATTTCCAGAGGCGGGCGTCGTGGTAGATTGCTCGACTCTGAAAAACCGTGTCGTTTAGGTTTAGATACCCGTTTTATGCTTGCATATTTTAATTATCATCAGCTCGACATGATTATGTGATTACAAGCATAATAGTAAAACCAGTGTTGGTAAAGAACGCATTCAAATTTGATTATTTATAATAAAAATTAACGTTGGTAAATTTGTACTGCACGAAACTAGTATTACTATTCAAATTTGTTTACCTAAAATTGCGGAATTCAGAGCAGCACAAACACTATCTCTCTGCGAAGGTTCTAGTTGCCAACCGACAGGACTATTCCAAGGGTTTGAGTACGCTAATAGACTAAACGCATCCTAAAATAAAATAAAAACCGAAACCAAATATTTGAGTGCATTATATAATAAGCGACATATAATTAAAAACATTATTATACTGTGGTAAACATTCCGTTATATATATATATATGTATTATCGATTGACTATACTCTATTCAGAATAAGAACAGACTTCGGCGGCCGACTTGTGCGCATGGGCGTGGCGGCTTCACTACGAGCAACGGACCTCGAACACTGCAGCCGGTGAGGCTACAGACGAAATGTAAAATGGGCGGTGCCTGATCGCCGTCCGATGAAAACTGGTCGGCCGCCGAAGCCTGTTCTTATTCTGAATAGAGTATAGATGAATAAATTACACGCCCTTACTTGTAACATTTTTTTATTAGTTTCGTTACGTCCTAATTCTTGTCTTAGCTGCATGCTAAGTAGGAATAGTTCTCGGCCAAACTCTAGCATTTTTTCAACGCCAGGTTTACTACCGCCGCAAACTTTTTTCGTCGATTGGTGATATTCTGGTTGATCTATTTCTATATGAAAAAAAAAAATAATAAAATTGTTTTAAGTACTATTTCGGTATAACGGCAATTAACAAAATAAAAACTTACCCATAGATTCTTCGTTTCCGTTATTACTACTAACTCTCGAGTTTCCGTTACTAACGATAACTTCTTCGCAAGAGTGTCCGTTGTGGTAACCATTCGAACCATAATCCCCGTCGGTATAAGGAGTTTTGTGATGTCCATTGACACTTTCCGGTGACATTGTGTAATCAGTCATTTGGCCGTCTTCATTACAATCCATTTTTTCAATCGGATAATCTATTAATTTAGGCGTGCCGTTTTTTATCGTTTTCACTGTGGTCACGTCGGACGAACCGTTTAACATCAAGTTCACAGAGTTCATCTCGTTCACGTCGGTTATTACGGTGTTTGAAAGTTTTTGACATTTTATACTCCTGTTGGAATAGTATTTTAATATAAACAACAAATGTCAAGTGCGAATACGAAAAGGTCACCGACGACATATTAAGAATAATTACACACCCATTGGTTTGTACTGACGTTGGGCTACGATTCGATTGTAATGTACGCTTGGGTGACGGCCGATTAGTTTGAATATCGATATTTTCATGAGCGCCACGAGGTGCTATTTCGGAGTCGGTACCATTGACCATTTCAACAAACTGACGGCATTTGAGCTTAAACAAAAGATTACGGTTGGACTCGAGTAATCCCGGGTAAAGCTTGTTGGTCATTTCTATCGCTTCTCCCATTCGACCGGTCGACACCAATTTCAGTATTTCTGGAACAAAAAATACCGTTATAAGGATATAAAATGTGCTTATCATTTTTACAAACATTTACTTTGTCGATTTTTTATAGAAGTGATTTCTTCTTCGAAGGACTGATCGGTTTGTGAGATAAACGCTTCTGCGGTGGCACAGAATCCTTGGTGTACTAAATAAGTCGAAACCATTCTAAAAACAACATATTGAATAAGTATTAATATTTATTGTCATATTATATAGTGCAAATTATTTTTGTTTATACTTGTGAAAATTGGTCTGGCACTGTGAATATGGATAAGAGAACGGATAGTTCTGAATAGTCAATTGTGTTTGGTCTCTGAGCTCTTTCATCATCTCTTCAATTTTGAACACAAATGGCCACTGTCCGAAGTTGGCATCGACCACTTCGCCAGGCGTTTGTAGTCCAACGGTAGGAAATAAATTTGGCTAATTTTGTGAAAAAATTAACTAATTAAAAAACATGTTTACAAACTGCGGTTTTAAAATATTCTCTAATGATGCAAAATATACTTACAGGAAGGTCGGTAAAAGCTGTTCCTAAATGTGTACCGTTTTTGGTGTAAAAACATTTGTTGTGAACAAGATCTACACCACAGCCGATGACGTCGCCTGTTGTAAACGTAGGTCCATACGGTTGGCCGGTACCGCTTGAGCAAAACGAGTGTCCATCATCGCCGTGGTAACCATACGAATGTTTGTCCCAACCTGATTAGTTAAAATACATAACATCATATTTTAGTTAACACCCGGCGATGATCGGTAATTTTGGCTGCACTTATACTTACCAGGTAAACGGTTCATGTTGACGCCTTGAGCAGAAAGTCCGACTCCCATATAACCGTCACGTCCTTTTGAAACAATTTTCACTTCAAAATAATACAGTCCACACGATGCTGGAATGGGGTGCGTTGCTCGTACACTCGCTGCGTCTTTATGAGTTTTACCATGACCTATATTAAAAAAATGTGTTAAATTATTTTATTGGTATTAATGAATTTATATTCTTACGAACACCTGTAGTTTCATTATAATAATGGTATTTTTGTACTTAGATTTTGCGCTGTTATCATTTGATACGGAATAAAGGAGGGGGAATCAAGAAAACAATATTGAGGTCAATTAAAACACACAGTTCTGTTTGTTGAATCCGATTAAAATAAATTCAATTACAGATAGGTAGTAAAACGTTAAGAATAACTTTGGTTAGATTCCAATTTCTCTGTAAAATTACTCGTATACTAAACAAATCATATCATCTTTTGAGAATTTTTTTTGTGTTTTTAGAGCATTTCATACATTTTTCTAACTTGTAAAGGAATTAAGTTACAAAAGAAAAAAAATGAATATTCACTGTAGATAAAATAAAAAAAAAGTTGTTCAGACTGGCTTAGTTAGTTTGTTTTCAAAATAATATTATGAAAAATAATGTATTTTTTTTTAACTTTAAACATTACTTAAGTAATTATTATTTTTAAATCATTTATAATTAATTTTACTACATAAAAATATTTTTAAGTAATTTTGATTTATTTTTTAAAGAAATTTTAACATTTTTTTGAGTCTAGTTATAATTTTTGTTCAGTGCTGGATTAATGAAATGGAATTGTATAATAAATACATTTTTAAATGCGAATAAAGTTATTTGTGACTTGATAGGTAATCTGTTTATTTATTATGTACAGAAAAATTATTTTAGTGAATATCAAATTTTCCTAGTTATTTTCGTGACCTTACAATGAAAATTTTGTAAACAGAATTATAGAATATATTTTTTTTTTATGAAATGTTTTTCTTTTTCCTGAAAAATTTTGCTTAACAGGATTTTAACCACTGAAAGAGGAAATATATTATTTTAACTTAATTATAGTTGTAATAATTTGAAAGGGTGAATAACTGGTTAATTATGTTTGCTCTATTACAAATAACCAGTATATCAATAACCACTTTAGATTATTTAGCTTTTTGCATTCAAATTTTAGGCTGAGGAAAGCAGTCATTATTTCCATTACATCGTTCTGATTATAATAGGTAAACCAAATGTGTATGTCGCACTTTTGTTTTTTTAAGGTTACCCCTTAAAACAATATTTTTAGCTATTGAACGCATAAAACTTTATTTAAATCAGTCTAGTTACAAAAAAAAGTTAACAATATGTAAATGTAGGATTAAAAAAAAATATAAACGTTTAAATAAAAATGTGTTGTTGTTTTTTTTGTCTCCTGTCTCTAGTTGGGTGATTTTCGATTTTTGCCGTTTCTCACCAACACGGAAATTAATCGTCTCGAGATCAGAAAAAATGCCAAAAACGTTTCGAGAAAATCGATCAAGACGGCGATCAACAAAACAAAAGACTTTCTCCACACGAATATTATTATTATGCCTTCGCCAGTGGTGTATTTAAATCAGTAAATAAATAAAAGCTATCGATAACGACAATGATAATGATCTCGAGGGGAAATCCCAACGAAAATAGACGAATGAATAATATTATATTATTATATTCCTATTGTTCGACGACGTTAATTTAATTATCGTTTTGGAAACAAAAACAATAAATTTTACAAATAATTACATAAAACACACAAAAATAACAAGGAAAACATTAAGTACTGCGAATTGCAGCGACAACGTGGGCAGACGCAGACACGTCAAAATAAAAAAAAAATCCGCTATAATATGTAATTTTATTTTATTTTTTCTATTTTGTCTCTTGCGTTGTACGCAGTTGCGGACATCGACGCAGTCGGGACGGCTCGAAACGACGCCAATACCTACCTAATAAAACAAAAATATCTCGTCTCGTCTATTCCTACCGCGAACGGCGGCCATCGAAAACTAGGTAGGCAGGTAGTTGTGAAAATAATAGGCCCGATGAAAGGCAAAAAAATAAAAATAAAATACATATCTACACAATATGTACCTACACGGTCGTAAAGCGTACGAGAAGAAAATCGCGTGTCTTAACCCCTCCCCGTTTTTTGTTTTTGTTTTTGAACAGATTGGGATAACAATTTATCATAATATTATTTTGTATCATTCGACACGATAGGCAATATTATTATTATCTAAGATGTGGATAATATTTATGTTTTTCAGTCTTAACCTCGAGTAAGGCCAAAAAAAAAAAAAAAAACCCGTCAACGACGACAATGATAATTGTTATTATCATCATCGCACGGGACGGGAAGAGAATCTCGAAAATATTATTTTCGGACGTCGGAGTAAATGCGCGAAAAACAAAACAATGATCAGCTGATTCTTTGTTACCACACGCATACACACGCACACACACACACGTACATATGAACTGTTACTCTGCCTCGCAATAGACCCGATACGCGCGCGCGCACGTACTAAAACAGGCACACACACACACACACAAACGGACACGGTGAACGTCCCAGCTATTATATATATTATAGGCTTTTGCGCATCGAAACCGCGAGATAAAGGAACCCAAAGGCTAACAACAACGGCCGACCCCCTCGTGTACTCGCCTTTGTAATGGACACGTATGTTGTTCTGAGACAGGCCGAGATTTGTGAACTTGTCTTTGGAATTCCAGCTCCTCGGCAACGGCGTGTCGTCCTCGTCCACCATCGGGTACAGGCTCTTGAGCCTGTCCTCTCCTTGTTTCCCGAAATGACTGCTGGCTGTCCGCGCGCCGCCGTCCGGGCTCACGACCACCGTGTTGCTGCTGCCGCCGCTGTTCGGCGGGCTGGTCGCCATTTCCGCACGCCGACGGGCCACCGCCGCGGACCACGACGAGTGCCCGTTACTGCTGTGCAGCTGTAGCGCGCCGCCTGTTATCCTGTCGAGTCTCCCTTTTTTTTTATTTTTCCACTCGTTTTTTTTTTTTTTTTTTTTTATGGTCGCCTTCGCTATTATTATTATTACTACTACTATATTATTCTAATCACGAGTACTACGAGCAGATAATTCTTCGCCGACGGGTAGGTGTTACAGCGTCGCACGGCTACCGTCACAATAATTGTGAGTTACCACCACTACCGATACCACTGACAACAATACTTATCATGACGACGGACCGTACAGCGCAAAACGACGTTACAAACGCGCGCGCGCGCGCACACACAAACACACACACGGACAGACACACGAGCGAACCAACGCAAACAAACGAGACGAGCGGCCGACACTGAAACACTGGCGAGTGGCGACCGAGACCCGTCGAGCCCCGAGAGTGCTGCTGACGGCCAGGCCGGGGCCCAGCGCGGGCGGGGGGTGACGATTATGTTTTTTGCGTTTCCAGGTGGTGCCGGCCCGGCCGTACAGATGGCGACACACGCCCGCTCAGCTGATGTGTGGCCTGCGAGAGGCGCGTGCTGCCGTCCGTCCGCCTAGGCTTGCCTTGGATCACACGGCCGCCTCGCCCCCCCCCCACCCCCACACCTTCACCGAGCGGCGGATGGCCGACCTACATAAGCGCGAGCGTGGAGGTACAAGCCACAAGGGCTTCGCAGATGTTTAAACGGTTTGACCTCGATAACGTCAACCGTTGTTTGCCGTGCGCTACGAATTCGTATCGCTACTACGCGTGTAATACCGAGTCCGAAAAAACCCAATGATAACGGCACAGTGGGGACGCAGAGGTCACGGCACTTTGGGAATCATAAATAATAATTGTACACCTAACTAATAAAAGTGGAAATCACTTTCAAAATATAAACGCTTCGACGCGAAACCGTGTAGCCGACGGCAGTGAAAACTGTACACACATTTTAAGGGGTTAGGTATAGGCAATTTTTTTTTATAACAAATTAAAACTACGATTTAATTATAATAATATTTATGTCATGTATATTTCACCGGTATAGTAATGATGATTGTATAATAATAATTTTTTGACATGGACATGTCTTATGGCCAGGGGTCATTCTGAAATCCAGTCCGTTGTCCGTCACGTTTTGAGCGACGGTATCACAGTGGGAGGATGGGGGGATTATGGAGGAGTATGGAGGAAAAACATTTGGCCACAACATAAAATTAAGACAATAGTATACTGTACTATCATATTTTAACGTTGCTATCGTTTATCTTTTTCTTTATTTCGCTTTTTTTAGGTGAAGGGTTTCGTAGGGTTTAAGGTCTGAAAATTAGACCAAAGGTAGATTTAACAGACACGCTTTTTCGGTACAATTTACCCAAAAATAACGATAGAAAATAGAAAACCTGATAATAAAATTAAAGAATAAAAAATATAAAGCATTTTTCAGCCGAGCCTGCAACCACGAAAGAGCATTTTCATGTCTCGTTGAAGTACCGAATAAATTTAGAGTAGTGGTGGAATTATAGATAATGATATAGTATATTATCAAGCAGTAACAAGCTAGTATCTAAGGTGGCTAGTATATTAAAACATAGTAAGTTTCTGGATAATATTTTAGTGTTTAATATCTGGTTTAAAAGAATTCATAAAAATGTGACCTCTTAAATTCATTTTGGTTCAGTTATGGTTTGAACGTTGTGAATACAACATAAGTATATTAGTTGGAGAAATTAAGCCCGACAATGTGCATTAACGCGGTTAAACACTAAATATAAAAAAATCCTTTTTTAGGGGCAAAATTAACATACACAACTATTACCTGAGTACCATACAAGTTGCCTATACCAAACGCCTTAAACAGTAGTATATTGTATAATACATAATATTGTGAGAACGAAATCTTTTCAGCTTCGAATACAAGTTACGAAAAAAAATTAAGCAAATACAAATTCTAAAGACTAATCGACAATTGATCTCAGATTAGGTACTATCGTTTTCTTTTGTCGCTTCTGAAATTTTTCCCATTTGTTACATCACTGAAAATTTTCTGAGCAAAGTAAACTAAAATAGAATAATTAGTAACGCCGTTTTTTCATTAAAAAAAAAATTGACATTTCCTCGTCAAAATCACAATATGTACAGCACAACTTTACAACAAAAAAAAATAAAAATATTTTACTATTATCATGCATTATGTTATTTATGTGAATGATTTATTTTTTTTTGTAGTTAATAAAGAATTTTATGTTGCACCACACACTCAAAATTATTGACAGTTATTGTAACCGTTCTATCATGGTTGAAATTTTTATTAATATTTTAATTTTATATTATTTGTATTTATATTGGATGTCAATCGCAAATTATGTCTGCATTATCAAAAAAGTGGGAGAAATGGAAAAGTACTGATTTTCAAACATAGTTTCCATTTAGTTTAGTCGTGTTGAGCGTTTATAAATAAAAGTTCCATAAAATATATTGTTTTTTTTATCCCATTGGAATTAGTTTGAAAGGTGAGTTGATTGGGTTTTTAATGACTTTGCTGTTGGTTCATCGTCGTGCCTCGTTTGGGGTTTTTTGTTTTTGGAATTTTTTTAACCTTATTAATTGCCACTCAACGAGGGCCCAGCGAAGGTAAAAGATATAGCTAGCAAATAGGGTAAACTCATTAATTGTTATACTTTAAATTAAAAACATTTTCGATCTTGAAATAACAAGAAATAATTTATATTATAAAATAACCGTAAGAAGTTGTTTATGTATTGCTGCAGGAAGAATATAATATTATGTTATTTTGATATATTTTTAGTTATGAAAATGTTATAAGACTGTTTATTTTTAAAAAACTATAATTGCACTTTATTTTAAAGAATTAAGTTATGGGTTATTAGCGTTTTTGATCAGCTTTAATCAGGAACTAATATAATAACGGTAACGTAACGGTGGCAACACTGTCGCTTGCATTGATGATTTTGGAACTTGGAAGCTCAATGGTAACGCTGTCATGGTCTTTCTCGAAATTAAACGCTAAAAATATATTTTTTTTCGCACCTAAACGGGGAATTGTAATAATTATTTTTATTAGAAGGCCTTTCGCGTCGAAGCTAAAACAACGATTTGCTGCAAAATATAATTAAGTATGTAAAAAAACTGTCGTTATTATTGTTATTATATTATTATTGTTACATTCAACTTAACAATTATTATTACCTGTATTAAAGAAACGACATTTAAAGTCTATTACATGCGTTTTTTACAAATTTAATTTACAAATTGAATTTTATTATTTCACTAACAATATACCTAGTCACGTTCATTTGACATTTTTATAAAAATTAAAAGTAATCCTAAATCCTAACCTCTCTTTTCTTATCCATTTCAAGTGTATCTGATATGATAAGAAACGAGAGGTTAGGATTTAGGATTACTTTTAATTTTTATAAAAATGTCAAATGAACGTGACTAGGTATATTGTTAGTGAAATAATAAAATTCAAAATGTAAATTAAATTTGTAAGGAACGCATGTAATAGACTTTAAATGTAGTTTCTTTAATTACAGGTAATAATAATTGTTAAGTTGAATGTAACAATAATAATATTGTACAACTTTAAGTACCGCAGAAACACATTCTAGTTTGTATACGTCAACTTACTTTCCTAAAGAAAAACAACATCATATAATATGTATTAAAAAAAAACAATCATCTTATGTAATAATTAATAATAATAATAGTTAATAGCGTACTAAACCGTTGTGAAAAATAAATGTGAGCTACGACAAGATAATATCTTTATAATCCTTATTAGTAAAGCGTTAGTATTATAATAATAACATGTGCAATTAAAACGTGTGAACATACTTGAAAGCATGTGACATTTGTGGGCAATTATTGACCGTTTTTTGAATCATGAGAAATTTTTATGGAACGGTCATTGTCGAGTTACATATCTATAAAACAACTCATATTATAATAGTTAATTATAAATCATAGTTCTTTCGTTGCAGTATAATTAATATATTCATTTTTTAAAAAAGTAAAATATCTTTGCTCAATATTAGAGTACATTCAACGAATTTAAGGAAAACGTATTATCATACATTATGATAGTTTCGCAATAAACCTAATTCACGGTTTAAGGCGATTTGTTTTCTTAGATATATTTTCTTTCTGTTGAAAAGCAGTGTTTTAATTTTTACTTCTCTCCAAATCGTTTCTATATTAATGACACGTCGGTATATTAAACCAAACGTTATACAACTAAAAATACACAGTTTTTTTTTTAAATTTGCAAAAGTTATTTATTGATGTTGCAAACGTAGACACGTTTAAGTTTTAATATTTGTATTTCATGGCTAAGACATTAGCGAAATCATTATAATATATTTTCCATAATTCTTACAATTATTGTAACTCGTCGCTGATAATTTGTAATTCTTAAAACAAATCGAAAAATATGACTGGCAGACAAGTTCTAGTTTCATATTTTAATGTGCAAAAAAAATATATTTTTGCAAATTGAAAAAATAAAAGGGCATTGTAAGTAGATTTTAGGCTCAAATTTAATAATTTATAGTGGGCTGAATTCAGATCTAACAAAAATTCTAGAAACCTGTATTTTTTTTTCTGATGGGAGGGGCAGAGGGGTTCTACCACCCCATTTTTAAGCCTGTCGGTTTTGATTTTTGGTCGATTAATGTGACAAGTCGTGAGCGCAAATAAAAACAAAAAAACAAAACGCACACAAACACACATCAAGTTAAAATCAATACTTCTTTTTTAGCTTAGCATCGAAACTAATATGGTAAGCATTTTAGTCTTTTGGAAGGTTTCCAATATTTCGGGTCACTCCTCAATAATTACCAGCCGCCATCGTTGTACATAATATTTTTTAACGGCCAACATTATGATATGCCTTCTGAGAAAATGTTTTCTACAACTTTGATCAATCTCACTTGTTTCTTAAATTGTATTGCCATGAATTATTACCATTTGGTTATTCAATAAAAAAATCCCAGGACATTGTCTCCAAACAAATTAAACATAAGAATAACAAGAGGAGGAGGAAAATATGGTTTACCTTTTGTTTATGTGTACATAGTAAATTATCACGTTAAAGTGGTACCAAAAATTGTTCAAGTTTAATTGAAAATTCAATTAAAATGTCTTTATTGTTGCTATGAAATTGCCTATACTTTACTCCTTAATCAATAGATGGCGTGCAGTTCAACAATAGTCAGTATTACGTCGTTCAATATACAAAGCAAATAGCAATAATATATTTTATTAAAAAAACATAATAAATTAAATACATAATATTTAGATAATTGTTATTAAAAGGTTCGATTAAAATATGATGTAAAAATATTTTAGTATATGTATTAAACCTATACCTACTGTAGAAAATATATAATACAAATATAGTACGGTTTTTCCTATTAAAAAAAATTCAAAATTTATATGCACTTGGAAGTGTTGTTAGAGTTTCTGGTTGCATACAAATGTATTGTAGTTTATGATATTATTATTCAAATGTTTATGTTTCAATTGAACTAAACAGTAGCCAACGTTTAATATTATAGGTATTATTCAAATTATGGCTAAGTGATTTTAATGCCCAAAATAAGTGGTTTAATTGATTATATGTTTACCCAAAGTGCACTCCCATATTTTATGTACAACATCCCGCCGTACCCTTTTCCTTTATTAATAATAATAATAGCTTTATCTTGTCGGTCATTGCTTTAATGCAGCATAAGTGATATGGTTTTAATTTTTATGTGTTGCTATGAACAGAAAAGGTAATACATTTTGTTTTCGTATTTGAACTTACTAATTTGTTTAACCGTCTGATTTATTATTATTATTATTATTACATGTTCACCTCTTTCTCATAAGAATCCAAAGGGATACAATTTTTTTATTTTTTTGGACTTTTTAGAACTTAAAGTAAAATCAAGAGTGCACTTACAAAATTAAAAAAAGAAAATTGGAGTAAAAATGTCTGTTTATCGCAGAGGATTAGGTTAGGTAATATTTTAGTGGAAATATATTTATTAAAAATTACTTAGGAGCTGAGAAGTTTTACAACATTCGAATATATGAATTATCTTTTATTTTGGGAAATAGTATGTACAATAATAACAGTGGTTAAAACGTTTGTTTAAAATAGTTTTGGAACAAATTTTGTTTATGGTTCAATCAAATTTCAATTTTTTTCATATATCATACGGATTCTTGCCGAAAAGCTGTATACTTCTCTTAATAAGTACACAGAATATAAATTTGTAATATTAATCCTTAGGAATACAAATCTGTATAGGAAAAGTAATTAAAAAGAAAATGTGTATACAAGCGGTATTATTTTTTTTTATGTAATCGTTTCCTTTGGCAAAACCCATCTTGCACACATTGTTGTATTGTTATTATACAATACAACGTTGTAGTGTAATAATTGAGTAACAATAATAATTGCCCGGCTTGATGGTCGCATGTGACGATTCGATAAGGATAGTGTAATTGGAGTTTAATTAACGAGATGAAAAAAAAAAAAAAACAATTAATTTTTACTCGTTGCAAAGTACAAGGAACGTACCTAACGCCGGTAAGGTAACTCTTGTCATAATATTATTATTGTTCAAATTATGTGGTACTTTTTTTAAGCAGTGGTATCTTATTACATACCTGTGTATACACTCTATACCTACATTATTATGTTATATTATACTGTATATTTTTGCTTGCACGGTATCTTTCACACCGGCGCAGGCCGTCAGTCAGTATCCAACAGGACGCCATTCGATCTAGTCCAGCGAATGCATTATGTCTGCGAATAACAAACAATAAAATAAAATAATTATAATAATATCTAATAAATTATGTTAAGAGTGTTAATTTTTTTTCAATAGCGTTTGATATTTTTTGTCTCTTGCCGGTCGGTCGCCATAAAAATCTTCCATCTTTTGTAAACGGCAAACATGGTGAAATTTCATTGCAACAACAGACAAAGTACGAAAATCGCCACAAAGATGTTCGACTTTGTGTCTAGTTTTAACGCGATTGTCAAATTGAAAAACTTACAGTGATGAAAACAGTGACAAATAATGCAGTTTTTCTTCGGTTTGTTCGCAATCGTACACTTGTGGATATTGCAATCTGTTCAAAGCGTTAAGGTAATAGCTGTTTTTTTGTCAAAATATTTCAACAAAAAAAATTGTACAAACAACCGTAGTTTTCTGAGATTTGAGAAAAAAGTATTATGCACAACAACTGATGGAAGATTATTTTTTTTTTCTAAAAAATTAGTAATATTTTAGAAAACAAGTGATAATCAGTAACTTTTGTTTTACTTATCAGAGAAACTTTAGATAACTTTTGAACACTTGTAAACATTTTAATTACGAAATTTTATTTTTTTATTTTTACAAGTGTCTACAAATTTAAAAGTTTTAAAAACATAAGTCAAGCAATTGGGCTTAATGATTTAGCATTGATTGATCCCAACTGGCTTAAACGATCACACCACTAAACCCCATCACTTAATTTGTCACTAGTTATAATATTTAATGTAATTTTATAACTATAACTTGTTTAAATTTACAAAAATATTGCATCTGATGTATTGTCGTTATTATCTAACAACGTTTTTAACTTCAAATTAAGTTTATTGATATAATATTGGCTTTTTGTCACCATTTTTTTTTATAAAATTAAATTTCTGACTCTATGTAATTATTAAACATAAATACCAAACAAATTTATGAGTTAAAGTGTTTTGTTATGTAATACAAATTACTCCTAAATAAACGAATCTGGTTTATAAACCTTTTAAATCTTACACAACAATAGTTCAATGTAATAACAATAATAATTGTATGTTTCAATTTTTTTTTCGTTAAATACAACAGAACACGTTTTTCATTATATTAATGGAGGTTTTAAAATTTGTTTCTAGTAATATTCTATTATAATAGTTTAGTTGAACGTACAATTTTGCATACGGTCAAGCTTTGGTCACAGACTATTTTAGAAATTATATTATGATGGTATTATTCTGTATTTAATATTTATATATATATATATTTTGTATACCATGTTAAAAAATCCTTGAGTTTTAGGGTCAATGATTTCGATTTACTATAATTATTATTATTTTTTCTATCGTTGTCATATCATAAAAATAAGTTTATCAAGGTAGTTGTACTATAATGTGGATCGCGATTACTTGCAAATCTAACAATCATTAGTATGTAATATAATATAGATATGAAGTATAATATTAGATATAATATTTGATCCCACACAGAAACAAAAAAAAAATACGTAATAACATAAAATAGAATAATATTTTTAAAATATAGTAAAAATGTTATAAAATGCCAATTGGTATTGTGAAAATAATGTACAATAATATACTGTGAAAAACACAAATATGTTCTTAAATATTTTAAAATATTGTCAACATAAGTTTCAACTTACTGAAATCATTCTTAAAATAATTGCTAGACATTATTTATATTTCAAAAATGTAGTTACAAAATGTTGTTAAATTTAATGAAAATATTTTAAATTAGGGTAGTAAAATTAATTTTTTTTCATATAAAAAAACTCAACAATTTCTGTATTCTATCTAACTGTGTAAATTAGCAGCTAACAATTAAAAATATTATGTCATTAAAATAACAATTTTTGATTATTTAAAAAAAATGTACTTTTGCTTAGAATTACACCACCAAATTAAAAACTAACGTTAGTTAAATTATTTAGCTAAAATATTTCCTCTTAATTGTTGAAAAACAAAAGAAAAAAAATTGTATTTTTAAATCGCTGTAAGGGATCTTAGTTGGGATCATCTAAATAACACAGTAATTAAATTAAACATTATTATATTGATGCTATTCATAATTTACTCGAATACAAATTGACAAATAATTTTAAATTCATATTAGTTATGAAACAATCATTGAAATAATTTTTTACATAAATACATTTACCGAAAATCCACCCAACTCTGTGTGGGACGAAACTACATTGTTTGTGATATCTATAATTAATGCAAATCTCGATAAACAAAAGAATACTTATTAATAATTTTTTGATTTCGCAACCATGTCGATATTATGTAGCCTTCCTCTTGTTAGTGGTGGCCAACAATCCTCCATGCAAATGGGGAAAATGTAGGAAGGGGCGCACTCTCATGCTTAATAATATCTAAAAATGAAATCCTCCTTTGGAATGTACGTTGGCCACGAGTGGGGTTTAATCAATGATTGCACACCAACTGTATATGATTTATCATGCATAATTATTCATAAACAGCTTTCTTCGTTCAAACAATTAATACATTCGTTTTCAGTTCAGTATATGTCCAAAAGTTACCGTCCGTCCGAAGGCGTTTCTGCACTAATTAACAAACAAAATAGATATTTGAACGGAAAATTGTACATCTACTACTGAGACGTATAAGTACCATAATATAGCATGCTCATCGACCGCATCAGCTGCCGGTGAAAACATCATCTCTGACGATTTCAATGTCGGAATTACATATACAATATAATATTATTATCTTTTGTAAAAATCGAAATAACGAAAGTAACGATAGCGCTATATTATATTATTATGATTATTATGCGGTAATAATCGCAAAAATTACCTGGCTAAAAACGGGTAATATTATTTTCTAAATGTATCAGAGACATCAGAGACGCCTTTTACTTTTACATTGTACATCCTGTTTCCCGAACCCATCGGACCATTGTTTGAGCTGACCGATCGGTAGATAAACAATTAACGTGTTAACTTCTCCTTAAGATTTCTACTAACCTAACAAACCAGTGCCTAGTTGGAATGAAATGCGATTGGACAACACGGACAAAGAAATCGTACCGACCCTTTTCGGTTTATGTAGGTAGCTTTCGATGAAAGTTTATATATTTATACATTTCCATAGCAGCCTTGTTCATCATTTAGGACAAGTGTTGCACGCATCAGTAACACTCATTGTGTCGTATTGGTCGTTCGAAATATGTATAAATACAATATAACCAAACATTTTCCACTATATAACCGGCAAACTTTCCATATTATAAAATCCGGTCGCACAGGTTGATAACCCGATGTAATGCAAAAAAAAAAAAAAAATTTCTATATTCGAACCAATTTTCAAGGACTTGCAAAGCACAGTACAATAGAACACAATTCGTGTAACATATTATTTCAATGCACCGAGGTAAAGAGATTTATTCGACCTAGTCTCTATTCGGTGGACGGACAGGTGAAAAAAATTGAATTGTGCGTTCATACGAATAAATTAGGTTATGCGGTTTCAAATTTGTCTGAGTATGTCTCTGAAACTCTGCAACAGAACTCCTAAAATTCAAGTTCAGTAACGAGGGCACATACGAGATGGGAAACCGATATTATGCTCGGATGGCTAATAGTACATAGAATACGGGAATAAGTACCTTATACGATATCATGAAGAAGGTTAGGCGAGTAAAATTAATAGTGTAGTTGGATGAGATGGAAAAATCTGGGAAGTGAACTTGAAATGAGAATATTGAGATAATTAAGTCAGACCTCACTAAGCATGAGCATATAAAACGACGGAGAATTTCAGGTAACAAAGAAGAACACAGTCTGATATGGTTAAGTTTTAATTTTTTTTTGCTTACATATATAAGACCCATAACTGTCTTCCTATGCCAACTATATGCAAAGGTAATATTACTATACAAAATATAATTTTGCTATTTGGAATTGAATAATTAAAACGACTGATTGGATTCAGTGATGTGTTCAGTTTAAATTACACAAGCGCAACGGTGTGATTTATAGTAAGATTAGAAATAAGTCCAAAGTGCAGAGTTGGGAAAATTATTTAATTTAGGTTGAGACTTAAGTTAATTATAACAAATATAATATTGCTGTCAGCAAAATAACAACACATTTGCTGTTTTTGTACAGTAAATATTTACTGCGCAGCGTTACATTGAACAAGTAAAACTTAACTAGTTAACCTTAAAAAGAAAATATGGCAATTTTAGATAACAAATATGTTTATATTCAAGTAACGTTGATGTATGAAAAAAGTAATTAATTAAGCTAAAACTTAATAACGGGGGAAATGTAATATGGAATTTTAAGTTGCTCGCCATGCATATTGTTACTTGTTTTTTTTTATTTTCAATACTTTATTCGTTTGATGTAAAAGTTACAAGAGTGACTATAATGGTAAAACAATTAAGTTAAAAGTCTAAGATTTTAGTGACTTCGGCCCGTCTTTAATGTGTGTACTTGATTTCCATTATGTACTAACGTTTTCGTCTTACCTATGTGTAATTAATATCTAACAGTTAAAACACAATAGGTAATTAACCCCGAATGTGTTCATGTTAGTCGTTACGCTAATGTCTAATGGTTCTATTTAATGTTCAACGCTGTGCGTTCATCAAAAAACTTCCTGGGCAAAATAAGGATATAATAATATTGTCCAGAGTTCACAAAAACCCAGCACGGAGCGCATGTATCTACTACTCTTGTTGTGTATTTTTTATATTATAATATTCTTTTTCAAGGACGTTGGCCTCGCGCGGTATTTAGCCTTAGAGAATATAATATTTTTTTCTTCAATTTTTTTTTGACACAAATCTTAACCGAGTTGTCGTAATAATAATAATAATAATAATATTTTAATATTAAACGCCGCAAAGCGCGCGTGTATCCAATTGTGTTTGTACTAAATACTGGAAAACGTTGCCTAAGAAGAAATATGTAAAATAATAATTATACGGTTGTATACAGGGTGATTCATCTGATGCAAGACACTAATTTTCTCAGAAAACGAGCATGGACGAAACTTTTGAAAGAAAAAAAACGTTAGCGTTTGAATTTTTTAATTTTCATCAATCTCTTATTGTTTGTCTTATGAATTTGTAAAGACTTGAATTTAACATCAATATTCGTTCGGATCACCACTGTCACGGTCACCGTGTTTGAGTAGGTAGATAAGAACCGCTTGTCCATCTTTATCTCAAAAGATTTCACTGTGTCTGGTTATCCGTGTTAATTAAAAATTTTATTGGTTACTAGGTTTTGGAAAACCTAAGATATACTACAATTAATATTTATTGAGGCGTCTATTTTCACGACCAGCTAAAAGACCAATTTTTTAAAACGGGTTTTTTGTCTTTCCTAAATGGTTACACTGTATTACACGGTTTTGTGCAAAATATATTGAACATCAAACAAGGTTATAATTGATATAAACTGACAAGGGAAAATTGTGGTTGATTTTAAAATTACAAATCTGATAATGTCAATTTTAAAACCAGTCATATGTGAGAAAAAAACAATTAAATTGTCGGTTTCAAAATTTATCCATAGAAGGAATTTGACTAGAAAACCGGTTATATCAAATTTAAAAAAGGTATTTAACTGTTGTGATAATGTTTGCAAAAAATAAATCTTCTCACGTGTACAGTACATTTCAAAGCTTTGATAAAATCATAGAGTGAAATCTTAACGTTATTTTTGAAAAATGTCATAAAATTGCTTATGGTCTTACATCAAATGGATCACCCTGTATAAAACTGCGTAATCTCCTACAACGTAACATGGTTCAGTGCAACGACGATCCGATTGGGGTGTAAAATAGATCACGATCCACTCTATATAACATTAATGAAATACAATTCGGGGAACGTCTTGACTAATACGATAATATGTATACTGTATATTATATATAAAAAAATGCTCATTTTTTCTCTCACAATTAATCCGTTTTAACAATGTAAAAACTGACGTAACGAAAAATCGGTTTCAGATCAACGAGACGAATCTAATTGAACATTTAACACCATCAGAATGGAGACATTTCGTCGGGTCCGACGCGGGTAAGCCATCGAACCATTAGGCTTTAGTTCCGCACACCAATCTATATTGTATATTGGTATTAGCTGTAATTTTATCACGTTGAGGCGACAGAGTGTGAAGGGTAAAAGAAAAAAGTGAAAATATGTAAATAGTTATTAGTGTACATGTGTTTAAAATAGTTACAAAATTTCTTGGCCTGGGCGGGACAAAAAAAAAAAAAACTGTTTATAAACGGATATAAAATAATAATGAAAAAATTATAATGTATGATTTTTTTTTTTATATTGTTCATTAACCTAACGTTATGGTTCCGTGGTTACAGATGAGGTCAACAACATATTACTATACTAGGGAAATATTAATACAACGCTTTTAAATGTTATAATAACGCGATTTAAATATTACCATTTTTTTTTTTTTTGAAACTTATTTCGTGTACATATGCTATAATTCAAGCTCCCCCCTCCCAAAATTGAATCTTCGGCAACTTCATTTTTTGTCTAAATAAAATAGCCAAATTTGATAGTCGTTCCTGTCCCATAGTTGATCTCAAATAATTCTCTATGAGTCTGTGTTTGCTGTAGTGTGGCTACAGTTACAGGCATTGTCAAAAAGATTTTAGAAAGATTAGAAAGATATCTTTCGTTGGGATACGATTTTTTTGAATTGTAATCTTGAATCAGCTGAAATATTTCAAGAACTGTTGCGGATTTAATACGGCCAGGAATATAATTTACCGCACTGCGTGCTGTTAATGCATGTCTTTTTCATGTTTAAAAAATTAATTTTCCCGCACAAAAACGTTACAACAATATTGATAAGAATAGTAATAACAATTATCAAGCGCACAAGCGTTAAATTTATAAAACCATTAGATGATTGAATAATTAAAACAAATTGTTTTTTCTAAGTAAGACTTTTGTAAGTGCCACCTGAAAATAAGGTGGACCAATATTTTTAGTTTAGAAAACCTTTTTTCAAGGTTTAGCCTCAGTCGCCTCACCCTTGCTACGGCTCTCGGCTATATAATATATGTATTATTTTTTTTTTTTTTGTAAATAATAATTCATGTCGATATAGTTCAACACTCACGTATGCTCGCAGGTCGACATTTCGGCGTGAAATATTTGAATGTAAACGACCTGACCGACGGGCCGGTCAACCTGACGGTGGATCGGTTGGACCGGCATTTCCGGTTGGATTTGCGGAAAAACCCAAGTCTCCTCGACGACAAGTTTGTCGTGCTGAAAAGAACGGCTGGGAAGTCGGAAATCGTAGAACATACGTGGAACGACACGGACTGCGGTTATTACCATAGTTTTTCGCCCCACGTCGCCGCCCTGGACGTCTGCAGCGGAATAGTAAGTCTGTTTGTTACGCCATAGATCATAAATAATAAGAGATTACCGATAAGAGGTTATACCCCCTCCTTTCTCCGATCAGCGCTGTTCCTCTCTATCTGAGGTTCTATCTAAGGTTTCACTTCAATCACGACGCACTCGATATGTTTCTTTTTTTCAAAACATTTCTGAAAAGAAAATATGTAAATTATCATTTTCATAAATCTCTTATCAGTTTCTATTACTATTCTTATCACTGTCTTATCTCTTATCAGTTGATATCCAATAATTCGCGATAGCACCACTTTTCCCAAATTGCATGCAATTCGAATGACAAGTTTCTTATCAGATCTTTATAAATTAATTTTTTTAATTTGACTTTAAATCTGTAACCTCTCTTCCTAAACTGTAGCTTGCAAACCTAGGATGTTTCTGGTGACCTGCCTTCCTTATCAGTATGAATCTCGCCCACTGATAAGAAACTAGTCATACACATCGGTAATTTATCACTTTTTAGTTGATTCGCCCGTATGTTCTGCCCTTATTTCCCTTAATCGCCTCCCCTTTATTTCGTTAAGGTTTTCCGTGATGACTTTTATTGAACGATGACGTAGCTAAAACATGTTATATGGTTGAAAAAACGTCCATTTTTTTCCAGAGGGGTATTCTCAAGTCAGACGATGACGAGTATTACGCCATAAGTCCTCTACCGGAACGATTTCACGACCCAGATGAAACGCCACACGTAATTGTTCGGATTGTAAACGCGACCGAGCTAAAAGATTCACTTGGTAAATTCGGCGACCGATTAATCGAGAGTCGACAAAAAAGAGACACGTGGTCATCCACCGTGTTGAACTTGGAAATAGCTATATTCGTGGACCAAGACCTCTACAGGCTGATGGCTGTCAGTTTCGAATCGAACACAGAAAAAGAAGTCATTCGGTTCGTTTTGGCCATGGTGAACGCTGTGAGTTTCATGCACTATTAAAAACAAAAAAAAACACAATTCTAGACTATAACCCGAAATTTTACCACCTGTATATTGTAAGGAGTTAGGTACTTTATTGAAAAATCTCAAGTTAAAACTAAAAAAAAAAAATAAGACTTCATCGACCAAGAAGCCTAAAATTGTAGCAATGAAAATATTCTAATTTAAAAATTGCATATGAGATCAATTAGGAATGAAGACGTTTTTTGGAAATGACGACAGTTGCATTCCTTGGCACGATTCCTAATCCGAGATTGTTATACCTACTCAATCACATCTTCAAAGCCTAGTTTACAATGCTAAGCAAATCATGTTTCATGTTAATTTTAATCCGTTTTTAACGAACGTGAAATTCCATACATATTTGTAGAAATTGAAAATGTCTAATAAATGTGCTGTGAACTGTTTTAAAGAAGCGAAGTGTAAAAATAATATTAATATTAACAATAGAGAACATAATGTGAAGAAGCAAGAAGGACAGTGTTAAGTGACAAGAGTGTGTATAAAACAAAAGAGTTCCCAATGTGAATAAAAGTCTATAAAAAGGTCAGAATTGAGAGCAATAATTGTTCATAAAATGCTAAAACTAAAAAAGTTAGTTACTAAATAAATGGAAAACCTTCAATGGGCTTAACATTTTTGAAAATAAATTAGAGGCTTTTAGATTTATGTTTCGTTTTTTATATTATCCTAACCCTACCTAACTAATCTCAACTGCTCCTTCGTTGGGTTACCCCGTTTTGAGGGTTTCATGCTCTGATGGGGATAAGATGTAACATGTGAAAATATTACGGTCAATTTAGGATTGTTGTTTTCTTAACGGTTTTTGCACAATGAACTTTTACATCTAATCCCCGGTGCGGATTTCGTTCAGGTCGACCTGCTGTACCACGACCCTTCGTTGGGCAGACAAATCAATTTTATCCTGAAACGACTGGAAATCCTGCACACGGATCCCGAGGGTTTGAACAGGTCCAACGACATCGACCGGTTCTTGAGCGATTTTTGCAAATGGCAGCAAACCGAAAATCCTCCTTTGGACTCGGATCCGCTGCACTGGGACCACGCGGTCATTCTGACCGGACTGGATTTGTTCGTGGCCGGCAAAAACGGCAAAATTAGCAATCAAGTCGTCGGTAAGTAACATACGACAGGGGTTGGGTCCACTAGAGTACATACTCGTTGTACCTATTGATATTTTTGGATTTATTAGGACTTGCTCCAGTCGCAGGGATGTGTACGAAAACCAGCAGTTGTACAGTAAACGAAGGTCGTCATTTCGAGAGCGTCTACGTGGTCGCCCATGAAATCGGTCACAAGTAATTAATTATTCACGACTAACACCGCTTATTGGCTCTAATAATATTATGTGTAAAGTACATTGACGGACGTTTAAAAAGATTAGGTCGTCGTGCCGCATTAGCATTACTCTATAATTATTATTATAACAGTCAACTGGTCTGCTGTATTCTGCAGCCACCTTCCTTTCACTTTACAACGTGGTCGCGCCGCATCAATGCATCCACGGTGTCTCGGGTCGAACGGGTATCAGTAGGTCTCTTGTACCGACATTGTAGATCATTCAAGTACACTCAAGGACGTTTAGGCTGTATTGTAATTTTAGAAGATTTCTAGATTAGATCACACGGATTGGGATCGATCCGTTTCTCTCGAGTACAAAATATATGAAATTAAGTAAATATGATACGTGCACAGTTTAGGAATGAGACACGACGGAGCTGCGTCCGACAACGATTGCGATTCGACAAGTTACATAATGTCACCGACTTTGGGAAGTGGTAAAATTACTTGGTCCACGTGCAGTCACAAGTACTTGGAGAAATTTTTACAGTGAGTACAAAAAAAAAAAACTAAAATCCATCAATTTCGCATAATTTGAAATTGAACACCCGTCGTATAAATCATACGAAATTACTCAAAATTATTTTGCGATGACAATTATTTTCCAGACGTATTAAATAGGGTTATTAAAAAAGCAAGTTTTTTTTTTTTGGATAGCTAATTTATGAACATTACACGTTATCAAAATTCGTAATAATATGTTGTAAACCAACCTAGGACAAAATACAAAATCCAAGGACATAAAGGACAGACACAGATATAAATCAAACCGAAATATACAACTTACAAGGACGTAGAAGTCGGATGATTAAATAAAAATGTCAAATAAAGTTTCGCTTGGTACTTTTTTTTTATGGGAAAGGGTTAATGATAGTTTTTAATCATTTTAATTGGAAATAAGTAGTATTAATGAGGTTGGTTGACAGTCGAGCCATAGCTCAAATCGCAGATTTAAATGAGTGCAATCAAATGTCTATAAAAGGAATAATAGCGATTAAATAGTAGAGACATTTGGAAATGACCAAAGGAGAAGAAGAAGTAAGTGGATTTTACAAATAACGAGGAAAGGAAGAAAAAGGGCACGGTCATGAATTATGATCTGAAGGATGAACAGATCATGTATCAAATCATCAATATAAGAACAGTTTAACTAAATACAGACGAATTAGCAGACTAATGCCCGGTTGCACCAAACTTGTCGTTATCTATTGGTAAATGATTTACCCCTGTAATAAACAAACTATTGTTAAACTTTATCTTTTGTTAAATTTACTAGTGTTGCTCAATCGTTGTTTTATATTAAGGTTATTGCCAGTATACTGGTTATCGAATAAATGCAATCAGCAGTAGGAGTTAATATTATTGCAGGGTCTAATCAATGATAAACTGATAACGCACATTTCCATTGTCACCACTTTAACGCAAAACATTGATAACAAAATTTAACTATACATATATTTTTTCACAGCGATAAATGACCCTTTATTAATTTATCTCGTTATAAAGTACATTATCAACAACAGATAAAATTTAAAACATGGCTTATGCAACAGAATTTATTTTAACTTAATATTTGGTGCAACCCGGCCAGAGCAAATAAAAATAATTGAGGATTTACTAATTATATCAATGCTATGAATTTATCGTGACGGAAATTATGTCTTTGGATTTGTTATCCGATCACTGTATGCAAATACAATACATTTTTTAACATCGTCATCATTTTTTAGGAGTTCTCAGGCAGTTTGCTTGTTCGACGGCGGTGGTTCTTCCGAATTTTTGGACCACAAACAACACGGCAGACTTCCCGGCGAGCGTTTCGATTCGCACGAACAGTGTATGCTCAAGTACGGCCGCGGGAGCGTGCACGCTTCCAGTCAAGACTTGGGAGAAGTTTGCCGGGATTTGCACTGTCAGCGAGACAGATACACTTGGACTTCACACCCGGCACTAGAAGGCACCGTTTGCGGTCCGGACAAAGTTAGTACTTTGTGGCCATGGCAAACAGCTACAAAATATTTAAATGCACTCTCTCGAATAATGTTCCCCATTGTATCAATATAGTGGTGCCGAAGCGGTCGATGCGTCCACAAAGGGTTGTCCGCTCTGCAAGCTGGATTCGCTCCTCACCAAAGCATCGACGGCGGTTGGAGCGACTGGACACCGTACTCGGATTGTGCTTCGTCTTGCTTGCTAGGAGACAAAAACGACTTGACCAGTGGAAGTACCGGCATAACGACCTCGCTCAGACGGTGTAACAACCCTAGGTAAACTACCACCCGGTGTAGTCATATTAACCCTTTTTGTCTTGGCTCGTCACGTCGTGTTAAGTCGAACGGGTTTTACCAAGTTCAGGCGAAAAGTTATGCGAGTATTCAGTTATAATAGCCAGGAAATAAAATGACACAGGAAATCCGAATGATACCCTTGAATATTGCTATGTAGAAATTATGAATTCTTAAAGGATACCCTATAGAGAACTGAATGATCGTCCTGCAGGTTACTTGATCAACGATTTCTTTACAAGAGCACAGTAGGATATCTTTTTGTTTGGGAATTTTATGGGGAAATTAGATCCGACTTTTCGAATTCAAAAGATTAGGACCCTGTAACGTGGGGATTTCTAATTCAAAATACCTAAACAGGAAACCTAGTTGGAATCCCATTTGGGAAAATTATAAGACGATATTTAAATTATGCCATTATTGTTTTTTAATTTGCAATTTTGTCCAATTTGTCTTAGGCCGGAAAATGGCGGTAAAACGTGTTCCGGAGGCGATCAGAAATATAAATCATGCTCTACAGAACAAGTAACACAAAATATAGATCAATTTTTATTCAAATAATTGTTTGCTTTTAACATATCATTATTATGGTTACTGTTTTTTTTCTAGTGTGCAAACGCACCTCAGTTAACTATAAAAGATTTTGCCAATGAAGTTTGTTTAAGAGCCAAACAATATGATACAGAGTTATTAGGTACCGGTTTTCAAAAAATCAGTTCAGACCGTAAGTAATTATTGGTTTTTTTTTTGTTGGATTTTCGGGATTATCAACTATACTTTATTTATAATAGTTGTACTGATAATTTTAAGAATGTTGAGTATCCTATTTTTTTCATCCACAATCATCTTGTCTACAAGTTTATTACCTACATTTGCATACGACTCCACCGAATTACTTTAGTATAACCCTGACTCTTCTTTTGTATTTTTCTCGAATGTAGCCAAAGACGCGTGCACTGTTTGGTGTCATAAGTATAAAGGTGGTACGAAAAGTCGAGGATGGTCTTTTCCGGACGGCACGACTTGTCAAATAAGAAAAACCAAAGGCTCGACTTATTGCATTGGAGGATTCTGCAAGGTACGTCACAAAAACGACCACAGTCAGATAAAACGAATCTACTAATTTAACAAGTCAAACATTTATTAGGAGTTCGTTTGTGATCACTTGGCTACGCCGGATTCGCTCTACGTGGAAGCAGCTAAGACATGCGGGGCCCAAGACGAAGCCCCTAAACGGTTGAATGCTCCTTCGCCGCCTTTGCCATTACTTCCAGCGGCGTCTAGCATTGTCGAATGGACGTGGCAGCCAAAGTCCGTGTGCCATTATAGTTGTATGGTACCGGCAATGGGACTGAAACTGATCGAAGGGAAAGTGTGTAAAACCTGCGAACCGGTGATCAGCATTAAGATTTGTCGACCGCAAAAGGACGTGAGTGTAAAACATAATAAAATCATTTTTCAACCGAGTATGCAACCACGAAAGAGCGTTTTCATGTCTCGTTTAGTGACACTCTAATATCTCTAATCTGTTATCTGTTATCTCTTATCAGATAACAGCGTAACGCTTTTTTCGTCCTACGTTTTTCGTGACAAATTTTTCGGTTATGTGCCAGAGCTAAGACACTGAAAATTTCAAAAACTTAGGAAACTTCATCGTTTTTCATTGGCACGTTTGTAGCCAAACTTTGTACGTTGCCAAAATTAAAAAAAAAAAACAAAATACAAACATCCGCCGTGCCGTTATAATGTTTAATGATGATCATTATTTCAGCAGAAAGTACTTCGCTCCTTTATATTTAGTGCTAAAAATTTTAAAATAAAAATATTATTAATTCTCCAACTTGTAACATTTATGATGATAAAATTCGCCCAAAGCATTAGTATATTGGTATTTACACAGTATTCTTCTTAATTCGCATTACCTCATCCTATACGAGTAAAAACGGCTTCCTAAGTCCTTAATAGACTCTACTACTTTCACGTCTCCACGTTTTTATTCCTTACTGGCTTTAACACTAAATCCTTCTACACTAATCGCTTTTACCCGTTTTTAGTATATTAATTCCTTCAACTTTCTTCAACGCGTTCAGTCCACTATTTAATCTGTTCTCTCTCATTTTTACTGCTATTGGTGCAACTGCCAAACTATAGATTTAATCCTAATTCTATCTAACCTATCAACAATTACTTACATAAAAAAACGTTTGTTTAGCAATGTAAGTTCGGCTTAAAAACTGTGATCGAGTACGCGACATCGATTTGCTCCAAATACGGTCAAAAAGTGCAACGCCTGTCAGGTTTAGGAATGCAGCTGTCTTCGGTTCCAGGTAAGTTGAATTAAAACGTATTTTAATCCGTTGCAATGGTTACTTGTACTTGTGCGGCGGTAAGTTTGTTGATTTGAATGTATTTATTTTCCTAGACGATATGGACAGGCCGTGTAGGCTGGCTTGCCAAGATCAAACAGTGCCTCATAGATTTTACATTGTCAACGGTGAAGCCGGATGGTTCCCTTTCGGTACGGATTGTGCCAGAGGTGATCCGGATCGTCATGCTTTTTGCCTCAGCGGAAAATGTCTGGTAAACGATAAAACATATTATTACAATAATTTTTCATCACTGAACTCAATATATCATAGAAAGCACATCCAGATTGAAAAACGTCCCACGCCTGGGAGGCAGCCATTTTGTGTACCGATTTCATGAAAAGTAAAAATGTATAAACGTTACTTTTCCATGACTCATATTAAAATGTTAGGTTAGGGCAAGGTCATATCATGGACAAAACAATAGCTGTTCACAAAATGGCAGCCTCCTAATAGTGGACATTTTTATAAGCAGCCGACTGTAGGCAATGCGCGTTCCGTATAATATTGAGTTCAGCGGGTGTAATACTCGCCGGATGATTAATTTACTTTTGAACAGGTCCCCCCAAAAAAAAAAAAAAAAACAACGGTATTAGCTGTTGGCAAAAATCCTAAACTATTGTTGTAAATGTGAATATAATATGTTTTACAGCTACGTTTTAGTCGACGTGCCTCTTATCATTTATAATTTCTTATCATCTTTCCTTATCTCTTATCACTTATCTTTATGATACAGTTATAAGCGAATCTTATAAAAATTGAGTTCATGTGGCTGGATGCCAAAGAAAAATATGCAAGACCTGCACGTTTCTCCTTGAAGAGGAGAACGTTTCTTCCACTCTTCCCATCTCATTTGAATATATTATTATTTATATTTTTTTTTGCAAAAGAACACGTTTTTAAAATAATAATAATTTATTTTTATTTTTAAATTAACGTATTTCATGGAACTTAGGAATTTGGTCCGGACAATCTGCCGCTGTCAGTCGAAGGAATGTCGCTGCACAGCAATTTTAGTTCGAACAACCGCATAAAAAGGAGTGTTTCCCACGTGCAAAACAATAATGTATTGCCAGACGAAAACACGTCGTTGGAACAGTTTTTGAATTTGAAAACAAGTATAAACGGATTTCTCTTGTTTTGGGTTTATGGAACTGTGTAGTTTGAAATCGTGATTTTTGTTAATCTTTTTATCGTTTCGCAGGCATTAAGTTTGGTTCGGAGAAAAGTTTTGTAGACTTGAAAAACCCAGTGGACTTCCCCAAGTCGTATGCAGACTCTTAGTGTTGATTGTAATAATAATAGTTAAATGTTTTAATTTTATTATTGAAAAATCCTTTATGAGCAATCAAACGTATTATTATTACTGTACATTATCATAATATTTTGTAGTAAATGTTAGTTTATTTTGATTATTGCACGGCCTTCCGCATAGGCAATCGTTATGCATACCTGTCATAAAAGTTTCGGCAAAGGCCATTTTTTTTTTAAGATTTCTTCTTATGTTTTTTTAACCGGAGAATACAAAACGAACCTGTTCAACACAATAATAAATAGAAACAAATATGTATTCGATTATTATTACAGTATACAACGTAACACGATTTAAAACAATTCATATAGGACAATCGATAACAATACAAACATTGAAAGAATTACTTGAATACAATTCAATGATAATAATAATTATGAACAATAACAATAAGTAATAATAATATAAAATCGAATGGACTTGGTGTAGTAAAATTATTGAAATGCTCGTCGTAGATTAAAAAAAGTGTATAAGACATAATATCAACAAGTATAATAATACAATAATAATAACAGTTAGATAAAATATGAAAGATAATATAATAAATATTATTATTTAAAACAGTGCTATCGAATGTAAATTTAAAAAAATAGGCTCAATATAAAAAGAAAAAACATTTTATGTAACAGCTTTTATATTACTTATATTTTTTTTAACTCTAAAATATAGTTAAATTGAAGAGTATAAAAAAAAATTGGAAAATATTCTAAATTTGACATAATAATTTTTTTTTTTAATTTCAGTGGACAATAGACAATAAATATATTTAACATTAAGGGCTTAATTACTATAACAACCGTAATAGTAAAAAATACCTTGTAAACATTTATAAATTGTGTCACCAAAATAAATCACAGCTTTTGTTTCTTTTTAACATCCTTGTTTTGCTTATCGCCGTCCGCGTTTTCGTTAGCTTTGAGCTCTTTGTAACTTATCTGTAATCAGGCGGGAATATACAATTAATAATAATAATAATAATAATGATAATCTTATTCTAATATACCTATTACGCGTTCAATTAGCAAATATTTGAATTTTGAAAATACCTCAAAAAGCTTATTAATATTAAAACGTTTGCGGTTGTTGTTTTTTTTTTTAAGTAGACTGAATGTATAAAATGATTTCTTCGAGTTGTGTGTCTTTTCACTGTGCTATTAACATTTTCATAACTATTCCCATAAAATATTAAAAAGTGGGATTAACGGCGTCTAACAAATTAGCATTCTTATCTCTAGTCATCGAGTCTTTATTGATTACAATTGTTATCTCTTATCACAGAGTCTTTATTGATAACCAATTTTATCTCTTATCAGCTCGTCTTCTGTCGCCAAACTCGTTTGCATAATTAGCCATAGACGTGACAAAACAAAGTCTCAAGGTGATTCCAAGCATTTGTAATCCAAAGATAAACACAGTAGACCAAATTAAGGGTTTTTTTAAGCAAGCATGTAATTTAAAACCGAAAATCATATAGTAAAAATTAATTGGATAATAGCAATTTAAAGTTTATAAATTTTGGTCATAAGAAGACACTACAAATGGGTACTACTTTTACACGGGGCATTAGGTACAGACAATTTTTTGGCAAAAACTTAATTCGGACTTAAAGAGTAAAAGTATTGAGTATACTGTATATTTATATGCGTATTATAGAGTATCAAAAAACATTAATGATGATTTTCTAATCCTTATTTATGGATTGCAATTATTATATTAGAATCTCCTTGGAATTTGCCTTATCAAATCTTTGACTAATAATTGCACGAGTTATATTATTGCTTATCAGTATCTATCCTTATCACTAGACTATATCAAATGATCTCCTATATTTCTCTTTAATAATCACTAAATTCCTACTCAACTGTTTTTTCCTTATTTATCCGAACACTTTCTTCATAGTGACGCTTTTGGTAAGGTTATAATTCATAAAATATATTCCATGTAGTAAATGTAGTGCTAGGTAACGGTAATTTGATTTGATTTGATTAAAAACAATAATATATTAATCAATATTGAAAAAGAATAATTACAATAATGTATATTAAAATAAAATTAACGTATAAATTATTGAAAAACCGATACCTCGTTCGACAATTAATTGTTCTTTTGCCATTTCAACACTCGTTTCATTTGTTTTTGTTTCCGTTAGATTTTTTTCTGAAATCCCTTTGGTACTGCGTACAATTATTTGAATATTATTATTATGTTTTATTAAACTAAATATATAAGTACGGACTGATATGTTTGCATTGATATTCACTCATTGAAATAGAACAAAATAAAAAATTCTCAACTTTCAAAGTCATAACAGAGGTAGTTGAAAACCGTTTGAGCATATTGTTTTTCTAGCCAGTTTTTTTCTAAAAGTCTTTCTTAAGTATTATTATCTTACACCGTGTAATCTCAAGCCGAACGATGGGATTTGTGTATCCAGAAATATTTATTTGTGTTATATATTTTTAATTAATTCTATAAACACTACGTCATACCATCTCTTCGTTGTCCGGCACCCTGGAGAGTAAATCCAGTAGTTCGTTGTTGGGTATGGTGTTAGGCCGGAGGATTTTTCTGGTAAACTTGTTTATTCCCCAGGCCATTATTAGATACCGGATTGGAACGCAATACAGTACAACCGTGACGGCTATTAGCAACACAATGGACAGATACGACAAGAACGGCACGGAAAAATTCAATAGACTGTAAAAAAAAAAACAATTATTTACCTGTTAACCTGTTTAAGCCGGACGAAAAGCCTTTATCTTACTTACTTAATAATTTTCTCACCGAGCGAAGCAATGTCGCCGATAGTGTTCTGAACCAACTGCGTTACTTCTTGTACGGCCACCACTCGATCCTTTAACGATTTCTTTTCTTCCTAAAATAATAATATTGATTTCGATATTGTGTTTAGCAGCTTAACACTAATTACTGATGGGATAGTGTCTAATGATAAATTCTGATGAGGTGGGGATGGCGCGAATGATAAGAGATTTTACTGATAAGAGAGACAGAAAATAAGATTATCACATAAAACCGCATTCATGATCAATGTCTTTCATATATATTTACAATAAATTGTAAACCCAACGCACAACTATGTCAACTTATTACCAGATAAATAAGTTGACATGATCAATAAGACTAATCATTACATTACCTCTCCTGCCGTTACCATCTCTGCTGTTTCACTATAAGCGAGATGCCTACCTAGTTTGTTAATACACAGTTTTACATAGAATGACACGTGTTTGAAGTTAAAATGCAGTATAGTCATCGTAAAAAAGAGATATTTCACAAGTCATGTGGCTACCACTAATGCAAAGTCTAGATGAGCAATTGGCAACTTTTCGATTGTTCAAACCAACTCATAGGTGCCTTTGGTAGTGAAAAATAAATAGGTTAGTAGATAGTTGTGGAGTAGCCAAAGAAATGGTCAGGGATAGTGAAGAGTTTAATAAGATGATATAATAACAGTATAGTCCTCTTCTATAGCACAAGGCGAAGAAGACAAATTTGGTTATTACATTTCTTTTGAATTTCGCCTTACCTTGGTTTTGTCATCGTCCTGATCGTACTGTTGGTCTTCCTGCTGGTCGTCTTCGTCCATTTGTTGGTCGTCGTCGTCTTCGCAAGTCCTTGACGAATCCCACGAATAGCTTATGTAGTACTTAAGGAATACCAGCACCAAAGCGATAGGTGCCATGTACGGTTCGAAAAATTGACAGCCCACCACAAACGTGATCAAAACAAGTATTGTATGCAGTGGAGATTCCCATTCTACCCAGTACCTTTGAACATTTAAATAACACAAACAAACGTTGGTATTTTCATTTTGATAATAGTTTGAGACCAATGGGAATGTGTTATCGTTTGTGAACTACACACATTCAACCAAACTAACGGCTCAATCCTCAATTATAAACAATTTTTATTAACCAACGGATAGTTTAAGAATGGCGATAACCCGTCGAAAAATCTTATATCTTCTAAATTCATCTTCTTTTTTTCACTACAAAAGACCACAAGTCGAACTCGGAAGGTACTTTTTAAGGTCAAGCGTTGAAAAAGGTAACGTATTACATCATTTCTTATCAATTGATTTCTTTATCAATTAAAATTGCCTTATCAGTCTATTTTCAGTATTCATAATATCACTTTCTTATCATAATATCTGTTTTCAGATGATTTCATCAACATTATTATGATGTGACGGGAAAGGTTCCCGCTACGTCACGAAAAGCTTAAGACCTTTACGATAAGGTTTAAACATCACATTTATCGCCTATAAAGTGAATTTTAAGTACATTTTTCAACAATTATTCACGACCTATAGGCTATAGTTTAGCATCGAAGTCATTTAAGCACTTCCGGTTATAATAATTCCCAAAGATTTGTGACGAGCTAGGATTCGTCTTAACACAAGACAGTTGGTTTTAAACGACCAATGATCTTAAAAAGTAATAAAAATTAAATACAAAAAAAAAAACAATACAACGTTATTGGTTTAGTCAAAAAACTTGATATTAAGGGTCATCCAATTATGTACACAATTATTAAAACGCATAAAATGTTCTACAGAAAAATAATTCATATTTTTAGTGAATAAGTTCAAAAGATAAAAAAAAAGAAAAATGGCCTGCTTTGAATTCGACCACTAATTAAAAAACATAAATGTCATGTCTTTAATTGTTATTATTGAACCGAACCAAGAGGACTTGTACACTTGAAAAATGAAAATAATGTCAATCAGTCAAACAAACTAAATGTATTACCTATGTTATCTTAAAAACCACCAAATAATTAGTTTTTAATTTTAGTTAAATTTATGTCAAGAAAATGAATTGTATTTAATAATAACAACATACAGTTAAAAAACTATAAAATATTTTATTATAATTAAAACAACCCGGTTAGTGTTGTATTAAATGGAATATTATTTAATTAAGTTAAAAGTTATATTTTTAAAATTACTCAATTTACACAAACGTTATAAATGACAACGCTGCGACTTTTGCCGAAAACCATCATATATTTTAATACGATAGCGTTTCCATTTAAGTATTAAATAAAACGATATGTACTCAAACAATGTATTTCCATTGTAAATTTTCTGGTTTTATTCTATTGTTTTGGCTTTTAGCCACAACTGAAATGCGTTCACTACGTCGATTTAACAGAGCGATAGCATGGCAAATAATGCAAGTAGACTTTTATTGTACTTGAAAAGTGGCATATGCATGTAAGTAAATTACAGTAGGTACTCGTGAAAAATGTGTTATAGTAATCTGAGTATCCACACTTCATGCAGATACATCAATACATGGATATGTCCTGATAATTATATGATTATTTCTGATCAATAATCACCTTGCGCTATATTATGATGATAGTATAGTCTTAATTATATGTTCTGGCCAAAGGTTTTTTAGTAGTTTTAATTTCTGGCATAAATCGATTTACTGGCAACATTTATCAATATTTAAAATTTTTCATAAATCAATTTCCGCGATTCGCCAGTAAATAATTGCCTACCTAACAAATTCATTTGACTATCCTTGTATTATATCCTAATATCTCATTACATCTGTATTATATATATATATATATATATATTCGTATATCTTGTATCCTAATTAGGTGTACCTACTCTTAACTCTTATCTCTTATCTCTCATCTCTTATCAGATTATTATTTATCAGCTCTTTCATTCAAAAAACAACCGTTAGATCGCGCCGCACGCACAGATTTTCTTATTGACCCCCAGCCAAAAGACATATCTATGTCAAAAAAAGATTTTTCGGTGCTCAAAATAGGTAATAAAATAATTTTGTATTGTTACTCACTCAAAGTATTTCCCGATTTCGATGAGCCACATGATCAACAGTTTCAGTCTCATAACGTTGTTGATCAAGGTTTGTGTTTTGAACTTGGTTTCTTGTTGCATGTACTTTTCTTCTTTTGGATTCAAAGTCCTGATGACGGCTCGCAACTGTCCGGTCAAAATTGGCCATTTTGGAAGTGAGACTTTAATATTACCGTCTTAAACGAGTTCAAGTATGTCCTTACCGGATTCCAGACGAGTCGCATTTCCAATAGGATTTTCGGATTGTTTCCTTTTGCGCGACACCTGAGTTTTTTATCCTTCAAAGGATACCATTTCTGGACGCCATTGTTGATGGAAAGTAACGGAATGGCAACTTTTCCCAAAAACTCCACTTTGTAATCAGGATCCTCGTCGAAAACGGTCACTTCCAGCACAGAGTTGATGTCTTTTACATTGCTAAATTTTATATTTGAAAAAAAAAATGAAAATTTCTATTTGGAAAATGCATTGTTAAGGGCCAGAGTTAGACAGCGTTTAATTCACAAGCAAATTAACTATAGACATTCCAATACATTGGTATTTGAATAATGTTATCCAAGAAACTATTGTATTTTTTTTCTATCGTCCAATGTTTTTTTTTTATTCGAACACATTTACACTTTTCCCTTAAAATAGAAAATTATTTGGAAAATGCCCAACTCTGACAAGAGACCAAAAGTTGATACTGTATTAAGGTAAAGAGAAATAAAACTTTTAATTGTTTTCAATTTTTCAATTTTTTAAGGTTATTTCTTTATGATCATCATGCCAAATATCTAGAATCTTATAGCACTTTAAACTGTGTTTTAAAATACATTCTATTGTAATTTACTTTAAGTATTATAGCGAAAACCCACAATTATATTTATATTAATACAATATGTACCTATTTATATTTTAAGACATATGTATACATTTTTTAATTTATTTAATTTTCATGCTTACACTTTAATTTTTTATAATATTTTGGTTGAAAGTCTAATGATTAGGTATTAGGTCGTCTATCAGCTCTTATCAGCTGATTAGCTTATCAATAGAGTATTTCATCAGTTATCCAGAGATTATCGATTTGCACTTATCACTATCCCCTCCCCTCTAATCACTCTCTTTTGGGTTTAACGATTAACTATAGTGAAATCAAATGACTCGTTTAAAGACTTTATTTCCTTCCAACGGAAACGTTTTAACTTTACCTAAAGTAATTATATTGTGCAAATACCTTTACGAATTACTGTCGAAATTAAGATTTAAGACATAGAGTTTATATGTTTCCTGATTTATCTGTAAACATTAACGTTTTATAAAAAAAAAAAAAGAGTCGCAAATGGCCATATATTTATTTTTAAAGTCGTATAGGGTGGCTATAATTAAGACTAAAAAATAGTCAATAGTTATGGTAATATTATAGTAAAATATGTTTACAGGTCATAGATGTATTAATTAACATATTTTAACATCATTTATGTGTTAAAAAAACAAATAGGTGCCAAACCCAATTACTATTTTGAGTTTGGAGTAAATTTCAAGCTTACCAAATCATTTACGAAACCATGCGCCCATAAATAATAATTACCTTTGTTATTTCTCGTATGAATTTTTACTAATCGAATTCGGTTTAGTAATCATCTATTTATGTCTGTGGCTTGGAGCAAGAAGGGTCAATGTCACTTTTTGCAACTTTCGGAAAATGAGCTTTAAAGTTTTTATTTTCCATTAGGCTCTATGTTAATTTTTTTTATCAAACTCTTCATGAGTAATTCATTTTTTGGCCTCAGAGTGTGATTTTTTCACAGTATATAAAGAATGATTTAATTTTTGCAATTAGCGGACTAACTCGTTTTTGCACAAAATTGACATGGGCCCTTCTTGCTCCAAGCCACAGAAGTATTACCAGTGAAAAGTTTTTGACTTTTTTTATCATATTCATATCACTAATAGTCTCTTATCAGTTTTGAAATCTATATTTGTAGAAAAAGTTTCATCGTTCCTAATTTTTTCATAAAAATAAAAAAAAACCATGCAGTGAAGGGAGGAATGGGTCTTGGGGGAGGGGGGGCATAAAGTTCAGGGACGTGCGGGGTAGATTAGCACAGCTGTACATAGTGTATTAAACACTTACAAGACAAATATCTTGTCCCACGTCGGCGATAGCGTTTTGTATTCCGTGTGGGTTTGCAGTCGGGCGTTGACCAGCTCCAACACACAGAACGGGTCGGATTTGCCACAGAGGTCGGCCGACGTTAATCCTTGGGCTTTGTACACCCGAACAGTGAGCATGCCGATATCCCGGAGGTCGTACAGGGTTCGCACGGGGCAGTACCTCTGCCGAACCTGATCCTGGTCGGTGATCTCCTTTTCGGTGGGATCGGATATCATTTCCAAGTTGGACGTGCCGCTTATGGTGAGCAGCAAGCACAGTGTTCCGGCCGACTCGCCGCCGCCAATGTCCAAATTGTATTTGATCTTGTGCGTTTTTTCTCTTTCCATTTTACTCAAATCGATGAACGCGCTAAGAAAAAAAAAAATCGGCAACAAATTTGATCAATTAAAAATTATATAAATATATATACTAAAGAGAACGCTTCGGTAAACAATTTTTGGCAAGAAATAGTACTTTTGAATGTCAAGTCTGACGATTTATGATACCTCGGATTCCTGTCTCCGGATTGAGACACATATAATTATTTTAAATTGCTTTTGCCTAATTCATATTGTATAATTTACTATAAACATTTCGATATTGAATATTATTTTGCACATATCTATCAGAAAACATATATAAAATTGTACTTAAATAGGGGATCCGGTTTGCTTGTTATCACAAATACTTGGAATCTCTTTGGAATTCACTTATCTCGTCTTTGACTGATTGATTGATTCGCTTATCAGTAAATCACCGTATCAATCACTATCATATATATACATATTCTTATCAGCTGATTTACTCTTGTAGGCAAGAACATAAAAAATTAAGCGTTTAAATGATTATAGTGTTAGCTATATTTTGTTGGAAACGGATAATAAAGAAAAAAAATTAAATCTCTGAAACAAATGAATATTATTGAGTTGGGAACTAATTTTAGTCTTCATTTATCGCTTTTTAAGTATTTTTCCCACAACGGTTTAGCTTTCAAACGTTTCAATCATTTTTCAAACGTTAGTTACACTATTATGAACAGTAATTCAGGAATGACAACACTTAAAATGCGAACAAAGCTTAAAAAAAAATTAATTTTTTTTTATAAGAGTGGCTATAATGATCCGACAAAATAAATACTAGTCTTCGTTGATGTAATTTTAAGTATGCACTAAAGTTTAAGCTAAAATTAAAGTGTATACAAAACACATAATTTGAAAAATATTTTAGGTATTCTTTGAGTTTAATAATAGATGTATTTTTACAGGTAATATCTATACATACTCTGTATTTGTATTATGTACTAGTTTTATTAAAATTTAAAACAATCAGTAGCTATTAACTATTGTAAGGAATTTTAATTAGTAAACCGTAGCAGTAGCGTACCCAAGAGACAAGAAAGACAAATTATAACAAATGTAAATTGCCCTTAGAAATTGTTTTGGAATTGTAATGAATTGGAATAATACATTTATTTGTAATTTTCATTAATTTGTTTTAGTTAAGAAAAAATACTGGTTTAGTATTTATTTTTAATTTTATGCGGAACTTAAACAACAGCAATGCAGTTGCACATAAATAACTTTGTATCTGGGTCACTCGACTGTAGATGAGAAAATTAAAGAAAAAAAATGGGTTTGTAAATACTTTTCTAAAAAAAAACCGATGTTTCAAAATAAAGTTTAGTAATTTAGGAGGGTCGGCTAATAGAATATGGTTCATCGTTAGGGGATGATTTGTTAGTAAGAGATGATTTATTGCTGAAGTTTAAGTGATGGTTTATTTATAAGTCAGTGTGTCAGCTAGTTAGAAGGAACTAGCTGATAAGTAGGGTGGAGAAAAAATTATATATGATAATAAATTTAAGATAAATTGACGAATAATAAAAATATTATTTATTAGTAACTCAAAACAAAGATAATTATAGGTTGCAGTTGAAAAATTAACTCGGATTGTTTGACATTTAAAATAAATTTCATAAATTTAAACAATATGTTTTTTGCCAAACAACCAATTGATGAAATTTTGTTAACTATTTACCGTTTAACATTTATTTATTGGTAAAAAAACGGTCATTAAATTTAAAGTGGATTTTTAAGTAAGGAGGTTTTTTTGTCGCTACCTGGAAAATTGTTTTTTTGTTTTTTTCAATATGTTTGCTATTGTGTACAAATATTTTTCTTGTTTTTTATAACAGTATTAGTATTAGGTACTTAAGTTAACGTGGAATAATGTCATAGTGTTGTCACGCACGTTCACTGACAGTTTTCCATTACTTGCAGGACAAGCAATACACTATACAGCCAAGAAGAAATAACGGCATTACCTTGTAAACTCAATCCGTCAAATCAAAGGTCTGTCCGAGCATTGTTGGAAAATAATAACTTTAAAAAAAAAATACAAAGCTGGCTCAATTAACTAATCTCTCTAATAAGGTAGTTATTAGAGAGATTACCCCAAGAAACCCAATCGATTTTGAGCCGTACACTTGTATTCAATATCTAGTTATAGTTTTTTCGAAACAAAATAAAATCTTTTTATTTTAATTGATGTACGACCTAGTAATGGCCGGATCAAGAATTTGACGCTAACACTAGCTAGAATACGTGTAAGATTCTTAAAATAGACAATCAATTTAACATTACCATGAAACATAAAAAAACGTGGATAAGACATTCATCAAACTTCATTAAATGTTGATAAAATTAATTTCAAAGCGTTTCAGAGTTATTAACAAACTACACAAAATTATACACTAAGGGAATCCAAACTAATAAGTTCTTCCTAAACCTAACTGGCAAAAATACAACTTTATCATTTAATTAGTTACTGTGTTATAAGAAATCTGCATGATTTTTTTTTTAGGCTAAACCTTGTTTTAGGAAATTAGTGTGTTTTTAAACAAAAAACTTATTTAAACTACACTTTACTTATTATTACAACAGCACAGTAAAGCAGACTCTTAGACGACATTTAAACATTTCACAAGTTTTATTTACACAATGTTTTGAAAGAAAAAAACAGTTCTTTGCGAGTACAGATTGCTAGAAAGTCAACTACTTTTAAACTTAGTTTTTGTTTTGTTTTTACAAAAGAAGAAACTTGTGGTATTACTTAAATATAATTTAAGAACTTTGTACTTCAACAGTTCTATTTCAAAGCATCATAATACGATTAGTATAAAATGTTGATTTTTTGGACTTTAATTATTGAGTGACAATATTGCGTTTTGCATTTTCTTTTGCCAAAAACGACAACTGTAGCCGACCTTTGTCAGTAGATTTTTCATAATAATAAATACATTTAAATAAAAAAATAATTTTTTTTGTTTTTGGTCTATTTAAAATAATTAATAGTCAAAATTTAATAATGCGAATGTATAGTAAAAGGTGTGGATTTGTACTTGACTGCTGTCATAAAACTTATTGTTATGAACTTAATTAATTTTGGGGTTTTTTAAAACAAAACTTTAGTCAAACTCGAGATTAAATAAAAACATATTTTTTTTTACTGTTGAAAATATCGCGTGAACAAGAATAGGGGAAAATGTTAATAAAACAATCAGCAATAATTAATTTAAAAAATAACGGATCCGCAAAATGAATTAACAAAAGATTTATTAGTCTATTTATTATTTATAGATAAAAAAGTATCTTTGATAATTTCAAATTTATTTTAAAAAATTTCGTACTGTAATTTTTTTTCGTTTAAATACTAATTATGCAGATAATATGAACAAAAAACTAACGGAGTGAACGTTGAAAAAAATTACAAGGTCATGATTTTGACCTGCCTTCGACTTTGGTAAAAGCACTGTTTTATAAAAATGATAACATAAAAGCGGTGTGCATAATATAATGCCATTATTTGGGATATACTTAAGGTATCCTTTTGTATTACACTGTAAAATTGCACGCATGACGTCCTAGTTCGATATCACTTAGTTTTGTGAAATCGCCTGTACAACAATAATAATATATGTACAGGATCCCATGTAGATTTATCGAGCCAAAGCCTTTTTTAAAAGTGTACGAGGATAGTTCAACAATATAATAACACAATTGGAACGTCCAAAGGTACTTATTTGTAACTTACAGTACATTTTTGTCTAGTTTAGCCACTGAACTATCGAGTTCATGGATACATGGAACGCGTATTCGGACTGAAAAATGGAAGGCAGCCATTTTGTGTACCAATTTCATGGAAAGTAAAAATGCTACGTCACTTTTCCATGATATGTATTAAAATGTTAGGTTAGGTGATGATAACACCGCCATATCACAGACTATTTTCATATATTCTATGGTCATGTATTTGATAAATCATAGAAATGTTAGGTTAGGTGATGATAACACGATGATAACTCCTTCATATATTTGGTAAATCATAGAAAAAACAATAAATATGATGGCAGCCGACTATAGGCAATACTCACAAGGTAATTAAATTATTATTGCTACTGTAACTGTCCACAAAATGGCAGCCGACTATAGACAATACGTGTTCCATATATTGAGCTCAGTGAATTTAGCTAATATAGCTAAGGTTTTTTGTTTTAGCACAGACAATAATTTTTTTATACCTGGCCACGACGTCCTCGCGATAACGTTCTTTGGCACAGACGTTGATTTCCAATTCTTGGGTCTGGTCGTCGAACAAATGCAAGTCGAATTGTTCCAACCAAGTGGGCGTAGACAGACGACTGCTACCTTTGCTTTTGAACTTTTCACCGCCCAACCTGCACAACAAAAACCGGAAGTGTTTAATTCCGGATCGGTCATTGCTGATGATGTCATCTCAGTTGTGTACCTGAATCTCACGTACGGATCGCACAGCCCGTCGTTCATTTTGATGTTTTTAATTTTGATCAACACGATGGTCACCACGGAACTCCAAATTTGGTATTTGTACTTTTTATTCATGTCGGTCACTTTTCCCGTTTTCAACAGACTCTACGTGAACAACATTAAAAAGATTTTTTTTTTTAAAGTTAGATAACATTATTTTCACCATAACGCCATTTTTAAACTAAAAAATATTGGTAATTATGAGCTAAATGTCAAAATTAACATTTTAATCTATTATAGGTTATTGATTATCCTATATTTAATAATCGATCATTGATAAGAGAAAATTACTTACATATATTAACCAAGATGGCCGACTACACACTTAAAAATCAACCGTGAGCACCATATCGTAGGTCAGGCAATGTTTATATGATGTTACGAATATGTCATTGTGATATAATCACAGATATGTGTATTTATAAAATATTGATAACATAGTATGCACATTGCCCTATCTGCATATGGCGGCCATACAGACTTCATTTAAGAGTTTCTATTCGTTTAAATGCGTAGTCGGCTATCTAGGTTAATATACATATATGTGATCGATTATTGATTATTAGCTCAAAACGTCTTATTATCCTATTAACGGATTCTCTATTATCAATTTTTTTATCCCATATCAGCTGATTCTATTCTAGTATTATCCCTTTCTTTTATCAGGTGAACTTCCCCCCTTCATTTTTTCAGTGCCAGGGAATAGATTAAAATATCAATAAACCTAGGTTAGATAGGAATAATTTATTGTTTTTTAAATAGTTATATTGTATTATCATTGGAAATGTTATCCGGTCTTTCAGCAATTTTTACACATTATATCCTAAAAATATAAGTCGGCCTGGCTCAGGGAAAAACAATTTCATTGATTTCGGTTCACTCTTTTAGGAGTTAGGTACGGATTTAATATTATTTAATAAGTTTAAAAAGATAGGTTTAGGAGACTACAAAAGTGTTGGAAGATGAATTAGAACACCTGAGTGAGATATTGAAGAAATTAAAACAAAAAAAAAACATTATTTTGAGCTAAAGCTCAAGCAGAAGCATGCTGCATGAGGCTTTTTTAGACTTAATCCTTTATTATCACATGACACGCTTATATTATCATATCTGTTATCATATTAACAGCTGATTTATCCTTATCAATTGCCTTTTTTATCATATCATATATCTTATCAGCTGATTTCATTATAATTTTTCTGATATGCCACTTTTTTTATGTTCACTATCAGTCTCGAAAACATTTTATGTTAGAAAGCTTGAGATGTGGGTCACGTTAGATGAGGTGGAAGAAATAGATTCGTATTTAGGGATGTGGTTCAACCTTATCAGCTGATAACGACGGAATAATTTATATAAAGGAGAATCGAAGAGATCAAAGCGAGGAAACAACAGGTAGGGGAAGGTTGATAGGGCCCTAGGAAAAATACTATTTATGTTAAAAAATACAATGTAAATTTCAAAATACCTTTACAGCTCCCCATTGAATCTAAAAATGAAATCATACTTTGTTACACGTCAATCAAATTAAAATGTTTGTAGTAGCTACTGATTGAAATTGTATAGTCAATGGGGCTAATGGGTAGGAGGCAAGATGGTTGATACCATTGTGACCAAAGTTAATGGAATCTAACTGCTAAAATGTATATAATAACAATACTATTACCTGTTCTCGCTCCTCTCGTGACTGTGACGAAAGAGTGATGTCTATGTAGAGTTCTCCAAGATATTCGGTATTCTGGCAGTCTCTCAATTGTAGACAAAGCTCGTGTTGTCTATGAAAATGAACTAAAATTACTAAAAAAATACAGAATACTCCTCGTGAAAGTACTTTATTCGAATGTTACTCAAAACGAGTGAATCTTAATATTGTTATTAGTAAGCACAATACATAAATCGTTATTTATCATAAGTATTTTTAAAAAAAATTGCCGGTTAAAAACTTACTTTCCCAACTCTAAGGTTGACAATCCGACTTGAGTGGCTCCCATAAAATCATCTTGAAGTCCCCAGTCATAATCGAAAACCTGTGTAATTGATAGCGTTCATAATTATAACTAAATTGGTACATACAATTTTTTTTTTGCTTAAATTTGTAACAAAATACAATTGTTGTCAGCTCTTTATATTTATTTATACTAACAATGTCTTTGGACGGAAAAAGATAAATAATACACTTTTACGGTATCAAATATAAAAAACTTAATTTATTGTTGAATTCCCATTAGAGACGGTTGAGAAATAGTTACAGAGCAACCCCTACAGTCTATACTGGGCTTGAGAGGCAACCCGGCTAGAGGGGTCAATGATTCCAGTTATAGTTATTTACTGAACTTTTGCTAGTTGTTAGTTGAGTAAGAATTACATTTTTGCACAAGTTTTATTATTAATATCTAAGAGTATGAATGATTAAGTTTTAAAGTAAAGATTATTGTAGGAAAAAAGTCTTAGTCCATTTGTTCGCAATTATCTGACTAGGCACTTAAATGTATTTAAATTGTTGGCTGGCCATTAGAATAGGACATTAGTTATTTTTTCATTGCACAAAGGTTTATAATATAATTCAGTCGTCGACTCTTTATTTTTATATTACACTCTAATTTAAATGTTGAGTAAAGCTAATATTGGTGTTATTCACAAAACAAATATGCCGTCTTCTTAATAACGGTTTGGATTAAAAACGCTGAATAATCTGGTATTTTATCATCATAACTTTTTGTATGCAACCGAAATCGCTTTGAAATAATTTCCGACATTATTCGGATACTATACGAGATGAGAAATTTGTTTTATTTGTACACAAAATTTAAATATCACAACATTTAGTAATAAAAATGATCTATTAAAAGTAATTGGAAATGGTGAACAATGATTTTTCTTCTCCCCTTCTGATTTATTTATCGTAGTTATTTCTGTTGGTCGTTCTGCAAACCGCCAAATTGAATGATAACCAACTGTTTTATAATCATAAATATAATTATCAACTTTTGACTTCACAATCTTTATTAAAATGAACGACTATGATAATAAGCGATGTAATCAAGATTTTACTTTGGGGGTGGCCATCTATTTATTACCAATCCAGAGGACTTGAACGACTTGAAATTAATAACCAAAGTCCTAGCACACTTTATACATTATTAAAACGATACAGGAGGGTCGGGGCATCAGTTATCTCTATAAACTTAGTGCAAAATCTAAAGAAATATAATATTAACGTTAAATTGACAAAGAATAATTCAGTTGAAACATATTAATTAATTTATTTTAAAATGGTGAAATATTGTAATACTGGCTCTGCACTATTGTATATGGTAAATAAATATGTCACAGTATAATGTTATGTAAATAACGTTGTCTTTGTTTACCTTGATAAAGAGAGGCTCGAAAGGATTTTCTAAGAGGTACGTGAAAGTCTCGTCCCACGTCGGGTTAAGACATTTGTATACGGTTTTCGACTTGAAGATGAGTCTTCCGTTCATCTTGAATTTAACGTAAGGATCGCTTAGACCTGAAAACAAATGTGTAAACGCCGATTACAAAACCGTGAAAACAATTGAGAGCACATTATTTTCGGGTCATATTTTATTATTACATGAGGTAATACTTGCCGTTTTTGTCTCGGGCGATGAGATCTTTTCCTCTTTTCAAGTGAATCTTAAGTTGAAAATAATCGTGTTTCTTGAGCAAAGTTTCGTTCTGCAACGGATTTTCACCTTCCTGCAAGACGGAACGAATATCACGAATGCATAAATAATTATTACAATAAAAGTGTGTTTACCGTGAAACGGTATAATGTTTAAAATGTTCTCTTCGTAAAATTTAATAACATAATATACATATACAGTTTAAGTTTAGGAACGTTAGCGGCTTACTCGTAACAAATCAACAGTGTTATACAAACTACTGCGTTGTGGATTTGAGGAATATTTTCTCAGTCTCGCTCTTTTTATCTATATATAGTCAACACAAATTTGAAAAAAAAAACGTTAGCCGTTGATCAGTTAATATTAATTGTCGTTTTTATTACAGTGTTTGGGAGGGTAAACGTTTAATCTGATGAGTACAATAAACTTTATCAACTTGAATTGGTTAAATTAAATCCCTCAGTTAAATATTTAATGGCGATGTTCAACAGCCTATCAATTCCAATCATTAAAACACTTTTGATAAAATGATCTACGATTGATTTATTACAACCAACTTAACGATTAAAATATGTTTAGGATTCCATTTTTTTAGTTGTACGTTTTATCGTTACATATTTAGTAGCTTATATAAAATCAACATGTGATGGGTAATACAATTTTAACTAACTAATAACACTAAATGTTTAATTTTCCTATTCGACCATCAATTAATTGAAAATTTAGAGAGGAAAACCCGTTTATTTTTAATATTTTTCTTATGGGTAACTATTGTCTGAGTACGATTTTGTACAAAATAAGTAATCAAGTACACTACACAATCATTGACTCAATCTCGATTATTTTCCATTTGATAATTCATCTCATTTGATCCATCTCATAATCGTCAAAATTGACGATTATGAGTGGCTTTTTTTGTCCGCCTAAGTCAATCATAACCGTATGTTGAAAAAAAAATTTGCTATAATTACCGGCGTGCTCAAGTCAATGCATTCAGATCTTATGGAATTCTGTCGTCGCAGTCGAACTTGGCTGTCTCGGGAGACAACTTTTTGGAACCAATTATGAGATAATCCAAACTCTAAAAAAAACACGTTCGCCAAGCAATTAACTTACAAACTTAATGTAATTTTTTTTATATTCATCCTCTTGTACATTGTGTTAGCTAGGCCACCATGAGCATGTTTGTCTCAGTCTCTGTACTCTATTTAAATTTTGCCCAACTCTGTTTATTATCAAATATAGATGGTACTTTTTTTATATATTTCTTTTGGTTTAAGAACCCAATACTAACATCTGGCAAGTTTTCCTCACACTCCAAAATACTTCAAATCATTACCGACTAATTAACGTTACCTCAAATGCTTCTATAGTTCTTCTTTGACATTCTCTTACAACCACCATTATTTTGATCTTATTAATTTAACCATTTTTTTTTCTCTCTATTTGCACACCACTATACTTATTTCTCTAACGGTTAGTTTCTTTATTCAAATCGCTTACACTATATCGTTCCTTTTTAATAAGAGTCCTATGAACGGAACATAATAATACCTGTTATTTTTCGTTTGCTATCTCGTAAATCGCTGACAGGAGTTCTGTCAGAGTTGACAGGACACCTTTTTTAACCACTTATTAACAACCCAGAAGTGTCGAGGGTGGCAAAAGTCGTGATGGCTTCGCTACTATACACACCAGGGTGTCGCAGCAAGTAAAATATTATGAAGTAAGCGAAAAGGCCAGCTGCATTGTGACCAGAATGATGAAATCAAAATTCTCTGGTACATTTTTTCAATTTGTTTTACTACTATGGCTATGCGATACAAAACATGTGACTTATCAGCTGTTATAATGTTATCACGTGAAATTTTTAATTTGTCTATTGATCTGTATAGTAGTTAAGGATTAGTCTGTGCGGTACTTAACAACGTATAAAAAAAAGGATTTATTTTAATTTTAAAGTGACACACTAACGCTCGCCTTCTTGATTACTTCGTTGTCGAGTACAGGACATTATAATATGATGTTACAGCTCTGTATATATTTTTACTCTATGGAAAATGCTCGCTTTTCTATGCCATGTTTTTTCTTATACGTTTTCATACTGTTATTTATTTTTTACACTTACCCGACGCTGTGCTCTGTGGATTTTTACAATCTACCGTTTTCGACTGCTGTAACGTGTCGGGACGGACAAATCTGGAAAGAATAGGCGACTCACAAGGCGATTCGTCCGTGTCAGAGCCTCGGGCTTTGCTTCTGCTTTTCGACCACTTTTCCTGTAACGATAAACAATACAACCGTAGAATTGTGAAACCAGCAATGAATGAGATGTCACACAAGACTTGGTTTGGACGTGGTAGATCAGAGGAGGACGACAAATGTGGTGATTGACTACAATGAAATAATGGCAGAGGAGGACCATAAAGAAAAAAGCATTTATCACCCAAGTCTGTAACCACGAATAAGCATTTTCATGTACCTAAGGTGGCTAGTAAACATATCAAGTTTCTGGCTAGTATTTTAATGTTTTCATAATATCTGGCCTAAAACAATTCATAGGAATATAATCCCTTAAATTATTGAATTTATTTTTCAGTTCTAGTTTGAACGTTGTGAATACAACATAATATATCTTATCTATTATCTCTTATCTCTTATCAGATACCAGCGTAATCCTTTTTTCGGTTATGTGCCAGAGCTAAGATTTAAAAATGTTAAAATAAAGTAAAGTATAGTCAATGCGTGCAACGACGATGTGACTGTGGAGGAATAATAACTTACAATAAGTTAAAAGACCCCGTGTCCTTGTGTTACCTTAAGCGAGTTGAAGAACGAGTGTGTCTTTTGCACCACGTTAATGCTCTGTATGGTCGACTGTGCGGTGGCAGTGGCACAGGAAGACGATTGGATTGCCGAAGGGCAGCATCCTTGACCTGGACCAGGAGTGCTTGGCGACGACGAGGATGCAAAACTTTCCACTGGGACATGGTGACGTTCGTCGGGCACGAATGTCTTGCACAGGAAGTCCAAGTCTTCTGGATAACTTAGGTTGAAATCGGATTTCGACAGAGGGCGCAGCTTTTTCAAATCGCCCTGGCGCCGTTCTTCGTTTGGTGTGGACGACCGATGCAAGTCATTCTCTCTCAACGACTTCGAACTTAATTTCCCATGCAACAATATGTTATCATCTGCAAAGAGAAATCCACCAATGATTAATACTAGCCGGCTTTACGATTGAATCGCTTAATCGGCAAAGGAAATGATGATTTTTTGGCGGCAAAACGTTTTTACAAGTACTTATTTTTTTAAATCCATTCACAATTTTTGTTTCTTAGGGGTGTATTATTTGGCAAGCAAGCTATTTTTGATTCATTGGAACGCTTTTAATTTTAGTTCCACTATTTTGTTCGTATTTTATTTTTGAAAGGGAATAGCTGGAACGCCAGCTGCGAGTTTCTAAAAAAGAAGTACATAAAAATACTGTCATCTTTTGTAAAAAAATCATTTTATGTTTTAGATAAGTTAATTTTAAGATTTTAGTAATTGTAGAAATAAATAGTTTTAAGCTAATATTTCAATAAAAAATAGGTACATTAAAATCTGCAAAACTATCAAATGTTTCAAAAAGGAACAGTTTTTGCATTTTTAAAACGTCTGTTTTTAGCATAAAACCGGTTTTTATTTTGGATTTTTTTTGCTTATCCACTTTCTTGACTAAGCGATTCATAAATATTTTGGAGCACACGGTAATACTCAAGAGGGCTACATAGTTTACTCTAAACAATTTTTGGAGCCAACTAATACTTTCTTTTTAGTTATTTCTAATGACGACAATAAACGTAGAAACATAAATGATATAACATTTGAAAGACGATTGTACACAATTGAATGTTGGCTCTTTTTAGTTTTACTAATTATTTTTTATACATTTGGGTTTCTACAACTACATAGTTTGCTAATTTATTTATATATTGCTAATTGAATAATAATCGTCAATTATATTTTTGTTGACTCTCTACACATGATTGCAAAACACTTAAGTTAAAACCGCTGGTTTAGTCTGACAATTTGCAATAAGGAACTTTTTTTTGCGAAAAATGTCCTGCAAGTTCAAAGTATACAGCTGTTAAAAAATATTGAAATTATAGGTTAAACTCTAATTAAATGCTGGGCCAAACTGATTAGACCGACCACTAGTCAAATATAAAGTTAACGTTTTCTGTGTGCATCAACTAACCGACAGACATACAAACTAATATACAGTTTTCCAAATATATTTATACTTCTCACTTACTTCAGAAATATTTTACTACTTTTTATTTATAAGAATATTTTTTTTTCAAAAGTGTATCCAGTATTAACCTACATAGGTCCAGCTTTTTTAGAGTTATTGTGTACAGACATAAAACACACTAAAAGTTTCTGTCACATAAAATTGAAATTGTCATACCAATAACCTAAGGTAGTAGCAGAAGCAAAACAGAAAAATGATTTATATATTACTATATTTTGGGGTCTATACATTTATAGGGCGATTGCGATATTGTAAAATTTCCATTTTACTCCTCTGGTCATGTCACACAAGGCTGTCCTTTGGGATTAAAAAAAAGGTTAAGGACCTTAAGGGGAAAATAATATATATGTATTGGCATAAACATATATTTGTGCGTGTTAATACGCACTACGCTTATGCACACACAACTATAAATATCCAATTTGTGTTCATAAAGGACATTTTTTATAAACCTAAGACATGTCATCTAAAAATAAAAAAACTTATAGATAGAATAACTAAAATGTTCGGTCATAAAGTATAAAAAAAAATTACAAACGATATTAGTAATCGTTTAAATGGTAAAAATAAGTCCACTAACTTAATAAAAGGGAACAATTTTTTAAGTTCACCGTACAAAAAAAATGTCTCAGGAGATGCACTTTTTAAAATAAACAGCAGTTTTTATTTATGTATTAAAAAAAAAATGTCTAATAGCGCAAAATGTAGATATAATAATTTATTAACTATGATTAAATGTGATTAAAAAGGAACAAATTCGTAACAAAGATGAAAAACTAAATATCATGACTTTATCTAAATGTTGACATGGGCTATTTTCTGGCAATGTTTTACAAGAGTTTGCCAAAATATCAAAAGAAAAAGATTTAACCATTTTTTATATGGGGGGAGGGGTAGGAAGAGGAGAGGTATTGATAGAATTATTTTGTTTTCTGATAGCAAATCATCGATACATAATGACTAGAAAAACCCGGATTGAAAAAATATAAAAATATATAACAATTTATGATGTTTTTGTATTTTTTTTAAAGATGGGATTTTTTATTTTCACTTAATTAAGTGTGACTTGTCCCGGCGTGGCAGACATATTGTCGTTTGTGACACAAAAACGAAAATACATTGCTTTAAGACAAAATGTATAATTTTCAGCTAAGCTTCGACGCTGAGACAATAACACTGTCGACAAACCTTTACTATAACCCCATTGGTTTGACTTGCGGCATTAACGGGATCGAACGTGGCTGTAATTTATTCAAAAATTATCGTGTATCAGAAATTCCCATGTAGATTTTCGTTTCTCATTGCTTATGCATCGCTTTTGGTCGGATCTTGCTTGGTGATCGAACGCAGATAAATTACATATTTAATAAGGCAACACGGCACCGTTCTCAAAACGGTTAAAAATATTATGTTATTTAACAAATAGAAATGCCACAAGGAAACTAAGAATTTGGAATTTTTAACTGCCGCACGTTTGAACCGCTCGCCCGAAAAGGTATTTTTTTTTTAATTAATCATATCAATATACCCCTACAACGACTTGCTGGTTTCAAATTTATCCGTTTAGTGTAATTTAAAATTTCAATTAGGGTCGGTATCCCATACTTCTAATCCGGTGCTTGTACAAAAACGAGACTCTTGAAATGGAAATTGACCTAACCTTTTCTATAGGTAATAAAACAAAAATGCTACCATTAGTACTACTAGTACTTGTTTGGGTTGCCGGACGCGTTTATAAACGTGGTAAATATTAGATAAAATAAACAAACATAATAGAAAACGGAAAAAGTAAACAAAATAATCGTTTCTCGTCATTTTTTAATCACAACAATTAATAAAAAAAAATATTTTAATGCCGTGAACTAATATTAATTACCGAATTGTATACCAGCTTGTATACAGTCAGGTTAGTGTAATGAAATTGTTAAATCCTGTTTCCCTTTTATTTTCATTCGAGTGTTTACTAATGGATGGCTTAAAAAATAAATGTATATACACATTTTAACGACCAAAAAAAAAAAAAACCCTTAAAATACTATCAAATTTACCTAGTGAAATATTTAACTTTAACAGATGTGATGTGATATCATTGCTTGGTTGTATTTTATGTTTTATACATGTTTATATTTTGCAAACTTAACGACTCTTTTTTTTTTATTATTATTGAAATATGTTTTGTTCAGCGAAAATGCCGATGATACTATCAGCATACTATTATTACACACATATAAACGATACCTGTGATAAATTATATTATGAATGACATGTACGTGTAGTTTATATACATCAGTCTATTATTACACACATCTTTAGAAACCATTTTAAAATATGAACAGCAAATGGTTTTTTGGCATTATTTATTATGCCGCGAACAGCGTTTTACATTAGCCAAATTCCAAACACAAGCGGTAACGTTTTCCAACACCCAAGTAAATTATTAATCAGAATTATTATCATAAATAATTACAGTAGTCTTCCGTTTTACAATGTGTGTAAAACACCTATTCGATTAAGTGAACAATAAATATTCGAAAGAGACATACAATAACAATTAACAACCATTTAAATAGGATAAAATATATGCAATTTGCTTACAAGGAAAAAATTGTTCAAAACTAAATAACTTCACTGTAGAAAAAAGAATTACAAAAAACGCATAAGACTATGTCAAGTCAATGCTCTAAGACGAGAAATGAAATTACACAAACGTTAATTAAACACCCTGTATATTATGTATGTAAATATATAGTGAAAAAAACAAATCAAGTATTCTGTCCGGTTGTTCAATGCCAAGAAGAAGGTTAAGCGATAAGTGTCAACGCAAAAAACAATATTTTTTAAGAGTCAATTAATTGAGAAATACAGAGAAAAAAATTAAAATATATAATCTTATAACGGTTTAACCCGTATAATCAATATAAGAATGAAAATTAGATAATTAAATTGCTATATGCCAACTTTTTATGGCATTAGGCCTGATTTGCATTATAACGAACATAGTCATTGACTGACAACGTAATAAAAATTGTCTTTAAAAATGTATCAGATTGAAACGCTTAAGTTAATAACAGAAAAATCATAAAAATATAGAATAATCAAATCATAGAGCAGTAAACAAATTTAAATTAATAATGAGAAGATTTTAGAAGGTTATCTAATTTAAACGGTCATTGTTTGTCTTGTTCAATTGACCCATTAAATTTTAATCGGTTTTCAGGCTAAACAATTAACAGTTCTCACTTAATTAAGTGGAATGTATATTTTTTTAACTTAAAAAATGACAAAATTACTAACTTCAACTAAATTCTACATCTCATACACCTATCTATTATATTATAATAACGGTTTGAATCACAATAAAGCCAAAATCCTATTCAATTCTTTTTTCAGAAAATAAATTCTATGAATACTTTAAAAGGTCGGCAGCGCTGTTCCTGTAAAGGACGTGTATTGTAGAAATCAGCCTCTATTGTATGCCTTTATTGTCGATCAGGGTTTTCGCATCTTTTGTCGGTTATGTTAGGCAAATAAAGGCCAGCCATGGGAGATCTATGATCGTGGTACAACATCCATTAGTTTGTTTTGACCTTCTAACCTGGACTCCACTTAAGCTCTGGTGCGGTGCTGAGAAAATATTAGGTAGGCTGAATAAACAAATTTTTAACGTAGAATCCTTTTGTTCATGAGACAAAATAGCTAATGAAAAAAAAGGAGGCAAAAATGAAGTAACCGTTTTGAGTAGTCCGCTTTTCCTTTGTCAGTAATTGTTATACCTTCTTATTTACAGTTTAACAAAATTAATTTTACCTCAGAGGTCGAATACGGGAGGCTTCGGTGACTCGGACAAGTCGACAGCATAAAAATAATTGTTTACTATGACTAATGTCCGTTAAC